TCAACGTGAACACTTGTTCTTGCTGCGACAGCCGGGATATAGCTCCTAGCCACGGAATGAGAGGCGGCGGCCGTCCAGCCAGGTTCCTTGTTGCTATAGGATGGCATCAATCACGTGCGACATTGTAGAACCACCGATGGCGAAAGTTAGGGGCCGGCTCGAACTGCCCGAGTTTACGTTTTAGAATTGCGGCCCTTGGACATGCGACGCATCTCGGGTATCTATCTCCCTCTCGCGGCAACCACGCAACGACCCCCCCCCCCGCCCATCTCTCGGCGACCTACCAGATAATCTGGTCGTGTGTGTCTGATTAGACTTTGGGGGAACCGGTGGTGGTCCCAGAGAACTCGACACGCAACGATCGGAGGCCGCCGCCCACCCTCTGCCCAAGACAAAGAGGTCAAACTCTGATCTCCAAGAGGGTTGTAAATGCCTCCGTACCGCTGGAGTGGTTGGTTACATCAAGATCATCAGGCTCCCCCACTAACAGGACGATCCCGCCGGAGCCGCACGCGCAATAATGCTGTTGTTGTTTCTGGCAGCTTATTAGGCCCCTCTAAGCCCGGGTCCTCGGCTCCCGTTGTTCGATGCTACCTACCTGCCTACCTGCCTACCTAACTATCTACACTGCCAAGTGGTGGTTTGTTGGGGGATGTGTAGCGGCGGCACTGGTCGGTTCCGGGAGACGTGGACGTCCCGGGCGGGCGGGTGGCACGAGGATTTCGCGATCGAGCGAAGCAAGCGATTGCCGGGCAGCATCGTACCCTACACCCTGCAACGACTCCCAGAGGGCAGGGGACGTCCCGGCCTTCTTGCCGTGCGATCTTGGGTGCTACTGTACGTCTGTGGCAGCCAGCTCCCCGTCCGTCCTGCCTTGTCACGCACACAAGCACACACACACGCACGCACAGAACCCTTCCACCAAGGGCGGGCAGCCGCCGCAGCCTCCTCGACACAGCTGGAGCTGAGATTACGCGGACTGGCCCTGGCGGGGTGTGGCTTTGCGCCCGGCGGCCGGGCGGCTGTTGCAGGTTTATGTATTCAAGCTGACTGAGGTTGTGGCCTCCGCCGGGGGGGTTGACAGCTGGCTAATAAGCAAGCTGGCTGCCCGCGGGCGCGGCCAGGCCAGGGCACAACGGTATTCCAGCGTTGGTTTATTACTATCCGCACAGGGTCAAGTCATCACGGCCCGTGGGACGTGATACCGTGGGCGATCTTGTGGCACGCTGTGCTATGGTACACCAGGCCGCCGTGCAGAATGGATGGGGGGGCCTGGGGGGAAGCAGCACCGGGCTTGCTTGCGCCGGAGGTGGTTGTCTACGAGGCCCGGGAAGGGGGCCATTGGTTTGCGGGACGCGGGGGATGCAAGGAGTGCGCTTGGAACCTGGGACGGGGTTGTACGGGGCCACCGCAGCTAGCTAGCTACACAGTACCTAGGTAGCTTCGTGGGCGGCGGGCTTTTGGACCCCCCGAGTTCATCGTGCTAGCACGCACGCATGTAAACATGTTTCCGGACAGATCTTGGTTGTAGAAGGTGACCTCGCCCTCAGCCTGCCTGGGGGGCGAGCCGACAGCGCGAGTATCCATAGGTCATAGGTCGTAGGTCGTAGGTCATAGGGGGCCTGGGGGGCCGAGTCGTCCGTTTGATTGTGGTTCGGAGCAGGTGATCAACACCAGCAATGGAGCCCCGAGCTCCTGCTGCGGCGGCCCCGGCAGATCCCATCATGTCGGATAGGGCCAGCCGAGCCAGAGCTATCGTCTTTGTGGCGCGGCGGGAGTGGGGAAGACGGTGGAGGGGGGCGAATGGGGGGTGGTATGGTATAGCCTGCTTGCAAGAGCTCGTCCTACTAATAAGTGTAAATGTCACACCAAGATCCGGGCCGATTCACACCTGGGCAGCAGCAAGTGCGGAAAGTATAACGCGTTTTCGCGAATTCCTTCCCTCTTGTTCCTTGCCGTAGCCTGACGAGGACTCGGAGGGAATAGATGGGAATGGGCAGACCAGTCTCTGTACCGACTACATGTACTCCGTACAGTGCTAGCCACACCAACCGGGCGCCGGGGCGGGGATGTGAGGGCGAAGGAGGAGGGGAATCACACCAGGTCGGACCCAGCTCAGTTGCCTCACCGGAGGGGCCCTCTGAGTGGCCGGCAACGTTACCGTGGGCAGCTATCACAAGCCAGCGGCGCGGCGGCGGTAGGGCTTGGGCCAGTTTCGGCGGGAGGGGTATGCCAGTTGGTGACAAGAACACGCGGCCCAGCGCCACGGGCCGTGGCTGGTGTCAATTGTTTCTTCATACGTGTGTGCACGGCAGGCCAAGCAACGGGCTGCCTCGCGTATGTGTGTGTTTGTAGCTTGGGGGCGTGGGACAAGGCCTCGTCATACCGGGTATGTAACCGACAAGAAAAGAAAAAAACACATATCGGCCGAACGATGATGTATGTATGTATGTACTTAGGCCGACCAAGTGGCCGAGCAAACTACGTGTAGCAGAGCAGGGCAGGTCTGACGTGATGGCCGCCGGTGAGGGGAATTTGTCGCGAATACATTGGCAGCGAGCGATCCTATCGAGCCCGGCAAGAGGGGCCGGGACAACCGCACCACTTGGCTTGGGGCATCGAGGCGGTGGTGGGACACTGGGCATGGAAAGGTTCCGAGGCTGTTTGTTTCTTCGTGTGTGTCTGTGTGTGTAGTTGTACCTGGTAGTGTATACAAGAACTGACTAGGCGAGAGCTGGTGAGCCTGAGGGCAGAGATGGGCAGAGCGGACGGAAAGAGTTTAGTCCCAAAAGAGAGGAAGAAAGAAAGAGCAAAAAGAGGGCCTCGGCGCCGAGGGTCAGGGCGCCACTCGAACCCACCAGTCACCTGCGAGCCAGAGAGGCTGAGAGGGCGGGCGGTCCGGCGGGGGGAGGGGGGCGGGCAAGATAGGGCCGCCGAGGCAGGGCAATGAACGGGCAATGACATGACATGGCATGGCTGGCATAGATCGTGATGATGAAAGGGAGGGATGATAAGATCTCTATGCAGTGTGTAGTTACGTGTCTGTGTGTAGGCCGGATAGGTCTACTTGGTCTACCAAGCAGAAAGACATCATAGTTTCATACAAGGGGGACCAATTACCAGGTTTTTTAGGGCTCCCTACTGTCGGGTCGTCTTGGGCCGGAGCGTCAAGCGGCTCAGACGGCATCGAGATGGGCTGGATGGCTGAATGGATGTGTGGCAAGAGCTTCTTTCAGCTGAGTCGGTTTGGTTTTCCTGCAGGCCAGCAGGCTGAGCACCGATCCCGAGGTCTTGGTAGCGATTGTCAGCGAGGTTCCATCCCGCCGGTGGAATGACAAAGCCTCGGGTTTCCGCGAGAGATGTGGGATGAGACGCAGGGAGACGCAGAGTGGCAGAGGCGCAGAGACGCAGAGACGCAGAGAGAGAGGCATTTTCCCCCCTCTACTCAGGCCTCGCTAGTGCTTGGCTTCCCCAGAGTTCCAGTTGGCCCCAGTCCAAGCTAGCCAGTCCCAGCCCGCGAATCGAGGTGGGTTTGGCCTGGCAGGCTGGCAGGCTGGCAGGCTGGCCTTTGCCCAGGATGGGAAGGGAATCGCGTCGGCCCACGCGGGCCCCCGAGGCTTTGAGGCGGACGCCTGTCAGTGTCGTTAGTCAGTCCGATCAGTCAGCCCCAAACCCAGCTGCCAGCCAGAAGAAATGGGCCGACGGGCCAGACTGACTTTCTGAGACCTGAGTTCACCTGCTGAAGTGACGGAGAGCCTTCTGGACAAGAGGAAGCTAGTGCAGGGTGAGACATAGACGAGCGAGCAGGGAGGCCAGAAGGAGAAGAAGGCGAGGAATACAGAGTCGTGAGTGGCCGGCCCCTCCAGTCAACCCACTTTCCGCCCTTCCCCCACGGGCATTGGCTTCTCTAATTCCCATCTATTTCCACCTCGGCCAGGCGGTCAAGAGACCGCCTGTCCGCCCGCCTGTCTTCCCTGTGAGAGCCTATGGCCGGGTGGGTTTCGAAGGGGGGGAGACCGGGTGGGATGTTTGTTTGAAAAGGTGAAAAAAAAAGAAGTGGGCTCGGTCCCATGTCGATTCTGGTAAACCCCGGGCCCAGAACCGGGCAGACACAGCCCCGGGTGCGGAATTGAGGCTGATGATTGATGGGCTCGCCGGTTGGCCGGGCGAGGCACTGGGGGGGGACCACGAGGATTCGCAACACCGCCTTTCTAGAAGGGCTGCAGAAGGGTTTCTTTGATCTGCAGGACTCAGGGGGAAGAGGAGGAGAGAGGAAACTAGCAAACTATTTCCCCCCAGGGCTGCACAACTGACAGATCAACGGCACTGGGCCATGAGGGACGTGGGGACGCGATTCAATGAAGGCGGAGGAGGAGATGGCGAGGAACCCTCGCTCGTCTCGCTTGAGGCTCGCCTATGTTTCCCCGGCGCCTTCTAGGGCCGCTTCGAGGGGTGTGGTGCTACTGTGTGGGAGCGGTGGTGCGTTGTTTTTTTGAGGCTTTATTTTGGCGGCGGTGATGACAGTGGTGATGATATTGCCTCGCTGGTAGACTATTCTTGTATCATCCAAGTGCTAGGGTTGATGCTAGTCGAGCCTGGGCCCTTGAGTTGGCCTAGTGTTGAGTCTGCCTTTGGTTCTGCTTTGTTTGTTTGCTGGCTACTGCTGACGATTCTCTCGTTCTGCTGCTGCGGTGCGGTTGCAGTGCGTTGCGCTGCGGTGCGTTGACGGTGCGAGTGCGAAGTGATGACTGAGTGGTTCATGTTAGTGTTGTATGTGTCTGTCGCATTGCTGCGCCTATCGCATGTGCTGTGCCTCGTGCTAGATCCTCCGACACACCGACTAGCATGCGACTCGGCGCGGGCAGACCGGGGAACAAGGGTTCTACACTAAACTGTGTAGGGAGGAGGGAGTACGTACCCCGTACCTGCCACAGACAGACACAGCCAGGACGGGCAGGCTGGACGCTGGACAGACCGGACAGGCAGTGGACGCGGGCTAGGCCGGAGACAGCAGCATTCCTCGCTCCTGACATCAAGACTATTATCCATCCGTCTCTGGGGTTAATGTCAATCCACCAACCTTGGAAGCCAGCCAACCCATGCACCTCATCGCATCCTGCCCACCTGCACCTGCACCTGCTCCTGCACCCCTCCTTCCCGTGTGCCTATCTATTCTTACATACATACCTGCGCACATACATACAGTACATACATACATCTGCCCGGACTACCAGACTACTACCTCACTCCTCCCCTCTCCTCCCCCTCCCTGCCTACCTGCCTTGCCTTGCCTTACCTTACCTTACCTTACCCTGCCTTACCTTGACCTACATACTTCCATTCTTGCCTGCTTGCCTGGCTGCTCGCCTGCGCGATATCCATAACCTGCTTCTCTTCCTACTCCTCCTCCTCTCCGCACATCCCACAGGAACCAGTTCAGGTCGTGCTTGAAAGACTTGATTGATTGATTGATTGGTCTGGTCCCCCCAAGTTGCTGGTTCGACCCGAGTAGGAGGCACATGACGTGTAAATTGCCGCTCATTTCACGTCTCATCTAATCAAATCACCCGCCGTGACGACGAAACCCAGCGACAGCTCCAAGTGCCGGCAACATCTCTGGTCATTATGCTCCATTCCAGCCTCGCCATCCTCCTCTGACATACCTTCTGGCTGGCGGGTGCTACCGCCCACGAAACCGCGCCGCCATCGCCCCCGCCATCACCTCCCGCCTTCTTACTCCTCTGTCTGTCTGTCCTGCCCGTGTAACAACTGTCTTTGTCCTAGCACATCTCATCATCGTGCAGGCCGGGCACTGGTGACTGGTGACTGGCGTTGGCACCGACATTTGCACCCATGGTCCAGGCAATAACAGCCAACATGGCGCCCCTTGCCGGAGTGCCTGGTTCCTACAACCACTCCTCCAACAAGATCTCGAAATCACGATCCAAGATGGTCAAGCCCATGCTGAAGAAGGTCGTCGTCTCGTCGCCAAAGAACTCGCTCGACCTGGACCGGGGGTGGGACGACCACATCAGCGTCTACGACCCGCCTGCTCGCACAAGCCTGTCGCGCTCGGTCCGGGACGCCAGCCTGCCCGGCTCGACATGGGAGCCCTCGACCTTTGGTAACGGCGGCCCAACATCCGGGCCCGGCTCGGCCTGTCCCTCGTCTGGCGCGGCAACGCCTGTCGCGGGGCTCGAGATCAGGAGGAAGCAGCACACGCGCACCACCTCGGGCACCAGCATAGGCACGAACGGCAGTGGCCATCGGCACGGGGGCGCCTTCGTCCACCCCTTCCAACAGCACCAGACCCCGCGCACAAACACCCCGCCGCTGACCTACGCCAACTCGTTCACCTCGTTCGAGCGCGACACCACCCCCAGGGACTACTCGCCCACCATCATCACCGAGAATGACGACGACGACCTGGACATTGCCGGCTCCACCCCTCTGTCCACCTCCCTGTCGTCCCACCACCACCTGCACCGCCCCCAGCCCAGCAACAGTCACTCCACCACCAGCCTGAGGCGCCCCTCGCTCGCCAGCCAGCGCACGCCCTCCCTGACAGACTTCAACAGCAACGTCAACAACAACCCACCGCTGCGCGTCAACACCACCCCCTTCTCCCGCTCCCACCCCACCGCCTCCTCAAGGCTCGCCCATGGATCCCTCAACACCTCGTACTCGCACTCCGACCTGCACATCAACGGCGCCAGCCCTACCGACTCGCCACGCCCGTCGCTCACCCTGGGCAGCCCCAGCACCTCTGCCGCCCCCATGTCGCCCCTGCGCACCAGCCTCGAGGGCGCCTTCCGCATACGGTCCCGCAGCGAGGTCGACACCAGCGTCAACCGCGAGGACATCCGCGAGGCCAGGCGCAAGTTCGAGGAGAACGAGAGGCTCAAGCAGGAGAAATACGAGTCGGAGCAGCGCAAGAAGAGGGAGCGCAAGGACAGCAAGATGGAGAAGGCCGCCTCGCGCAGGGCCACCGGCGGCAGCGACAAGGCCAGCGTCGGGCGGCCGTCCTTCTCGCGGAAGCGCACCCCACCATTGAGCCCCTCCGTCAGCAGCCGCCACACCCACACCCGGCCCTCCGAGTCCCCCCGCCAGGCGACCATCGATGAGAAGGTCCAGAGGCCTGGGTCGGCGCTGATAGGCAGCAACTATGAGGGTACTGAGAACGGCGCGACGGTGCCGGATATCAACGACGTCCGTTTCGGAACGCCAAAGCGCGCCCACACGGCCAAGAGGAGGACGCAGAGCTATTGGACCTCATTCATGCTGTGGCTCCGGACCCGGCTGTTGAAGCTAGGGAGGCGATAGCTATGCGAAGGGGGGGGGGGGCAGTGACTTTCTGCCGGAGGCGTCAAAATAACCACTGCAGGACATGAGGGCCATTCGACTACCAGTCCTCGCGTGGGGTGTTCATCACATCAACAATCATACCGATACCAATATAGCAGGCAGTCCAGCCAGTGCTAGACGCTGTCACCACCGGACCACAACATGGAATTACCCGTCACACGAGATCTAGCGTTCTTTGCATTGCGACCGTTTTTGACAGCATTCATCGTCCGTCACTCATCGCCTTGGTGGAATTCAAAGCTCAGCTTACTCGCAAGGCGTTTGGCGACATACCCGGAATCTTTTTTTCTGCCCGAGGGAAAGAAGGGGACTTTCGCGACCTATCATTTATCACAAACTTTGTTTCTGCATGCATGCTTTTCGAAGCTGGCCCGGGCCTCACGGGGAGGGAAAAGCTGGAGAGGGGGGGGGCATGTGTCTCGAGAAGGGGGCTACGGAGCTGACGGTAGCCCGGGCAACAATGCCCACAGATCCAGCCTCCGGGGCTGAGGGGCGCAACCCTCGGCCGGAACTGCGCGGGGCTGGGAGGGAAAGGGCATCATTGGGAAAGCGTGGAGGGAAAGAGGCGTTTTTGTGGCTTGGTCATTTTCACCGTCATGCAGCTCGGTTCTTTGTGTGCCAATCGAGCCCGCATCTCGCTCATCAACGGATGACGGTTGAGACAGGAGTAGAATCGGGTCTGGGTCAAGGGGGTCACTTGTGTTTTCTTCCTCGCGGTATCTCTTCACGTTGGGTTGTTTGTTTACATGTTTGCAACACAAAAAAGGACGAGTCCGTCCTCATCACCCGTGAAACGTCCGGGTTTATAGACTCGAAAGAGAGACACGGCCACTTGCCTGAACGGCGGGCCAGTGGGGCAAGAATTGAAGTTCTTTGCTCAATACTTGCAGACTGCGGTCGTGTTGTGGTGAAGATGGTGATGGCTGAATTGACCGTGCAAATTATAACCGATGCGAGTCTCACCTCGCACTAGTGACAAGCCCAAGCAGGTGTTGAGTGGTTGTGTAAGAGAGTAATAGTGCTGTTGTTTGTATATATCAGTGATGCTCGTGGGCTGCATTTCTGAAATGGGATGAAGTCTCAATTGGGAAAGAGAACAGAGGGTTAACAACTAACATGTGAGATCATCCGATGATATCACGTCGAGAGAAACATCGACCACAGCCGCCCCAATGGACCCAGCAGCTCTCTGGCCTGCAGGGGCGATCGTCCAATGTGTACGGAGTAGTGCCTGAGCCGAGGCAGCCTTCTGTCATGCGCGGGGCGGGCGGGTTGTGGCGCGGAGGTAGCACAACAGGATGCTGAAAGATACGCTACGCTACGGGCTGCCACCATTCCATGGGGCGCAGGTGGGGGTCCGGTCTCAAAAATACGCAAGATTGCCAGGCGCGCTCTGGTAGAGTACACGGGCAGTACCCACGGGCCGACATGGCTGATCGAGCTGGTAGCCCGCCTGTGGTAGCTTCGTTCGACGACCCGAAACGTTCGTGCGCTCGCGGCTGTTGATGGAATCCTTCCATGATGCCTCCACCTCTTGTCCCGCCGGGGCCTGGCAACCTGGGCATCAATTGGAACCGATTCAAGTTGTTGCGTTGAAACCCACGGCTTTTTTCACCGGACGACTTGTTGTTACCTCCCTGGTAATGGGAGGCCAGTTAGAGTACCTGCCTACCTAAGCAAGCAGCAAGCGAGCTGGCGCGCGCCTGCCTACCCTGCCTGTCGCTTTTGACTTCAGATGATTCCATCCAACGTCGTTATAAACTCTCTGTGAACCCAATTGATTGATCGCGTGCTTCACCTCCCCCAACCTCCTCGCACCTTTTTGTTTCTCCCAGGTATTTATTTATTCTCGACTGTAATACACCTACCTGCCTACCCACCTGCATATAAGACGGCCCAGAGCAAGATGGCGCCCACCCAACGTTACGCCGACTACCCCCCGGCCCAGGCGGCGTCCGACATCAGCTACAAGACGGAGGAGGACAAGAACCCTGCCCTGCGGGGCGTGCCCCTGGCCATCGGGGCTGCAATGTGAGTGCTTGTGTTGCGTGGCAGCTTTTGCTTGGTGACGCAACCAACAGTGAGCCGAGACAAACAGTCGAGCTGATGAGGCCTGCACAGCGTGACGAGGAGCCAGGCCCTCCAGAGGTTCCTGTACGGCAACGCCGGCTTCAGCAAGCTGACCAGCATCGATGGCCTGAGCTCGCACCGGTGGAGGTTTGATGTATGATTCGACCAGTTGTCACTTTCCCCACTTGTCTTCTGACCAAGTGCACAGCCGACCGTCATACCGCTGGCCGACGACCCGAGCACCCCGGCGGCCGCACCCACGTTCGAGGATGAGCTGCTCCGGCCGCAGGATGCCGGGCGGCCCGGCCGGTGGTCGTCGTTCGCAGACTACCACGCGCTGTACCAGGCGGGCAAGGTGACGCCGCTGCAGGTCGTGGAGGCGCTGCTGCCCGTCATCGACCGCACGCGGCCCGACCGGACCGAGTACTCAACGGCGTGGCTGGACATCCACACCGACGAGGTGCTGGCCGCGGCGCGGGCGTCGACGGAGCGGTGGGCGGCGGGGAAGCCCCTCAGCGTGCTGGACGGCGTGCCCTTTGGCGTCAAGGCCGACTGCGAGGTCAAGGGCTACGTCAACACCATGGGCATGGCCGTGCGCCCCGAGTACGACTACTTCACCAAGCCCGCCGCCGAGTCCATCTGGCCGGTGCGCAAGCTCGAGGAGCTCGGCGCCCTCATGGTCGGCAAGATGAACCAGCACGAGATCGGCATGGACACCACCGGCTGCAACGCCGCCCAGGGCACCCCCACCAACTGGTACAACAAGGCCTACTACCCGGGCGGCTCCTCCTCCGGCGCCGGCTCCTCGCTGGGCGCCGGCCTCGTCCCGCTGTGCATCGGCACCGACGCCGGCGGCTCCATCCGCATCCCGCCCGCCATCGCCGGCCAGTACTCGCTCAAGACGTCCCACAGCCGCACCATGGTCATGAACAGCAGCATGTGCATCGTCGGGCCCATGGCGTCCAACGTCGCCGACCTGACCATCGCCTACCGCGTCATCGCCCAGCCAAACCCGGCCGACCCCGTCCAGGGCCTCTTCGCGCCCTCGCGCCCGCCCGCCAGGGGCGACAGGAAGCTGCTGGGCCTCTGCCACCCCTGGATCGCCCGCGCCACCCCGCAGGTCCGCGGCTTCTTCGACCGCGCCGTCGAGCACTTCACCAAGACCCTGGGCTACGAGACCGTGGACATCGACATCCCCTTCCTCCGCGAGGGCCAGGTCGCCCACGGCGCGACCTGCCTGGCCGAGGCGGCCGACCACGCCAAGGACCGCGTGCCCCCCGGAAACGCCAAGGGCCAGCACTGGCTCGACCTCATGGGCCCCGCGAACCAGGTCATGACGGCCGTCGGGTCACAGACCACGGCCAACGACTACATGAAGTTCGCGCAGGTGCGGGCGGCCATCATGGCGCACCTGGCGCACCTGTTCGAGAGGCACGGCGCCTCCCTGCTCATCGCGAGCCCCATGATGCCGGACGTCGGGTACGCCGCGACCCCCGGGGACGAGAGGTACGGGTTCACGGACGGCAACCGCGCGCTGCGGTCCATGACGTACGCGTGGCTCGCCAACACGAGCGGGTGCCCCGCCGCCACTGTCCCCGTGGGCTACGCGGACGTCGACAAGGGGGAGGGGAGGCTGCCCGTCGGCATGCTGGCCATGGGCATGTGGGGCGAGGAGGAGCGGCTGCTCGCCTGGGCCGCCGAGGGGGAGGCGTATGTCCGGGACGTGTACCCCGGGGGCCGGCTGAGGCCCGAGGGGTGGGTTGATGTCATTGGGCTTGCGCGGGATGGGAAGGGGGAGGGCGCGGCGGTTTAGGCCCTAGCTGGGTGTGGTGTGGTGTGCCGGGCTTCTCTTTTGCATCCGTCTTGACAAGGGGCGACTTGTCTTCTGCTCGGTGTCGGTCTTTTGAAGACATCCTTTTCTGAACTTGTCTTTGTTCGAGTGTTTTGGTCTAGGGGTGTGTGAAACTTGCAGGGCTTCTGTCACTGGTGTACATATGGAGTTGGCGATCTTGAATCTTGAGTAGTAGTGTTCTCTTCTGCCGGTATGATGTTACTATTATAAGTGCTCACCTTCCCTCGGTTTGATATTGCGAGTTCAGTATCTGTTAATATCAAGGATGGGTTTGTGGTATGTGTTGAAATTAGAGGCTTGATCCGTGTCCACGTTCTTGGGCCCAGGAATGTGAATCGGTTCCTAATTGCGAAATTTCTAGCTTGTAAAGTGCACCTATCTGGTTTCGCTTCTATTCCGCATACGTTCTGGGGACATGGCGCCTTTATATGGTGAAAGAGCACCTATACGTCATCATATCTACCGATCCTGCTATAAGAGACGACCCAGACAGGCCAAATAAATCACTGTCAGACCGACCATGCTAAATGGGTGACTAGTTTCACCTCTATTTCACATATATCTGGTTTCGCTTCTATTTCGCATACGTCCGGGGACATACACGGCGCCTTCTTACAATGGTGAACGCTCAAGACCTATAAAACTATTGAAGATTTTGTACATAAGCTCTAGGAGTAAGAAATAAATAATTGAATAGAAAGATAGTTACATGGTATAAAGGGAAAATATACTATGGCCGAAGCCCCAGCTAGCTAAGTTTCAAGCTTCATCCCGAAGCCCAACTACCTCCTCCACGGTCACAAACGGCCTATCGCTCAGCACAATCTGCTCCACCTCGGGTATCCCGGCCTCGCCGAACATCATGCCCTGTATGTACGCCTCGCCCACGAGCCTGAACCTGCCCCCGCCGGCGCCGGCGGCGTCGGGCCTCAGCAGCAGCGGCACGCGCGAGTCCCCGAGGATGCACACGACGTCCCCCGGCTCGGCGGCCTCGGGGCCGAGCCCGACATGGCCGTCCTCGGTCACGACGAGGCGCCGCCAGGTGCACACGATGCGGAGGGCCGCCTGGAAGCGGCTGGCCTTTCCGGCCCTGGGCCTGGGCGGCTCGGCCGGCACCGCGATGTCTGTCCGCGGGCGGAACAGCGCGTCGACGAGCGCGTTGGCGCGGCGTCCAGGAGGTGGTGGTGGTGGTGGTGGTGGTTGCGGGTCGTCTCCCCGGCTTCCTGGTGGTGCCTGTGGCGAAGACATCGCCCCCTGTGCCTGATCCCCGGGCGGCACGTCTGCTGCGAGCTCGCCGTGGGAGAGCACGGCGGCGGTGCGGATGAAGTCTTGGAAGTCGGCAAAGTGCTGCTCCCTGTCCTGGACGATGCGGCCGTACCAGTCTTGGCCGGCGGTGAGCAAGGTGCTCAGCGCGTATAGGGCCTCTGTCGGGTCCGTTGTGGATGCCCTCAGGTGGTCGGAAGCCCCCGCCCAGATCTCGGCGGCCACCTGCGGTGCGTTGTGTGGCAGTGTCATGGAGGAGTCGAAGGTCCGGGAGACGGATCCGACGGCGGTCATCCGGGCGCCATATGTGACTAGTTCGGAGCCTCTGACCTCGGTCTTGAGCCCGGGGTCGAGGCTCAGAGAGGCAGAGGCGTCGAAGTTGTTTGTTGCTTCGTGGTATGGCCCTATTATTCTTGTGGAGTGCTGGTGCCAGCGTGGCACCCACGATGGGACGTTGACTATCGTGGCGTCGGCCTCTATCCGTTTCAAGATGTCAGCTGTCCGTCCGCGGAGGTTCCAGTGCTGGACAAGAGACAGCAGCCGGAGGGATTGGGTCCTTTGGATGATGGCCGAGGCGCAGTCAATGTACACCTCTGACGGTGTCTTGGTGTAATCAGGCTGTAAAAAAGGTTCGCCGGCATCGGGGTCCGAGTCTGTTGTTGGTATTCCTAGGATGCCGTAGATCTTGTCCCGGCAGTCGCTCGCCATGAAGCGCCTGGTGAGCTGGAGCAGAACTAGGACCGAAGGGACCACTCGCCGTTCGTGTACGTGCGAGAGCCAGTACATCAGATATGCATTGCGCACGCCGTCCTTGAGACCCTCACCAGAAGGAAAATGCGACGAGTTATAATGGATCGTCCTCGCCGCCAGACCGACGCGTTCCCAGAACGTGGTGTGCTCCCCAAGCATGACTTTGGCCGAGGGGGCCAGGACTGCCTCTTGCAAGCACCACACCCGCTCGAACCATGACCTCTGGAAAAGCCGCCCAAGTGCGGTCCAGATCTCCCGCTCTTCAGGTGACGGGATTTGGTTGTGTTGACCAATGTGGCTGATGATGTCGAATAAGGAATCAACTTTATAAGGAATGTCATCACCATGCCCCAGCCAGATGACAACCACCGTTGCTCGTTGATATATTTTCCGCATCAGTCGGACCTGGTGGTTCTTCTCCTCGTCGTCTGTCTGGTTCATGCAGACGGCGTCAGCCCAGATGGACCGATGGTCGCAATGGTGCCGCAACTGCTGCAAAGCCCCATGGAGGCTTTTCGGGATCTCAACCGAGTACTCGAGGCCGCCCTCGCAGATCAAGACCGCATCAGTGTCAGTCTTGCTCCCCCATGCATATGAGATAGCTTCATAGCTTGGCCGGTTGCTCAACGAGGAGGGCTCCAGCCGGGCCCGGATGGGGTCATCACGCTCTCCCGGAAAGAGATCAAGTATACGGATGTGATCAGAATCATCAGCAAGTGGCGGATACTGGTATTTGGTCGTCAGCCTTTGCTGTAGCTCCTGCTGCGGGTCCTTTCCGGCGGTGGAGGCCTCTGCTCCTGCTTCCAACCCGGGCGCCTCAGCTGCGCGAAAGGTTTCGGGAATCTGCGTAGGACCTATCGTGCTATCGCTGGCTGCGCCGTTGGTCATCTTGGTACTGTGTGATTGATCGTGTGTGTTATCTTTGGTGGGGACCACGAAGGCTGCATGATCCTTGCCGGTCATCTGAAGGGTACTCTCGAATATGCTCTCGATGGTTAATGATAATTTCACACGGCTCCGCAGTATATACTTGGCGTCAAAAATAATATCGTCAGTTTCGAAGGTTGGCGGGACTGCTGGAGTTTTGATGCTGATGTGAAAGACATCCAAACCAACATTGCCAGTGTGCTTTCCGCTCAAGCAGCTGAAGTCGATGTGTAAATATACATTAAGGTCAGTCAGTCAGCCTTAGTGCTCCTTGGCACCACACTATTGGAGGAACTGGCTGCTTCATTGTACCCCTGACCGACGAACGCTGTGGTACGTGAGATTCTAAAGTTGACGTGTCCCGTGTCGCTCAAAAACTGCATTCAGGGCTGGGTTTTTGATATATTTAATTATGGCCTGACTTGGAATCAAGTGCTAGTAGTGGAGATCTTAGTTTGGGTACTCCTTGAGGGTTCCAACATTGATGATCTCTCCGTCCTTCAAGTAAACACTCTCCCATCCGATCTGACACTCAGCCCGGGACGTATCAATCCAACCTTTCTCGAAGTTGACCACCTTTCCCTCCCAGTCAGGATCAGTAAGCATCGCCCTCAGCTGATCCGGGGTCCCCCAGTAGGAAGATGTGACATCGTATGGGGCCATCTTCCACCCGGGCGAACCCTTCAGCGTGTCCAGATCAGTTTGGAAGAAGCTCCTCAACGAAGCTGGCGTGATAAACTGTCGGACCATGCTCTTAGTATGCTTCACTCAATTAATCCGCAAAATTGGTCAATACGTACAAGGTTGTAGTGCGTGATGCCGTGCTTCTGGATGATCTTGATCATCCTTGGAATCTGTTCCTCCTGGTACCACTTGGCAAATGCCTGCTCGTCGACACCCTCGGCCCGGTAGTGGTGTGCGGAGAACTTGAGCAGTTGCATAGGCTGGGATTGCTGTTCCGAGGTTTCCGCCATTTTTAATCTCTCCAGGACGTCGTCTTTTCCTACTTTGTTGAGTTTGAGGGGGATGGAAAATCGTTGCTCTTTGGAACTTGGGCGAGACGATAGTGTTCAATGTTTCTTACTGCATTGATCGTGTGAAGGGAAGGCTGGGGTTTTATGAGGTTGTGACCTCTTGCTTCAGACGGCCAACTAGGCCCGAATCACACAGCAAGTAGCTGTTGGTTCTAACAGGCTTCCACATGCATTAGTGGTGCTGCCTTTGTCGATGTTGGCTCATTTGAGCGAATGAAATCTTCCGTCTCCGTGGGACATACTCCGTTGCAAGTGGAGCAGTAACTGCGATATCAAGTGCGAGGACCAACAAGGCGAAACAATAAGCTGATGTTTGTCTTTTTGTGCTACAGCGCCTATTTGTTGGCATAGAATGTTCAAATTTGGCGTAGTTGATTACCCTGAGAATGGGTAGACTCCACTAAAATGACATGGTTACATTCAAACAGCGCCTTGGCAAGAATTTCGTCGTGGTCATGTATGAGGGTTAGAAACAAAACCACTTCGTCTCAATTTACAGCAAGGTAGTCCTACCACTCGATAACAATGTATTGCCCATGTGATGCTTTGGATACGGTTCTTGGAAGTTTTCAATCCATTAGGACAGGGAATCACGGGCATTTATACTTCACGCATAACTTAGCCAATAATAGTCGTAACAGAAGTCAAGAGTATTCAAGCTGTCATTTGAGGTGGACATGTATGGTGATCCGGCTGAGTCTTGATGTGCAGTTTTTTCAGCGTAACAGTACAACGAACGCATACAATCAGCACTAATAACATATTCTATCTATTACTTCAGCTCTACATGCGGCTCTGTTGAACATTCGACCGAAGATCAAGCGAATGCTTGCAATGACCAATAGACCCAAGACGTCGACACAGCCTTTCCGGAGCCGGTTTGAAGGCAGTTGGGGGGCACAGCAATCAGTCCTGCCGGAGTACGCCCAAATCGACGTAAGCTACGACTATTTTTAACTTATGTAAGATACCACTCACCGAATATTGTGGTCCAGAAGAGTCAAGCAAGGTATTGCTCTGCCATAATGCCTTGCTTCGCCATACCCGAACAACCCGAGGAATAGCCATCAGTCATCACCATGCGGCCCGCGCTGCCGCAGACGATCCTGTGTGAATTCCTCCCAACTGGAGATGCCTCTGCCTTATCGGACAAGGGTGCCATGGAAGCATAAGCATCATTCCGAAGCAGCAGATGATTAATGTGGAGCTGCTTTACCTGGCCCCCAAGAGAAGTTGTCAAAATGATTAGAAATCTGTTTCGTGCCTGCACCACGCCGGGGAAAGACCAAGCAGAGCGTCCACGCCGAAAACAAAAAGCCCCATAATCAGGCCTTGCGGCTCTTCTTGTCTTTTCGATTCCCCCGAGTCGCCAGTGTAATTCTATACTTCAGGAAACATTAAATCTCACGTGTACCTACTGTCTAGGTTTATACACGCCACAGTGGAAGCGACCAATCATGGGCAGCGGGCAAGGCGACACACCAACTCCTGAGCAATATGAGTATTTCGTGCAGCATTCCGGTGACAGCCGGGTAGCCGGGATTATCGCTTGCGCGACAATTTCCGCCTTTTTGGGCGCTGTATTCGTGCTTTTGCGACTTGTTGGCCGGCGACTGATCCATCACCGGTGGTGTGTGCACGCCAGTGACGGTCTGCTCATGGTTTCTTGGGTATGCGACCTTGGTCCACCGCCCATTTACCCACCCCCCCCCCCAAACACGAACCTTTGGAGAACTGATCAGGTAAAACCTCGTTGCTTCATAGGTCTTCTCTGTCTGTGCCAACCTCAGCCTCGGGGTTTACGCAAAGTACGGCGGCGGGCGCCACATCATCTTCGTCACAAGCAAAGAAGCGATGCAAATTGTGGGTTTCTCAAGGCTACGAATTTTCCACAGGACTGACTCTGATACATCATAGACGGCTATAATCACCGAAGTCTCGTACTCCATGTCAATGGCGTTTCTGAAGCTCAGCATCCTCGCCCTCTACGGGTCCATCTTCCCGTCCAGGCGCTTTCACCAGTGCCTGTGGGCACTGGGGGTATTCACCGTGCTGTGGTGCCTGACGAGTGCCATCGGCTCCATATGCCAGTGTGTCCCGGTCGAGTCTTTCTGGGACGACTCTGTCGAGGGCCACTGCATCGACTTCGGGATCCTGCAGCTAACCTGCACGATCTGCAACATCACCACGGACTTTATCATTCTCTTCCTGCCGGTCGGGCAGATCCGCAGGCTTCACGTGTCAAAGGCGAAGAAGAGATGGATCCATTTCTCGCTGGCCATGGGCGGGAGGTACGCAGGACCTGTGACTCTCTCTCCTCTTTTCCTCCACGGCAGCTCTTCTGACAGCCTCATCGTGCCAGTGCTTGCGTTGTCAGCATCGTCCGCCTGGTGTTTGCTCTCCAAGTCGGCTCGATTGATGCCTCCTGTGAGTAGCCTGAAGACCTCACTGGGCAGAGGCGATGAGTGCTGACCCGTGCGCCAAAAGGGGCTGATATACCAGCCGCATGGGCATCCGAGGCCGAGCTGTGCGTTGGTTTTCTCGTCGTGTCGATCCCGACGTACCAGCCCATCTACCGCAGGCTCGTGTACGGCTCAGCAGATGCCCTGCATGTGCGGACCGGCAAGGCCTACCAGTTCCAACCATGGTCTCGTAAGAGCAAGAGCCACCTCTCTCACGTAGCAAAAGCTTCGTCACAGTCTACGCTTTCTCCGATGCCGCTGGGGATCAGTGTCGCCGATGACGTTCAGCCGGTGAGACACACCCAGCACGTTGCAACTTGGGTTGGTCAGCCCGGTACTGAGTTAAGGAAGGGTATTCGATTTTGAGACATGACCAATCTATAGCAGTCGGGGTGTTTGAGAAGATTGAAAAGACGTTATGTAAGGCCACTTGGGGCGTGTCGAGGCATCATGATACCCACCTGCTCCTCAAGTGTGTGCACCAAGGGTGCTAGTAAAGGTTGAAGCCGTCATGGAAGACGAATCCGTAGCGATGGTTGTCTTGGGTCGTGCGCATATCCGAGGCAGTGGGGGATGCGGAACTCCTTGGGCTTGTTCTCGTCTCGCAGCAGCCTGGCCAGTTTCGATATGCGCCCGGCAACATGGGTGGGCGCCTTCTCTTGTTCGCCGATGGGCTCGTAGTACTTCCACTCCACCCACACGGGTGTCCTGCCCGGTCTCGACGGCGACATTGAGAGCTTTGAACTGGGCCAGCTGCTGCAGATGCCTGCCTTGTTTCAGGCCGTCCAGCGAGGCGACCAGTGCGGTCAGGTCGTCAAGTTTGTTGCTGGCCGGGAGAATCCCCATGTAAGAGGTCTCGTGCAGCTGCATCTGACGCTCCCTCCGGTGCTGCTCGAAGAGGTATGTCATGTTGTCGTTCTGCCGGCCTGGCGGGTGGAGACCGGGAGTAAGGTCGGTCTAGGGCGGTCCTCTGCGGCGGTTCGTCCGTCCTGCCGAGCGGGCGGGTGGGGCCCTCCGCCATTCCCCGCCGGGTTGACGTGCTAGCTGCAGCCTCCTGGGCCTGCAACCTCGCGACTCCGAATGCAGGATACAGAATTGTCATGGGACGGACACATGCCATCCTGTTCCCGGTAGCCAGCTATATCTCCCCGCCAAGCTGCCGCTGACGGCCCCGGGCAGCGCGACAGCCGCACCGCATCTGCTTTTCGCAGCCGAGACGAGGAAAAACCGAACAGGCACCGAACCACCCGCGACAAACCCACCATGTCGTCCCAACTGGGCCGGAGGGCCCTGCAGAGGAGCCTGGGGGCGCCGAGGGCGCCTGCGCACACAGCAGCAGCAGCAGCAGCAGCAACAGCTACGGCCAGGGCTGCGCGGCGCACGCCGTGCCTGACATCCACGGCGAGGTGGCTGTCCTCGGACAAGGGCAAGGCCCCCAAGCCCAACGAGGCCAGCTTCAAGGGCCAGATGCTCGAGAGCATCACGGCGCGCATAGCCAGGGAGAAGGAGGACCTCAGGAGGTCGGCCCTGGAGAGAGAGGCGCGCAGCAGGGGCGGCCCTCTCCCCGTCACGGTCTGTGAGTCGTCGTCGTCGTCCTCAACAGGCATCGGAGCCCAAGCCAGCCGTCGCTAACGCCCGCTCCCCCCCTCCCTCAACCAGTCGTCCTCGGCGCGAGTCTCATAGCCTTCTACTGCGGCCTCAACTACCCACGCGACATCGACCCGTCTTCAACACTCCCCCTCGGCGCCATCGCCAGGCCGCCCAGGCACAACACCTCGCCCAAGGAGCTCGAGGCCGCGTGGGCCGACTTCGTCGCCATCGTGGGCAGGGAGAACGTGTCGACGCTCGACGACGTCATCACCACGCACGCGACCTCGGACTGGTCGACGCACAAGCACTCCCCGGACACGGAGCGGCCCTTCTGCGTCGTCTACCCGGCCTCGACCGACGAGGTGTCTCGCGTCATGAAGGTGTGCCACGCCCGCCGGATCCCCGTCACCGGGTATTCTGGGGGCACGAGCCTCGAGGGCCACTTCGCCGCGACGCGGGGCGGCATCTGCGTCGACTTTGCGCGCATGGACGCCGTGCTGGCGCTGCACAAGGAGGACCTCGACGTCGTGGTCCAGCCCGCCGTGGGCTGGGAGCGCCTCAACGACCAGCTGGCCGCCGACGGGCTCTTCTTCCCGCCCGACCCGGGCCCCGGCGCCATGATCGGCGGCATGATCGGCACCGGGTGCAGCGGCACCAACGCCTACCGCTACGGCACCATGCGCGAGTGGGTGCTCAGCCTGACCGTCGTTCTGGCCGACGGCACCGTCATCAGGACGCGGCAGCGCCCGCGCAAGAGCTCCGCCGGCTACGACCTCACCAGGCTGTTCATCGGCAGCGAGGGCACCCTGGGCCTCGTGACCGAGGCCACGCTCAAGGTCACGGTCAAGCCCGCGCAGACGAGCGTGGCCGTGTGCAGCTTCGGCACGGTGCGCCAGGCCGCCGACTGCGTCGCGCAGGTCGTCGGGGCCGGCGTGCCCGTCGCCGCGGTCGAGATCCTCGACGACGAGATGATGAGCTGCATCAACAAGGCCGGGTCGACGGCCCGCACGTGGCAGGAGGCCCCGACGCTCTTCTTCAAGTTCGCCGGGACCGACAAGGGCGTCAAGGAGCAGGTCGACGTCGTGCGGCAGATGGCCAAGCGGGCCGGCAGCACGGGCTTCGACTTTGCGAGGAGCCTCGAGGAGCAGCACGACCTGTGGTCGGCGCGCAAGGAGGCCCTCTGGAGCACCCTGGCTGTCAAGCGCGACGGCGACAACGTCTGGACCGGCGACGTCGCCGTCCCCATCTCGCGCCTGCCCGACATCATCGAGCAGACCAAGAAGGACGTCAAGGGCAGCGGTCTCTACGGGACTATCGTTGGCCACGTCGGCGACGGCAACTTCCACACCATACTTCTGTACAATGACTCGGAGAGGCAGATCGCCGAGGAGGTCGTCCACCGCATGGTCAAGCGGGCCGTCGAGATGGAGGGCACGGTCACGGTGAGATAAACAACTACTGCCCCTGATACCCAGCGCGACGAGCGCTTCGTGATGTGGCATTTTGGCTAACGACCATGACCCTACCAACAGGGCGAGCACGGCGTCGGGCTGGGGAAGCGTGACTATCTTCCTCACGAGCTGGGTGTGTCCACCGTGGACGCCATGCGCAAGGTACCATCTATTGTTCCCTTCCCTCCGCTACTCCGTCCTTTTCCTTACATATCTGGTCGATTTCTCCCTGGCAGCTGGAGTCATGGTAACTGACATGGCCTCGCAACCAAACAGATGAAGCAGGCATTCGACCCACTGTGCTTGCTGAACTGCGACAAGGTCGTGCGGATGCAGAAGCCCAAGGCGGGCGAGGTGGCCGAGTGGTGAGACTGCCGTGGCGTACTCGAAGGCAGCAGCAGCATAATACTCAACTCATCTCCGTGGAGGCTGTTGGTGGACACGCAACAACAGGTTGCAGGAACATCAAAATTGTAAAATATTGGGAAGCTTTCCCGGCTAGTGTAGCCGAGTTGAAGCGAAACTGGACCAGTGAGTCTTGGGGTCCCCACGGGTGACCCAATCTGGGCAAGGGACGCTGCTCCTTATTACACGCGACCAGAGAATGCCTCATCACGTGTGCATCTGATGTCGGAAGGATTCGCTCCCCTCCCTGCCTTTCAGTATCTACAGCTGTAGAGCAGGTGGGCGCTCATATGGCATCGTAGTAATATAGGCGCGCGCAACCCTGCTGCCAACACAGTGGTACCTGATCCGCTCCACTGGCCCCGCGGCCCCGCCACTACTAACCGCGTGGCACAAGTCAACTGTTTCACTCATGGAGCTCGTCAGTATGCTCTGCTCTGCGCATGCCCGGCAAATGCCGTGGTTGTCAACGGTCTGTCTGAGGAGGCGGCCGTCAGTTGGCCGGCTGGACTTGGCTACGTGCCAGATAGACAAGACAGCATAAGGCTGACATTACTGCGGTCGACTGACATGCACGCCTCCCTCAGCCATAAAGGATCGGCCGCCGGCGGGCGGGCACACATGCAATCAATCAATCAATCTTAGTATATGAGGCACGCATTACTGCGGCGCGGTTTGGCCCCAGAGACGCCAAATGTTACCACACCCGCCCGGACCAAATCTGAACCACCGAGGGTTCACCTCACGTGGCTCGCGCGCCCCTTGGGCGAGTGAGAGTGGGCGGACAGGCGGACCAGAGTTGGGGCACAAGAGTCTGGGCCCCCTTCGTCAGCACTAAATGCTCACTTTGGGCACGGTGGGAACCTTCAGCTCACGACGCCCCGAGGCAGGCACTGCGGCTGCCCCCTCTGTTAAAATAGTGCCTGGCCCAGGGAGAGGCACGGAGGGAGGGAGTGAGGGAGGATCGCACAAGTTTGCACCTTTGCTTATCCATCCCCATCCCACAGTGCCCATTCTCGGGACCTGGGCAATGGCAGTGTAGATTGCTGATTTGCGGTGGTGGAATACGCCTCTTGGCGGTATTGCTTGCAGAAACGAAATGCAATCATTGCGTGCATGCATCTCCTTGCGTTCGTTGACTGCATATTCGGTCCGTGTCCCGTATTCCTCGTCCTACCTGCAGAGCCACATCTCAGGAAGCCTGTGCGGAGCAGAGATCGTGTGGGTTCCGCCGGGCTGTGCACATCTCTCCGGCTCTCCGGCCCCTCTGTTGCCTATCAAACACACATAGCGTTGGTCAGATGCCGGCAGTCAGGCATTCCCAAGGACATGAACAGTTTGCTACGCCTCGCCGCGGGAGGCCGGCACTGTCGCGATCCGGGAGTTTGAGGGAAGAATTGGAAATGGCACAGCCGCCGACGTGTGCTGGCTGGGTTGGCTGCTGCTGGGCGGGCGACCCAGCCACGGGTTGCGACAGGGGGCCAGGGGGCAGGGGGATGGATGATGGAAGGGCCAGGTTGCCAGGGACCAGGGCCAGAGACGGGACGAGCAGCAGAGATGGCGGCAGTCGGCTGGCAGGGTCAGTAAGGTAACCAAAGGCAATAAAGCGTAAGGCTGTGAGGTCGGATTGGCGGCTCGGGGCGGTGTCTCGGGCCCAGTCGTATTGATTGGTCATGTTCGAGCTGAAGCGGCGGTTGTGTCTCACGGGCCCTGCAGCTTCCCAGAGTTCCTGTGCGCTTGTCAGGCTTGTGTGGGGGAGTTGCAAGTACGGAGTACGGAGTACGGAGCAGCAACATTGATGATACGAGGCCCGACCTCGACGGCTCTGTCCTGCGGGTCTGTCTTTGTTCAGGTTCGGGTTCGGGCAGCGAGACAAGAGAAGAGAAGAGAAGCGAAGAGGAAGTGACTGATGTGTGCATGCTGTGGTGTGATCAATGTACCGAGTGTGTGATTCGTGACCATGACCTGTTCAAGTAATCCCAATCCAGTCTGCCACTCATCAGTCCATTGCAGCCCTCAACGTTGCTCGGTTGGATCGGCCTGTCGGCTGGCCACACACGGTTTCAGGTTGTCGGGTTGTGCACGAGTGCAAGTTGCTGAGGCCCACAATGATGGGCGTCAAACTGCCTGCCTGCCTCTGCTGTGCTGGCAGGTTTGTGTGGTACTGTGCGATGCGGTGGAGTGCAGTGCTGGGGCGTCGACGTCAGAAGGGCACATTGAGGAAAATGGTAGAGGTTGGCATCCAGGGCAGCAAGGTGCAAGGCACTGCCAAACCTTGACACAACGACATAACATATGTGCAGCAGATAATAGTACCTAGGTCCTCACATGCTGTGTATTCGGGTGGTGGGTGGATAGCTGTCAGTCTGCTGGAGAGGCAGGCACGACCACGACAGCCAGCCAGCCAGCAGCCAGCATGGGCCTGACCCTGCACCTGCGCTGGGGTCTAGAAACAACCCGCCATCCAGCCATCGCCATCCTGCCATTCCGAGCGAAAATCGTCCCCACCACCCTCTATTCTTGAGTCTACCCAGTCTGCCCAGTCTAGCTTAGTTAGTTTCTATTCTCCATCCCGTCTCTTCTTATCCGTCCTCCATCCTCCATCCCTCCCCCCGGCACGTATTCCTCGCGTGTGCTCTGCTCATCGTGTGGTTGTACTTGTATCACAGCCCTGACTCTCTGCTACTCTGAACATTCGTTTCTCCTGATCTTCCTGAACTGTCGGTGTTTTTCTCTGTTTCCTTTCCTCGCCGCAAAGCATTGGCGCCAAGGTCGATCATCCACGCTGCCCACGCGACCTCCAACTCTGCTCTCGGATCCCTGATCCCATATCACCCTCTCCACGAGTCCAGGCTCTCCCCAATCCGCTTGACGACATCCGCACCTGTTCCCCCCAGGATCGACAGTGGCAGAGCTGCCACACACACAATCCGTACAGCCTGGCTGACGGAATACTGCTGTTGGCCGCCAAGGATTCCAGTCTGACCGAGCCTACCCTACCTTCTATTGCTATACTTGCGGCTCGTGCTCCTCTCTCATCCGATCATCGCCGTGCCGCCGTGCCGCCGCCTCTCGCCTCGCCTCCCTGCCGACAGTCCGCTGGTTGTTAACATGCCGTCAATTGCTTCCGTGTCATAGCTTCCCCAAATTCTGTGCGCCTGAGGAGATCCCAACCTGGAGTTACCACTTCAAATCAGTCAACGTCCACCATGCCTCGCCCATTTCGGATCGGCATACCGGTCGACCCATCCACAGGGTCTGTCGTTCTGCACGCTTCGCCCAACCTGCGACCGCGGCAAGATGGCCAGGATGGTCAGAGCACGTATGATCTCGAAAACGATGCCATGAATCGGGCCAACTCGGGCGGTGGAGGAGGTGGTAACACAAATGCCACGGCAATGGTTGGTCAAAGCCCAGCCTCCTCACTTCTTTGGTCGAGGAGTACCATTATGTGGATCTCTTGAATTTGCTTACACAGCCTCTAGATTGTCGTGGGCTCAATAGTAGGCGTCATACTCATCGCCTGCCTGTTCCTCTTGCTTCGATCGCTGCGCAAACGCCTAGACCCGAAATCCAAATATCGAGACGGGCCGTTGAAGAAGGTGTGGAGCAAGTTGAGCGGTTCTAAATCTAAGTACAGCCGGACTGGCGATTCCGACGATGAGTTCAACCGATCAGTCCGCATGCGCGAAGCCCAGGGCAATCTCGAAGACGCACTGCAGGATGTAAATGTCCAACGGACAATGGTCGGCGCAAACAATGTCCAGGATGGTGTCAACCGGAACACATCAGTCCGCTCCGTCATGACTCTCCCTGCTTACCGGCCAAAAGCAATAGATACGGAACAGGTCCTCGGCCGAGAGGGTGAACGTGACGGCATCGACACTGTTGTCGAGATGCCCACCGCCGAGGAAGACGAGGCCATGCGGGAGGATGAGATGAATGCATTGTACCAGATCCGCCTCGCCCGGCGGGAGCAGATCGCCGAGCGGGAAGCGCGCAGGGAGGAGCGCCGAGCGGCCAGGGAGCGGCACGACCATCGTGCCCTTGAGGACATCCGAGACCGAGCGCGCGTGGCATCTCAGCAGGCTACCATCCAGGTCGAGGGACTTCGCGAGGCCCATGAGCAGATCAAGCAGAGCAGGCAACGCGCCGTCAGCAGCGTGAGCTACGCTGACGTGGGCGTGGTGCGGGCAGACGGGACGAGGCTGCGGGCCAACAGCGCTGAGAGCGAGCGCATGGGCCTGCTTAGTGACGCCGGGAGCATCGCGCTCAGCGCACACGATGGCCACAGCCTGCAACACAGGAGGCAGCCCAGCGCGCAAAGCGTTCTCAGTATCGACACCTTCCGCAGCACCCCTGGCAGCTCCGCATCGCGTTCTGGGTCTCCTGGGTTCAACGGGGGACACAGCAGGCAGGGGTCGAGGAGCCAGCTAGGCGAGGATCTGCCCCGTACCGGGTCCGGTCTCTCGCAGCGGGCGGGATCCAGCCCCGAGCTGATCGATGCTGCAGAGGCAGACATCGGCGGTAGCGACATGCCGCCTCACTCGCCCCCCAGATATGACGACGTATCTCTCGATGAGATCTCACCCATGCACTCGCACCAGTCCGGCCCATCAGCCAACCCATCGGGCACGAACACCCCCTACAACGAGCCGCCACCGGACTACCCTGGCCGTGTTAATGAGCCCGAGGGACCCACCCAGGCCAGGCAGAACAGGCTCAGCGCACACATGGCCGACCTGGCCGAGCAGCAGCGGGCAGAAGGCCAGGGCCAAGGGCACACCAGGACGGCCTCCAGGGGTGTCGGTGGCGTGCCGCAGCTGCCGAGCCTGAGGCTGAACAGGCTGCCTCAGATTGTGGTCGAGCCATCGACCGCGCTTCCCAGGGATGATGACCAGGAGCAGCAGCGGAGGCCGTTTCCTTGAGCCAGGAAAGTGACCGTTTCCCGAACAGTGGAGGAGGGACAGCAATCGTTTGATTGTGCAGACGTCTGGCATGATAATGACGGATGACCCCCGAGAACACCAACACACCAAAACAACAAGGAGATTAGAGAGAAAGCGGGGCGAAGACACATTTTTGCCATTTCTGGATACATCGTTGGATTTCATACATCGTCGGATATCACGATGCGCCTTACAATCAGCAGCAAGCAGCATGCATGTCTTGATTTTGATTTATTTGCCAAATGTTTCTTATTTTTGGACAGATACCACCAACCACTGGGCTCTCCTTTGGGTTTTCCATCCTTTTGTTGTATATATAATCTGAGCATATCGTCAGGAGCATACTGGAGTACTCGGTTCTGAGCGGGGGACTACAAATTCATTGTCTATCTCACCTGTTGCTGTCCTTTTTAAAAAACCACATCTAGCGCTGAAATGTGGAGCCTGTGGATGGGAATATAATAAGGATATTTGATGCTGTCTTTATCACTTCCTCAGAGGCACTTGGTTGCAGTTATGCTAAGCTTCTTCCGTGAACCAGACCAGCTTTGATCAGCTGCCGCTTGTTGACGAGTATCGTCGTTTCCGTAGGTCTCTTTGGAACTGGTAGCTGAGAACAAGCCGAGGCATATATATATATTTATAGCATTGGCGCACCTGGGGGAGTAATACTGAGATGCCAAGGGCAAATCAAAGCTTTCTTCCTACTGGAGATCCTTGGTCCTTGTCGACGCGCGATAGGACTTTGACTGACTGACTGCAGCCAAGACAGGGTCTTGATGGAAATGGGTGAGTGACGAGGAAAAAACACTGCACTGATAGGAAGGATCTTGCAACATCCCATTCACTTCGGGGTGACCCCTTTCCGGTTACCTGACTGACACCAGTAGATGTGCAAACGGGTAGGCCCAGGCTGCCTACTCATCCATGCCCGGGACTGCGGCATTGTGGTGGTCACTCCCTCCCCCTCGAGATTTGCAGCATGTGGCCGGCCGCTGGGCTTGGGTGATGTGAGACCGCCGGCCAACACGGGGATGGGACTCGTGTGTCGTTTTCTCTCCCACATATTCTAACAGGTTGTCCGTACGGCAGGGTACAAGAGTGAAACACTCACGCAATCGACAACCTGGGAGGGAAGCTCGCATCAGGCCTCACTCAGTCCATTGATTTTCCCTTTTTTTCTTGGTTCACGTCTATAATGAATTATCTCTTACACAGACGGGCAGGGCAGGGCTGGACTGGACCGAAGAAGCCAAGCAGCCCCCCGGCCCGCCGACGCTCGCCGCGACAAAACAAAACCGTCTACAGGAGGATGCCGATCGACCAGCTAAGCTGGACGTTGCTGAGGCACGCTCGCTCGTCCGACCATTGGCCCGGGTCCCCATCCCCCTTGCTTTGCAACCAGAGCAAACCCCCCTATGAGCCCGGGTTCCTTTCTACTGCTCGACCTTCAGGCTCTGCAGCCTGGCCTCTGTCTGGATAACCTGTAGTAAGAGTGACTATTAGCATAGTTGGTCCGACACAGAGTGGTGCTGTTCAGGGCTGTGCGTGAAATCGTGCGTGTGCGCGCGCGAGAGCTCGCTTACCTCAAGAGCCTGCCTGACCTCCAACACCTTCCTCACCTCCCCGAGCCAGTCCCGGCTGAGCGTCTTTGCCCAGCCGGTGAGCCCGTTCATCTCGCGCGCGGCATTGTCCAGGTCCCCGTCCTCGAGGAACGTCTGCGTGCGCGTGAGCACGCTCTCGACGTCGTCGCCGGCCGCGAGCCCTTGCTTCTTGAACATGACCTTGCTCAGCAGCAGGCTGGAGGCGTGGGAGGCGACGCCCGCGTCCTCGGGGAGCAGGCTCGCCTTGCGCACCTCGGCGGCGACGCGGCGGAAGCGCTCCGCCAGGTCCTGGTGCGACGAGATGCCGCGCTGGTAGGCGGCCGGGTTGATGGACGCGATGGCGGCGTTGACGACGGCGTCGTCGGCGGCGATCTCGCGCAGCGCCACGAGCTCCTTGATGAAGGGCCGCGGGGCCGCCGAGTCCTGCAGGCTGGCGCGGACGGCCTCGACGGCCACGTGCAGCTGCTGCGTCCGCAGGCTCGTGTCGATGACGTCGTTCCAGCCGCCCGCCAGCTCCTCCAGGTCCCTGACGGACCTGGACAGCTCCTCGAGCCTGCCCAGCCTGCCGTCGCGCTCCCGCTCGACCCGCTGCTGGATCTCCTTGGCGAACAGCCGCTGGAGCTCGACGGCCTGCTCCAGGAGCTTGTTGTCGAGGCGCGCCTCGCTGACCTGCCGCTCGCGCTCCGTCATGACCTTGACCCGCTGGTCGTGCACCTCCTTGAGCTTCTTGATCTCCTCTTCGAACTCGCGCTGCAGGCCGGCCTCCCGGGTGGCCATGGCCGACTCGACGCGGGTCACGAGGTCGTTGGCGGCCTTGTCGAAGTCCTGGACGCGCTCCTTGACCTTGGCGGCGGCCTCCGCCTCGATCCTGGCCTTGATCTGGTCGATCTCCGAGGTGACCTTCTTCAGCTGGCCCTTGGCGGCCTCGATGCTGGACCCGTATTTGCTGTGGGCGCCGTCGGCGTTGATGACGGCGATGAGGTTGTTCAGCATGTGCGCCAGGTCCTGGACCACGGGCTCGTTCACGTTGGGGAAATAGATGGGCTCGAGAGGAGCCGCCGGAGGGAACCGGGAGGGCTCGTTGACCTCTGGCGGCTTGAAGTCGGAGGTCGCAGCGACAGGAGCAGCAGCAGCAGCAGCCACCGGGCGGACCTCCCTGGGCTCCACGGGCTTGGGTGCCTCGGCCTTGGGCTGTGGCTTTGGCGCGGGCTCCTTTGCCTTTGCCTCCTTCTTCGCAGCGACCGTCTTGTCAACGGCGCTGGACTGCCTGCCGGCGGGCTCGCCGCTGTCTGCTACCCTCCACGACATGCCGCTTGACGCTGGGATGCGCACGGCCTCGCCGGTATCGCGTCGTGCGCCGGTGCCACGGTTTGAGATGTTGGGGAAGCGCTTCCGGAACTCGGCCTCCTCCAGGTACAGCACGGCCTGCTCGCCGTAGGGGATATACTCGGTGAAGAAGTCGTGGAAGGTGTCGTTGATGCGAGAGTACCAGACACCACCGCCAAAGGCGACGGCGCCGAGCAGGACCAGGGTCAGGACATAGTTGCGTAGCCTCCTGAAGAAGCCCTTGCCCGCAGGAGGAGGAGGTGGTGGAGGAGGAGGGGGAGTTGCGGACTTGTCGTCCTTTGTGACGGCAGCGAGGTCTTCGGGGGCTGGAGGGGTCAGAGGCACATTCTCGGCGGGTATGGTCTGGGCATCGACCTTGTTCTCGAGCGGTGTGGAGGGTGTTGGGCTGGTCGACGCCGTGTTCGTCTCTGATGCTGGTGGTTTAGGGACTTGTGAGGCGGGGGTCTTCTCGTCGGCAAAGTATCTCTGCGTGCACAACCAAGCAGTCAGTCAGTCAGTCAGTCAGTCAGTCAGTCAGGCAGGCAGGCATTGAATCAATCCACGGTGGATTGGCTGGTGGCAGCTCTCAAGCAATACTGCACTCACCCTTGCAGCGAGCCCAGCAGGCCGTGCCGCCGCCGCTGCCTGCCATTGACGGCCAGAAGCAGCAGCGACAGACCTGCTGCTCAGGCCCCTCACGGATCGAAGCGATGTCCGCAACATGAGGGAAATCGAATGGCCGATGGATGGGGGGTTGGGTTTGTTAGGTGGGTAGCAACAACATCCAGCGCCGTGGGTGAGAGCAGACAGCTGCGGGAAATTTCGCGACCTGCCCAGGTTTTGCCGAAGCTCTGATGGCGGCCGGCAGGGGTCGGCTGCTGCCGCCAAAACCAAGGCACAGTAACGTCACTCACTGCCCGGGAGCGTTCACTTGTTATTATCACTGCTGCAGCTAGCTAGCATACAGCCCAACTCATATCTCCTACTTATTCAAGCCAAGGCAAGCAATACTCTAGTTGTGCCTGTTACAACCAGCACTGACCTATGCCAAGGCCTGACTGGTTACACAAATCTTCTGACCGACGCAGTCGAATAGCTATTCTATGCTCTTCTACACATTTCTGCATCCCCTGGTGTATGATCGAACCGACTTTCTCAAGACAAAATATCTCATTTCTTTGGCGTCTTCTATGTTCGCGTAGTGTACAACTCCGGATGATGTCCACACCGCACTTGCTGCGCTCCCGAAAATGATATTTCCCCCGTCCCCCTTCTCCCAGTAGTGTAGTGTAAGGCTCGTGGCGGCTAGACAATCTCGTCATATCAACATCATCCCTGGACGCCAGCCGTTTGCCTCTTTCTTCCCTGGACTATGCCAACGATCGGTCATGAACAATGCCAAAACACCACCAAGAAGCAGCGTATCAAGAAAGGAAATAAAGGTATTAAAGGGTAACCATCCTACTGCAGGACTCCCAAGCCAAACAAAAGCGCCGGCTTCACTGGTATCGTAAAGTGCCCAGGGAAGAGCCAGCAGTTCCTCCAATCTATGCCCCAGGCCCACGGCCTGCTATCCCACGATATCTCTTGTCGTTACCTTACAGAGAGCCGCGCCACCACGTGATCCAAAAACAGGCTGAGCTGCGTACGTAGCACAGCGTGGTATGTAGAGCTCCTGGTCGGACGCAGACCGTCAACAGCCACGGCACTTAGCACGCGCATGGCCCGTTGCTGTTCGTGTCCGACCTCTCCGGCGCCCCGAGGCTGACGCCTGGCCGCTGTCCTACCCTGGAGTGTCGTGGGCCAGCCTGGTCCAGTGGCAGCTTCTTAGCGATGGCGGTGAACAGCTCCCTCACGTTCTCGGCGGTCTTGGCGGATGTCTCGAAGAACAAGAGCCCGGCCTCGCGGGCGTACGCCTCAGCCTCGGAGGCGGGGATGGCCCGCTTGTCAGGCTGCTCGGTGACGAGATCCAGCTTGTTTCCGGCCAGGGCGATGATGATGTTCTCGTTGGCCTGGCGCTGGAGCTCCTTGACCCACGCCTTGGCCTTATCCAACGATGCCTGTGGCCGGCATGTCAGCAACGCCTGGGGTTCTGGCCCCTGAGCTCGGAGGGTCTGGGACGTACAGCTTGTGTGATATCGTAGACTACAACGGCGCAGTTCGCGTTCCTGTAGTACATGGGCGCCAGAGACTTGTATCTCTCCTGCCCGGCGGTGTCCCAGATCTCGAACTTGACAGTCGTGTTCTCGTCGAGAGAGATGGTCTGTGTGAGGAAGGCGGCGCCAATAGTTGATTCTCTGTACGAGTCGAATTGGTCCTAGCGGTCTGTCAGCGGCGAGGGAGATAAGAGGCTGGGAGGGTGCTAATAAGCCATGCGCACCTTTACAAATCGCAACACTATTGAGCTCTGGAATGGCGGGTTAGCGACGACGATGGCGCATGGGTTCTGATGGTAAAGTGACGGGGACGGGCAGTACCTTTCCGACGGCAGATTCTCCTACGATGTTGTTAGCCCACAAGCACAAGCACATGCACACGCACACCTCCACTACACGCAGAACTCGGGCGTCCGCGGTTCTTGTTGGAAGAGGAACATACCAAGCAGCACCAGCTTGAACTGCGCGAATCGGTTGCCCATTCCTCGGCCGCCAGGGGGTCCTCGAGTAGCCATATTGAGGGGCAGATGTGGTTTTGCGGAAGGGGTTGTTTGTTGGGAGAAAGATGCGGTTCTCTAGGTGGTCCGCCGATGGGGTTGGGCCTTGGATTTCGTGATCCACTCGTGCAGGCTGGCAGGCAGGCGGGTTGGCGGGCTGGAAGGTGGGCAGCTCGGGCTTCGAAGGAGTGCAGGTCCGCAGGCGACAGGGGTGGGTTGACTGACTGCCTAGGGGATGACGAGTTCTGCAGGTCAGGCCGTAGATACCGTAGGCGTGCAGAGAGCGTCAGAGGTCAAGGTGATGGAGGTGTGGATGGTGGCCAACGAACGAACGGTTGAATGAAAGAAGCTTGGGCGGAGGGCGATGATGAATTAGGCTGGGCTGGGCTTGACTGGGTCCGGACTGGCAGGCTGGCAGGCTGGCTGGCTGGCTGGCTGGCTGGCAAGACGGGGGGGCAGGATGCGGACGGAACGGGAATGATTGCACACGTCAGGCGCTGCACCAGACCAGAGTCTTGGGGCCAGGCTGCACTGCCCTGCCGGACCAGCACGACCAGCAGACCTCCCTCGAATACCCCGTCTGGGCCCGACCTAGCCGGCTGTTGTAGTCTGATGGGGGGCTAGACGGGCGGTTCTAGACGTATGGGGCCTAGACAATCCTTAGGTAATCTGATTGTCTGGCAGTCTGGCTTGTCTGGGTCATCTCTGAATGAAACGGATCGCGCAGTCACCGCACCCGAGTGGAGGGGCTGGAGGGGGCCCGGAACAGGGGACTGGCGAGATCAAGCGGACCCTCATTCACAAGCCATTCGCCTGCTGCTGCAGTGACGACACCCCGGCAGCTGCCCGGCCGAAATTAGAAGCGGCTCGGTTGGGGTCTTGGGTAAAATAGGTACCTGCCCTGGGTACCTACCCTAGGTACCTACCCTAGGTATCCAGGTAATGTAGCTTACCCCTACACCTGCTGGGCATGGGCAGTACAGCAACGTGGTGTAAATATCACCGTCGAGACATTTCGCCTCAACCTCCCTTGCCTTGCTCGCAACCACCCTTCCCGTCGCGCATCCGCAAGAAACCTGCAAGCAAATAATATCGAACGGCCACTGGAACCCAAGATCTCTGTGAACCAGCAACGACCGCCTGGAGCTGCGAGCCTCGAGCTGTCTGCCCGCTCCCCCTGTTGCCCAGCATGGCCCTGCCATTCAGGGATATTAATGTCCAAGTCGCCTCCGACTCCTACATCTTCACCTCGCCTTCCTCCCCCAATGCCCCGGCTCTTACTATCGACCGGCCAAGTGGCGATATCCGGTTGAGCGACGGTGCTCTGGTGGCTGGGAAAAGGGTGTCGAGGGTGACAAGCATTGCTGGCATCTTGGGCATCATCCAGCTGCGACTTGGTAATGCACCTCTGCGGCTCCCCTGCACTTGTCCCCATGCCTTTGCTAATGACTGGCACCAACAGACAAGTATGTCATCGTCATCACCAAGGCCCAGCCCATCGGACGGCTCAGGGGCCACATGGTCTACAAGATCGTCTCGACCGATATCCTCCCGATGCGCGAGCGACAAGTCCACGACCCAGACGAGGATAAGTTCCTCCTGATACTCAAGTCCTTCATCAAGTCTGGTCCCATGTACTTTTCGTACTCGATAGATCTCACCAACAGCTTCCAGCGCCAGTCACAGCATGACAACTCCAGGCCGTTGTGGCAGAGGGCAGACGACCGATTCTTCTGGAACAGACATGTCCAGTCCGACCTGATCGATTTCCGTACATCAGGCGCGAGAGGCCACCCAGGCCCCCAGCCTGGCGCTGACCCTTATATTCTGCCAATCATCTTTGGCATGCTCGAGATCCACCCGACAACATTCAAGGGGACTCCTTTGACCATCATTCTGATCACCAGACGTGGCCGGCACAGGGGCGGTACTAGGTACTTCTCGCGAGGAATAGACGAGCAGGGCCATGTCTCCAACTACAACGAGACGGAGCAGGTTGTGATCCTGAATGACAACGGGACCGGCATGAGCGGCTTTGCCGGTTCTGCCGACGTCCAGGCTCGCAAATCAGACGGCCAAGAGACACAGATCCTATCCTACGTCCAGACCAGAGGCAGCGTGCCAGTAAACTGGGCCGAGATCAACACCTTGTCGTATACGCCCAAGCTGCAGATCCGTGGCATCGACTCTGCCGTCGGCGCAGCGTCAGCACACTTCAACGAGCAGATCCGCATTTATGGCGATAACTACCTGGTCAACCTTGTCAACCAGAAGGGCCGGGAAAAGCGCGTGAAGGATGCCTATGAGCAGATCGTCGAGAAGCTGCAGTCGTCGCCCAAGGAGGCCGTGACTGGCGATCAGATCACCGACGAGAAGTTCCACGTCATCGAGTCTGGAAGTTCCAAGCGCGCCTTTGACCGCGTCCACTACATCTACTTCGACTTCCACTCCGAGACAAAGGGCATGCAGCTGCACCGGGCACAGCTCCTCCTGGACCGCATGCAGGACGCGCTCATCGCCCAGCAGTACTTCCGGGCCGTGGACATGCCGGCGGGCATCGACGGGCGCCTGGAGCCCAGGAACTTCCAGACCTCGGTCGTGCGCACCAACTGCATGGACTGCCTGGACCGCACCAACGTGGTGCAGAGCATGCTGGCGCGGTGGACGCTCGACCGCATGTTCGTCGACCTGGGCCTGATGCAGCGCGGGGCCACCTTCAAGGACGAGGACCCGGCCTTCGAGTTCCTCTACCGCAACCTGTGGGCCGACAACGCCGACGTCGTCAGCAGGAGCTACTCGGGCACGGGCGCCATGAAGACGGACATGACGCGCCTCGGGAAGCGCACCAAGGCCGGCGCCATGCGCGACGGCGAGATCGCCATCACGCGGTACGTCAAGAACAACTTCCTCGACGGGCCCCGGCAGGACGCCTTCGACCTTTTCCTGGGCACCTACGACCCCGGCGCGGTCGCCGTGGGCCCCAGCCAGATCTTTGCGGACCGCCGCCCCGTGCTCATCCAGGCCATCCCCTACGTCCTGGCGTTCAGCGTCTTCTTCGTGCTGGTCGGCATGTTCACCAGGCGCCTGCCCGACTCGGCGGTCCTGCCGATGCGCCTGTTCATCATCTTCTGGACCCTCGTGGGCGCCTGGGCCGGACGGTTCATCCTTAAGAACGGCATGCTCTACGTAAGTTCCCACACCTTGAAGCCTTCTCCCACAGACCCGTAAGGCGCAGCCTCACTGACAATCGTCCTCGCAGGTCAACTGGCCCAAGCTCAACCCCCGCCCCTACGTGGCAGAGGGCTACCAGGAGACCATCAGCAAGGTCAGGAAAGACCCGCTGCTCGGCCCTCTTGTGGCCAGGCACGAGCGCGGCCTGAGCGCGGCAAGGTACTCCAACGCCGAGGAGGGCAAGAAGAGGATCGAGTAGAGGTGGCTTTCGTGGCGGCGGTGTGTTGTAATAATAGAATTTGATTTCTGTTTTGGTCGCCCGGCTGGAGTTCCGGCTGCTTGTCTCGTAATCGGCATTTATAATTCTGAACAGGGCTGCTTTTGCGTTTTCTCTCATTCTATCCTTCTGTGTTTCTTTTTTTGATTTTGCATTTTGAAGCCCACAGACTTCTAGCAAGGGTTATAAAGCTCTTCACTAATTCGATTCTTCAGCGTGCTCTACCACCTCCTTTGTACCCTTCACCACATGTGATGTCTGTATTTCATGTTTGTGCGCCGAACAATTCGTCTCTACTTCCCTCCCTCTTTCAGTCTTCCTGGTTGACAGGGTAACCAGTGCATTCATGTCAAAATGTGTAACTCTCATCACCAAGAGCGAGGCCATCACAGGATCGCAAGCAGATTGTTCTCGATGGTCTTGATTTATGCCGGAAAGCCACCTGAATCCGCACAGCTGACCCTTGTCTATATCATCCAACGTCTTAGGGCAAGAAGCAAGACATGCTCCTGATATCTACGCCAAGACCAGACCAGACCAGACCAGAGCCACACCATAGGAACCTCTCCAACCCTCCCAAACCCATCCATCCCCACCCCGATCTCATGCTGGCACCACACACAGCTGGCCAGCAAACCCAACCCGACGGAACCCAACCAAACCAAACCAAACCAAGACCCTTACTTTGGTCTGGGCATCAGGCCGCCACGAAATCAGTCCGGATATCAAGCCGGGCAGAGACAAACACCTCCTCCCCAGCATGCCAGATGAACCAGTCGTCATACGAGAGCGACCACACCCACCCCAGGTTGTCCTCGGGCGGCAGGACCCCCGCGTCCCGCGCGTCGCGCTCGATGCGCCGCAGCACGGGCTGGATGTGCCTCATGGGCTTGTTCCCCGGCGCGATGGACAGCAGCTCCTCGCGGGTCTCGTGCACGGCCCGCAGGGACTCGGGGCCCAGGCCTTGGAAGCTGGGGACGGCTGGGTTGTTGTTGTTGTTGTCGTCCTCGGTCGGGAGGAAGGGCGCCAGCTTGTGCTGGAGGACGTCCATCTGCCTGTTGAGGTCGCGGATCGAGGGGGCGTTGGAGAGCGCTGCGGGGATCTTGGCCTGTTTTGTTTGGTCAGCTTCTGTGAGCTGCTGTCGCTGGATTGGGAGCAAGAGGTACATGGGTGAGGAGGTGGATTGGGTGGGTGGGCAAACGAGCAAGGCACGCGGCATGGACAAACAGCACGGCTTGACATAGGGCAGCAAGTGGGAGATGGGAAGGAGGCAGTATGGGGGGCCACTGGTCTTGCTTACCGGATCCAGGGTGCCAGTCCACCCGACGACGGAGTACCTCAGGGCCAGGCGGCACTCCTCGACCTGGAACTTGAAGCAGACGGCAGCCTCGCGGCGGCGGGCCATCGCCTGGCGCTGCTCCTCGTTCGAGAGGGGGAAGTGTGGGGGCATGGAGTTCTCACGGCTTCCTCCCTGTTGCTCCTCCATCATGCTGATGGGTGTGTCGCGACCTCTGTCGCTTTCGTTACTCTTGATGATGACCACGTCTTCGGCGTCGTCGACGTGGTGGTGGTTGTCGACGAGGTGGTGGTTGTCGGCGAAGTGGTCGTGGTCGGCGAAGTGGTCGTGGTCGGCGTTGTGGACCTCGACGGACTCGTGTTCTGCTGGCGCGGGGGTGGCCATTTGGCTAGAGACCGAAGCAAACTCTGCGAGATCGAGAGAGGAGTGACGAGGAGGAAAGGTGTGACGAGGAGTGTGAAACGGGAAGCGTGCCCTGGACCAAGTGCTCTGATTGTCTTCAGACATCGCTCGAGGCGGCATGGCGGGGTCGAAAAGGTTCCTGTGTTGAAAACTCATGGGGGGCCAGTGACTTGCGTGTGGCAAACGGCAGGTCTAAGGATCTCAACCACGCAAGTTGGGACGAATTTTGGCCACTTGGTGTGAATAACGGGTGAATCTATCAGCCAGAGGCAAACATCCGCACCAGCTGGGCTCGAGGACAGGTGTAGCTGGCAGTTGTGCGCAAGGGGTGAGAGGTGAGTGGAAGTTGAGACCTTTATGAGAAAGAGGTCGTGGCAAGACACCTCTGTGTCAAGACACCTCTGTGTCAAGACGCCTCTCGCAGACGAACCTCCCTCGAAAGTCAAGAAAGTAAGGACTTAAGTAGGCAGGGCGGGATATGCCTGAGCACAAAGCCAATCGATATGAATGAGAGGAATGCCATTCAAGCCAGCCTGATATAGCACCACAGCATAGGGATTGAAGACATGGCAATCACAAGGTCAACCGATATGAATGGGAGGAGTGCCATTCAAGCCAGCCTCATATCGCACCACACCATAGGGACTGAAGACACGACAGGCAGGCACAATCACAATAAAACACACATCATTCAAAGCAAGACTTGGGACCATGTATGGTATGTGCCTGTAGTATAAAGTATGTATAGACAAAACAGAAACGTCGAAAGCCTCGAGAAGGTATTGTCCACCCACTCCTTCAGCCATTCGACCTCCCCAAGATGGAAGAAACAGTTTTATCCCGCCCGCGTTTGCTATGTCCAAACCCGCTCGCTGATGGGGGGTGAGAGCACATGAACCCCCTCACCCCGCTGAATGATGTTATGTCCATCGTTGCCCTCGAAGTGCCACCCTTTCCGAGTTGCCCGCCACGTGTATGCAAAGAAAACAACAGTAATTACTAAATTAGACACGAAACCCCCCCCCCCCCCCAAAAAAAAGGAAAAGAACGTAGAGAGGAAAAGAACCCTTTCAACGGGGGTATCAAGAGCACGGTCATTCTAGCAAGCCCGCGAACCCTCTTTCCTTCTTCATCTTATATCCAAACAACGAGAAGGACAAACGGGGAAAAAGCCCTCGCGTGATCTGGCTATGCTCTGGAACAGCAGAAAGAAACACAGAATAGACCGAATTAAACTCCATAGGCTATGCCACATATTAAACAGGGAATCACAGCATAGGAAAAGAAGAAGAGGGCAGGCAGGTGGGGGGATGGTGGTGGTGGTGGTGGTGCGGGTTGTCCTGCCGCTATGCGCCGCCCTACAGCCACAGCAGCCACCTCACGCCGCGGACGAACCCCTTGCCGACGCCCAGGAACACCCTGGCGATCATGACGACGAGCCACACGTACCACATGAACCCGACCAGCGCCCACTCGAGCGCCAGCCAGCCCGCGCGCCTCGCCCACCGGAAGCGCCGCCTCCGCCGCCTGGACAGCTTGTCGATCACGTCCACGACGGCCTTGACCTTGCGCCGCTGCCCGTCCACCAGGTCGCCGCTGACCTCGTCCGCCTCCTCGGCGGCCGTGCGCGTCATCGCGCTCAGGTCTAGTTGCAGGCGTGTCCGCAGGTGCTCGATCTGCCCGTTGACGAGGTCGTTGCGCGTCCGGTGGCGGAACGAGTCGGCCGCCGACTCCCACCGCTGCCTGGACGTCTGGATCGCCGTGCCGAGCACCCGCGCCGTCACGGGGAAGAGGTCCGCCTCCGAGATGGGCTTGCTGAATAGTTCTTGGCGTTGATCCTCGGGCACGAGCTGCGTGACCTCGGGCCACGAGACCCTGTTGCCTAGGGCCGAGAGGACGTCGCTGCTCTCGTTGGTGGTCGTGACGTCCAGCACCTGCCCTTCATGATGCCGCCGGGATATGTTCATGGCCATTATGCCAGAGCTCAACATGTAGGCCTTCATACGTGCAACCTCCCTTCTGGTCAGCGGTGCACGCTCGGGCGCCAAGGTCTGCTCCGACAGAGAGAAATGACGGCTGTCCCTGTTGAAGGCCCCTGAGAACCGCCGGGTCTTAGGCGACTGTCCGGAGAATGCTGTGCCTGGACGTCTACCAGCAGAAAGCGGCTCCTCGTGGATGTTACCCATACGCATTTCGGTGTCTGACACGTCAACTGCTGGGTCCTTTTGCGTGTCCGAGTCTGCAACCGAGATATCTATTCTGGGAGGCTTCAGGAGCTCGAACCGGGTCGAACGGCGGCTAGCCGGCCTCGACAGCGGCGCACCTGTTGGGCCGTGGTCCCTAAAGTCCGACGCAGACACAAATGGAGGCATCACGTCGAGGAAGTGTTTCGAATCTTGCTTGACGTGCCCTGGCCGGCCTCTGATCGAGGCAGTCGGAGACAGCGATTTGCCTTGCTTCCGTCTTCCACGCTCCTCGGCATCGGTGGCGTCGGAAGATGAGGTCGAAGAGTCGGAGTCTTCAGCCTCTGAGTCCTTCTTCCATATCAGCTCGCTGACCTTGGAAACTCCCGACTTCAGCACGCTGTCGATTCGCGGCGCCTTAAAAAGACTGCGCAGGCCGGAACCGGGGTCACCCAAACGCATACTGTTCGTCTTGCGGTGAGACTTTTGGCTGTCACCCGTGAGCCGTGTAGTAATGACTTTTGGCTCAGGCTCGACAGAGTTATTCCTCGATCGTGATCGTCCTCGCTTGTCTACCTCGGGGGTGCTGGACAATCTGTCTGCTGCGGGAGTAGCGATAACTTCGACACTATTTTCCTTCTCGCTCGTTTGGATGTCGTGCTGGCGTTCAGAAGCTCGCTCTCGGCTGCGATCGCGGAACATCTGCTTGACCTTGGAGAATGGATTTCTTGACGGCGAGCCAGTCCTACTTGAAGCTGGGGACAACTCTGTGCCAATGCCGGGTATGAAATAGTTATCGCGACGTGTGTTGCGCGCTTCGGGCGAATTCGGTACAGAAGACTCAGTTTCCAGTGACGGTCTGCCCCAATATCGAGGTACTTCCAAGCTCTCCCGACTTGGGCGCTGCGAGGATGTGAGCTTGGGTCGACCGGCGAAATCTTTCTCCTCCACGCTGACAACATTGCTCAGGGATTCTCTGCGGCTGTGTTGGCGACTGCCTCCGGTTGAATCTGAGTTCTCGAGCCGGTCTGGCCTGATAGAGTCTGATGGCAGGGACTTGGGCTCCTTCAGCTCCGGCTCCTGTGACAGCCTTGCCTTGTTTCGTTGGGCCTCCTCCCGCGCGATCATCTCCATCATCTGTTTCTCAAGAATGTCCTTGTCGATATCTATTGTGTTCTTCCTACTACGTTTCTTCTGGCTATCTGAATCAGATGAACTTGAAGAGGAGGATGAGTCGCGCCGACGGAGAGGATTGTGGGAATGGCCATGTGCCGAGTTCGTGTGGCGGTGGAAGCTCCTGAGCTCCTGCAGCTTCTGGCGAGCTCTCTCACGTGTGCCACCTGAGGCATGGTCAAGTTCATTTTTGGCTGCTTTAGCCTCCGAGGCCGACTTTCCTGGTCCGTCTTCTGGCCCCGAGAGTTGCAACTGTGCATTCTTGAACGCAGCCGCAGGCGAAGCATCGTCTGTAGCCTGCGAAAGTGGCCGGTACAGGCCTGAGTCTTGAGGAAACACACGCCGCCAGTTGCGATCCTCGACCAATCTTTTGTGGTCATCCTGTTCCAGCCAGTAAATGTCTGCTACGAGGTCGGCCGGCTCGATGGTCCAGTCGTTCCTAGGTCGCTTCGGTTTGGCGACAGCATTCGACGTGCGAGAAACATGAGACGGCGGGGATGTCTCAACGTTGAAGACATCTGCACCAGCGAATGGTGGAAGGGCAGAGCTGCCCGGAGTCCGCATCTGGCGAGTGGCGACCCATTTCGCGACATCGTCTACCCAGTCTGTGACCCTACTCACGTCGCCAAAGCCTTGGCTCTCGCCATCGATGGTCTTCCTCTCCCTAGCCCTGACCTTGCGATTCCTTATATACTGTAGAGGATCGTATGGCCGGCCAATCTGGCCGGCAGCGTCAAAATTGAGCGGACCCCCGGGTGTAGAAACCGAGAGGGCAGGGTCACTCATGGTTGAGGTCTTGGACAATGTGTTTGGTTTCAAGGGCGGTAGTAGTTCGAGTGCCCGGCGGTATTGAGCGAGGAGTTCCATGTAGTCTTTCGCCTTCTGAGCCCTCGCCAACGTGGAACTGGAAAAGTGGTACCTGTAGCCGCTACCGTCGCTGGTAGTGTCGAAGGCGGGCTGTAATGCGCTCGGCCTCCCGCTAGATCCCAGCCTAGACAAGGTCCCTCGATCTGGTTTTGGAGACATGGTGCGCGAGACCCTTCTCTGCTGTTGCAACTGCTGTCTGAGGCTTCCTGCCACGGCATTATCTGTGGCCAACGGTACCAGTCTCGGAGGCAACGGCTGCGACACATTTCTTGTCTGCGCCATGCGCCTCGACTCGCTCAAATTCAATGCCATGTTGACAATCTGCGTGGATTCTATGTCCAGAGACGAAGTGGACGTGCGTGGAGACGGCGGTCTCGGCGGGCTTTCGTGTAGCTGCTCTTGCCTGGCATCAGCCCCCAACGCCCCGGGGGAAGTGCGCGGCGGTCTTTCTGCTGAACCGTTTATCGTATTCCCTGGGCCTGGGGACAGGCCGAGGCCGAGGCCGAGGCTCGAATGCCTCCCATTTTGTACCGGCTCATCGCTCTGGGTTGATGTGCGGTGGCTTTTGCTTTTGCCCTTTTCGACGGTGCGCCGCGAGCGGTGCTTGTGGTGTGGGGCGTCGCCGACGACAGCGTCCTCAAAGGGGTCGGAGAGGAGGAATGCGCCGCTGGAGCGAGGTTTGTGCGGTCTCGACTGACGGTGTTGGCGCTTCTGCCTGGCCGCGTGACCATTTGCCGGAGCATCGTCGTGGGAGGGTCGCTGTGCCTGTGCCAGGGTGGCATCGGTGGTCCAGGTAGTGTTCATGACGCTGCCGGAGGCACTCGACTCGCCCGGGTCTGGGCTGGCTGGCGCAGCATGGCGGTCCTGGGAGGACGGTCGGCGGCCGGTGGGCTGCGGGAGGAGGTGCTGCTGTGGGCTGGCATCCTGTTCCGTCATTTCGAGCCCTTGTTCACATGCCCCGGCCGGGGAGCTAGTGTGCCGAGTTGCAAATGCTTCAGAGACGGCAGACTGTCAGAAGGTGAGACATCTTGTTGTTGCACGTGGACGGCGGCGGTGAGGTGAGGGAGGGCGAGGGTTCAGTCGCAGACGGAGTCGTGGTTGGACGTCGGACAGTGGTCGGCGGACACGAGTAGTGGGCTTGCCGTATGTACGGAGTAAATAAGAGGCACGGGAGGTTTAGGAGGGTAGAGTCAGCGCCTCTGCTTGATTTGTCGGCCGGCGCAAGCTCTCGCGGGTCGTGGATGGCATGTGCTCAATGGTGTGTGTAACGTCCCTGTTTTTTTTCGCATGTGCCTACCGCCCTTGGGGATACAAGATGGGGTCGGCGGGAAGGTTTGGTGAGAGGAAGGGCTGGCGTAACGTCGGACGCCATTCGGACGGCCCCAGACTGCCTACCTGGGCCCCAGGAGCCAAAGAGGCGCAGGGAAAGCGACCCCTAGGCAAGTACCCAAGTACCCAAGTCCCTCCGTACCGCGCCTGGCACCTGCAGGCCGCAGTAAAATTGGCAAGCTTGGTCCGCTGCCCCACCTTTGCACCCGCCCGCCAGGCCCGCCTGCAGCTCAGAGATCCAGTCCCACGTTGCTGGTCTCGTTTTGGAGCTTTTGCTTTCGGTAGTGGCGGCATGGCGCCCCACATGTGGTCCTCCTCTGTGCCACTCTGGTCCCACTGACCGTCCCAGATCTCCAGGTCCTCGCCCTGCAGGCCTGGCAGGCTGTTGGTACCGTGACCGAGCCTGAGACCCTCTAAATCCTATCTGGTCAAGATCCCCAGGAAACCCGTCGCCGTCCTGTCGCAGACCGCGCTTGACCATAATGCAGGGCAATGCACGAGGCTTGGATGCTATTGAGTTTCTCTCTGCCGATCTGGCCCAGGAAAAAGAGACTATTGCCTCCATCTCCTTGCGCCATCAAATTTGACTCATGTGAGCGCAGTCGCAAAGTAGAAGTTCTGCTAAAAAGCTCCCGATACAGACCAAGCCCAAAGAGCATGTTTCGCAAGCAGGCGCCCTCGATCTTGATGACGCTGTCCCTTCAATTTAGAGTTTTGGGAGCTCCAGGAAGCCTGAGCGGAACTCTTCCTATGCCGGGCAGTCCTGGTACGGAGTCTGTTTGAGCAACCTTAATTGCAGCCGCCCTTGCCATGCGGTTGCGCGGCATCTTATGCACTTATGGAATGTCGATCGATATGATCGGAACTCGGCGCCCACGAGGCTCAGAGTTGGACAAGCATGATCCTGAGGTCCAATGTACCTACATCTCACACCTGTCCAACCAACATTCATGTCGAATTGAGTGAGTGTGAGATCAGAATGTGACTGCACTGGTAAAGACAGGAGTGAGACCATAATGCACCTCATGGTAGTTCATTTGAGGAGCAGGCACCCGTTGCAGTCGGCAATACCACACAGCAGTCGCGATACTCTTGGTACAATATATGGCAGCTTTAGTAATTCGACTGACTGCCAGACCAAAGTGGTATGAGTTCTGGCAACGGTTGCGATAGGGTCCCAATGCATCCCTTGGAATTGACGGTTCTATCCATGGTAACCATTCCCCCTTCGGCAACGGACACTCCCTGGCTTCTAGTTGGCCCTCTAGCCGTGACGAAGTTGAAGAGTGAGGAGCGGGGGGGAGGGAGGAGGGAGGAGGAACGTATACTACGGGATCTTTAAATCCTCACCTATAGACAGGGGAAGCGGTAACGATTCAAGAAGCACATAGAGAGATGGCCTTAGAATCAGCTTTCTTCTGGTCCTAAGCTCGTCCATATGTATATAAGAAAGAACCGTGGACAAATTCCTTCTCGGCTAGTCTTACTAGCAGTCCTAAAGCCGTTATAACTAATTAGAAGCCAGGGTTCAGTAGTTGCCGAAGGGGGAACCTTTGCCACAAATAAAACCTTTAATTCTGAATAACTTTTTCTGAAGCCTATAGTCTCATGGTGCGGTACTCAGGTATCTTCTGCTTCGCCCAGGCGGGAGTCTGCGAGTAGTCGTGGACTTTTATAGCCCGTCACACTGAAATGTTACCTTGAATATATTGAGTCGCCAATCAACTTACATCCTCTCCACCCTCGGCGACTCACCCATTTTACCCGTTGATATAAAGGCGGCAACAGAGTCGATCTGTTGAACGGCAATTGTAAAACGGCCGAACATTGTGGAAGGCACTCTTGCCCAATGCAGCTGAAGAAATGGTTCCCAGACACGATGTGGCGGGCATGTTACCCTGGAGCTGTGTTTAAAAGGCAGCGTGCCGTCCCTTGTCTAATGTGGTCAATTTGTTTCTACCTACTAGTACCTTGCTCAATTTGCCCGACCAGATCACAATATTCGAATCAAGATGAAGCTCCTTTATCTTGCATCCGCTCTTATGAGCTACCGCAATGCGGTAGCTCAGTTCACGCCGCCCGACGGGTGCTGTGCTACCGCAGCAATGCTGCGCTTCGAGTGCTCCCGCCTCGTGATCCAGCGAGCGGATCCCTTGGTCGAGCCCGGAAGGATAAAGTCCTCTCATAACCACCAGATCGTCGGTGGTAATTCATTCAATGCCACCATGGCGCCCGTCGAGTACGACCCGTCGGCTCTGTCTACCTGCACCTCATGCACATTCAGCGAGGACTTCTCCAACTACTGGACTGCGAACTTGTACTTCAGGGCGAGGAATGGCACATATAAGAGGGTGCCACAGATGTTGAACCTAGGGCTTGAGGGTGGGGACGGTGGTATCACAGTCTATTACATCCCCCCTTACGATGGCAAGACGACGGTCACTGCCTTCCAACCAGTGAGTGCTTCTTGGACGCAATATTTTTCTGTCTGATGGCCATGCATGGTGTCTAACATGGATCCTTCAGGGTTTTCGAATGCTCGTCGGTGATCCCACCCTGAGGACCCCCGAAGGACAACAGAAGCAGATCTGCCACCGCTGCTTCAGCAACATGGAGCAGAACCCCTTCGGCGGCGCTCCTTGTACGGGCAGCGATACTACCTCCTTACCCGAGGGCATGTGTGGTGGTGGTATTAGAACTACCATCACATTTCCCACGTGAGTCAATATCGGTCTGTTGCCTTGGTATCCCCAGACAACTTATTACTCATCATGTAGGTGCTGGGATGGCAAAAACACCGACAGCCCAGACCACAAGGCGCACGTCGCATACCCAAGCACGGGATCTTTCGAGTCGACAGGGCCCTGTCCATCAACCCACCCCGTGCGCCTGCCGCAGTTGATGTATGAAGTCATGTGGGACACGACACCCTTCAATGACCCAGACATCTGGCCCGAAGACGGCAGCCAGCCCTTCGTTTACTCGACTGGCGATGCGTGAGTTGCAGCCTCCCGGCACACTAGGTATTCTGTTCGAGACGCCCACCCACTGACCAACGACTTTTTGATCTTGTAGGACTGGGCACTCCCAACACGGCGACTATCTCTTCGGCTGGAAGGGTGACGCACTCCAGCGGGCCCTTGACAAGCGCTGCACCGGGGACGTCTGCAGCGAGCTCACACGCCAGCCCGCTGCTGACGCGACCAAGTGCACAATGCCACAGTTTGTCGATGAGGATGTTGATGGTTGTAAGTCCCCCCGTGCTCCTCGATCTTCTGTCTGCACGTTGTGGAACCAACGTCTGACTTCAACCGTATCAGGGATGGACGAACTTCCTGGGGGGATGCCGGTCATGTGATTTGATGCCAGAATTGAGACACCACTGATGCGTACCCACTTGTGTCTTGGTCAGTTGACACGCGTCTGTTGTAGGGACAAGGAGCTCATCGATACTTTCTAAATCAAAAGATTGTCGCCTAGAGACATAACGGTGTCCCTAAATCCCAAGGTTCTTTCTTGCCCAGTCGGTTGCTTCCTTGGGGTGTTTCCGACAATTTCCCAAAGCCTGCCTAGGTATAACAATGCATGTAGCCAACCCAGTATTAGAAAGATTTCATGTCGAGTTCGAAGTATTTGAAGATGATTGAGGAATGTGAAGGATATGACCATGGTATTCGGTGAAATGCAAGCTCGTTGTGTACAGACGGTTGGGAAGCACGAGTGCCCAGGTGGTTGTAGCATCGCATGGACACCACCAAAACAAACAAACATCCTCATAGATGGCGCAAACAATCAGTTGCTGCAAAGGTGTTTTTTATCTTGCGACAGAATGAGAGCAAAAATAAGAATGCGCAGAATGGCAAAAAGACCCTCCGAAGAGTCAGAAAATACCTCCGCCTTTTGCAGACCATCGCTGATATTTTACTGATACCGGCTAAGTTGAACTTGCGACCTCGGACCAGGTGGAAACCTGACGCTCAGCCGACTAGGCCACCTTGCCGGTGCTTTCTGCTAAATCCTTTTGTTTATATCGCAGGTGGCATAGTGACTTGCAACAGGGGGGGGGGGTTGGGCTGTTGCCATGAGCTGCCTGGAAGCTTGCCTGCACGTGCGACGAGGCGCCCCGACGCGTGCAGTCTCACTTACTCTCAAACAGACTGCTTTCCCACCCATTTCGAGGGGCCCTAATCTTTGTTCTCAGACATACTTCTCAACCTGCTTCTCACTCCAATCCCAAAACTTGCGTGCAAGGTCAACACCCCCCTCGCTCTCCGGCCTTACTGCCCGCTGCAAGTCGTCACAGATCGGCCCCACGCGACCCCAGGGGAGCACATAACTCCCAGGTGTCGTGACCTCTGGCGACAGACCCGCAAACAGCTGGGTATACGCGCCGTTGATGGGGTGGTAGTGCATCAAGAGCACCTGGAGCCTGAACAGGAAGTTCTGCTGGCTGAATAGATCCGTCCGCAGGTTCCCAGGGTTCAGAGGCACGCCCAAGACGCCGCTGAACCGCTTCGACAACTCAACCCCGTACGCCCACACGCCCACCTTGGCGAGACCATACCGATCCATGCTCGACTTCGGGCGGCTGTAGTCCAGGTTCTCAAGATCCAGCCCCAGGCCCTTCTCCTTCTCGTAATAAAACTCCGCCGCCAGCGACGACACAAACACAACCCGCACCTCGTTCGTGAGCGAGCCCCTGTCCGCCGCCGTGGCCTGGAGCAGCGGCGCCAGCAGCTTGGTGAAGAGGAACGGGCCCAGGCACATGACGCCCAGCTGCATCTCGTAGCCCTGCGCCGTCGTCTCCATCTTCTTGTCGTCCGCGGCCATGTACCCCGCGTTGTTGAAGAGCACGTGGAGCCTCGTCTCAGTCGACAAGAACCGCTCTGCCGACGCCTTGACCGAGTTGAGGTCGGCGAGGTCCAGGTGCAGGAAGACCAGCTCGCCCCTGGATGCGGGCTCGGCCTTTTTGATGCTTGCGATGGCGGTGTCCTCCTCTCGGGCTGCTATGTAGACCCTGGCGTTCTTCGAGTACAGGATCCGGGCTAGCTCCAGCCCCATCCCGGACGTCGAACCAGTTACTATGTAGACCTGTCGGGCCGAGGTCAGCTGTATAGTCTTGTGACGCGCTGAGAGACATGACCGACCTTGCCTGTGAGGTCTGGCGCGTTATTCCCCGTAAAGGCTGGCGCACGGGGGAACATTTGCGCCCAGAGGCTAGCGAATGATGGAGCCATTGGTGGTCTTTCCTGAAACTGAAGCAGTGAACGACTGAAAAGCCTAGATAAATGTTGTTAACATCGCACAACCGGACAATTCGAGCAAGACAGAAGAAGAGACGTGATGAGGCAGGAACGTCGCAATTATAAGATTTAGTCCTTAAAAACAGTGGGGATTGCCGCTGCGGACCAACGGGGTGATAGTCCTTAAGCTGTTGGTTCCCATTTCGGGAAGGTCCGCCAACAGTGTCACCAGGTACGGGTCTTGGTTCCACTCCTAATGCTGGCGACAGCCGCATCGTCGATATTCTCGATACCTGGGCACTAATTCGCCGTTTTATTTCAGCCCTTTCAACATCGAGTGACCAAGCAGAAGCCAGGAAAGTCCGAGTTGAGGCGCTCATGCTGTCGGCGAGGCTGGGTACTTCCACGCTAATATAGAAATAACAAGCTGAGCAACACCGACAAGGAGGCCGAGAAATCCAAACAAGACTGCCAGTAAAAGACCAAAGATCGCCACGGTCAACGCATTCCTCTCAGAAGTGTGTCTCTCGAACCACGATACTAATTTGTTTCGCGGGGGCCGTTTCGCGGTTATCTCGTTCAGTATTTTCAGTCTTTCTCCCCAGAAGATAAATCTGAAATCCGGTGGGATGACACGCAAAGTGCCATCATCCATCATAAGGTCTGGGTCCAATTTCCTCTTCTTCACAAGCGACTTTGTGAACCTCGCTGTTCTCTTGTCGGTTGACACGGGAAACAAGACATAAGACAGCGTGAGTAGTGTCTCTAGAAGCAATTGAGGAGGTAAGGAACCACTATCAGATGTTGCCATTAATTTTATGCGTTTGCTTGATTTATAATGGAGGATATGTGACATACATTTTGACCGAGTCGCCGAAGCTAGTATCCAGGTCAAGCTTAGCCGTATGCGATAGATGTGCTTTGATAAATGCCGTCTGATGGAATATTCTAACTGTGGAAGCTCGCGGGTCGTAGAGTAAATGCTGAGCCAGGTCATTTGTCGGCAAGAAGCGGATGCCACGTCTCCTCTGGAGTTTCCATGCCCGCAATGCACGGTTAGAGCATGTCGCGTGGAACGAAAGAGACCCAGTCATTGCGAAGGTGCTTTCCAGAAATTCAACAAATGTTTGTGTAGATATCCACTTGACCGGGAATGATTGATAAAGCTGGTAATTGTTGGAAAAGTCGTCCTTTGAAGCGCAGTCGATCATGAAAGCTGCCTTGACAACTTGCCTGGCTACGTGCTCCTTCTCCACCGCTTCACCATTGACAAATGCCTGGTCCTGGAACGAGGTTTTGGATCGAATAGCATTTTGTCTTAGAATTTTGACAGACTTGATGACCTCCGCATGGCTTTTGAGAATTGGCCTCCTCATCGAAATAGAGAAGACTTCAGGTGCGTTGCGCCAAATGGAGGTATAGAAGCGTATGAAAGCAACGAAATGCGAGTGATTAGCATTTTGAGGATCTGAGTGGCATATCTCTTCGATTATTTCCTTGAGTTCCGCGCTATTCGGGCCGTCGAGTTCCATCGGACTTGGGCAGGTTGAGGATATCTCGGTGAAGCTTGATAAATGACATGTTTGGTGCAAGATTCAGTAGAATGCTTCCAAGATTATGTGGACCCCAAGACTTGCAGCACTGGGGCTTACTAACCGGCTCTTATAGGGAGAGATTACTGCGGCTAGTAAAGCACGCATGTCGTGACACCACATCGATCGGGTGTGGCTGGAAGGCAGACCGCAGGGCGTTCCTCCCCCCAAATGATTTGGTAAGACACTTTCTGGCTGTAGGTTTTTTGTTGTTTTTTCTTCTTCTTCAAAACCTAGGACATTGCACCCTCAGATTCACCCCTAGATATATAACATTTTTCCTGCCGTATGTTATCAATCGCTGGTGTTCGCTCGCGGCTTGCGGTCGGGTTCGTGTTCTTGAAGAGGTCGCTGCTGGGGGCTTGCTGCCCCTGAACACCTATGATGTCAACTCTATCACCAGCTGAGGCCGCAGCCCCTTCGTTTCCAGCATCAAATACTCCTAGATTTCAGAACGCAGCCACCCCTTGTTCAAATGTACTCCACTAAAGGCAATTCAGATTTCTGAAAAATCTCATCCACAAAGTGAGACTATCCAACTCTTTGGCATCTGAGGCAGTTGCTGGACCACACCCATCTTCTTCGGCCTCGCTGTCGGTGCTTCCATCATCTCTGACGGCCTCGGCTGTCAGATACAAGAAAATCGTCGAACTGTATATGTATTTCCCGATGCCTGCAACAATATCAGCAAAGCTCACCGAGATCGATTTCCTGCGCTTAAGGATATACTGCAAAGAAATATCGAGGATGCGCCCAGTCTTTCCAACTTGCACAGCCCCATTAGCTATCAATTGCTTTTGTGTGGTCCTCACTTGGAAGCAGCCATTCCATCTATAGTGATCTTTTGTCCGCGTGATAGACTGAGGAAACTGAAATCGCTCTTGACACAGCCACACATTAAATCTCAATTCGAGCCAGAACCCAATACTTCAGATTCCGTCGACTTTGGACTTTTTTTCTGGGGCCAATCTATTGAAATGCTGGCAGTTCACCATTCCCGAGAGGGAGGCCACCGACAACATTACAGGCGATGCGAACGCACGACGTGCACCATGGGGCGTCCGCATAATCGATACTGTCTCAGGACACTCATCAACTGCAACGATAAGCTGCATTGTGAAAATCGCCGGAGTTCGATTCGGACTTACCACGGCACATTCCTTCCGCCGGCCTCAGGGTACCTTCATTGAAAACTACAGTATCGGCAGTGCTTATACTGACGCAGACGACGATGAAAGCGACACATTCACGGAATGGGATGGCCATGAAGAAGCGTTGATTGATTTGGCCGAAGTCCGGCCCTTCAACAGTGGCAGGGAGGAGATCCGACTTGGGAATATTCACGCTTATATACCTCCCCGTGCGGATACGTCAGCGTGGGCACAACAGCATGCAGACCTTGATTGGGCGCTTCTGATGATGGGATTCAAGGGAAACGAACCATCGCTTTCTGAGACTGAAGCTCAAGCTCTACCCATCGCGAGTCACCTGCCTCCAGAGCTTCTCGATGTACTGATCATTACAAGGGCACACAGTTATGTGCACGCAATCCTGTACAACACTCCTTCATTCATAGCAGGGGTAAAAGGTTCACAAGCAGCCGAAGTTTGGACAGTAACTTGTGTGTCCCAAGGTACTCGTAAGTTTCGTGATTATTATATGAGTTCCAAGACCCTTACCAAAGACCTCCAATCTTCACTCGCCGACATTAACACATTTGTTATCAGCTATACTGAAGGGTGATTCCGGCTCCATGGTCATTGATGCCCGATCTGGTGAGCTTTACGGCATGGTTATGGCTGCCAATCCTCTTGGAGACATTCACATTATTCCTTTTGCTGCAATCGTCGCGCAGATAACGGAGTTCTTCGAGACTCAAAAAGTTTCTGTCCATATCCTACCGAATGGCTTGTCTGTATCAACCACTAGACCTCCCAGTGACATTGACAGCACGGAGAAGGAAAGAAGACCGAGCGAACGTTATTCTGCATTCAAGTATCTCTAACCCGTGCCGAAGTCTTTAGCCTGAAGCTGACGAGAAGCAGGACTCGGTTTGGTAACTTTTTGGATGACTCGAACCGTATTCCGGAACTACAATACCAGGGCCATTCTACGGATGGAGATCAAAGAGTCCAAGAGATGGTAGCACGTATGAATCAAATTCTAAAGAAATTCGAGAAGAAGTTTAATGGGGAAGTTTGATTACACCAGATACTATTGACTGTGTACCGTTCATAATGGTGTTGTAAGAGTCATTCACGCATTCCTTAGTATATGTTACTCAATAGATTCTTGTTTTGGCTTCTCTCTATCAGGTGATCACGGCGGGCATACTCCGTAATGGGACTATGTATTCTTCGACAAAAACGCGGAGAACCTGTAGACCCTGGAGGATAACAACACACACGCATGAAGTTGTTTCGATCACATCGTCAGTCTCATTCTCACATCACACGACTGCTCATCTCGATCGGATGACCACTCAATATGCATCTCTATCGCGTGTACCCAGGACTGGGTCTTGATGACTTCCAGCGCCGCGGGCTCGCCCAGCGGGCGGGTCATGATCATCGCGTCCCTAGGAAGCCCTGGGAAACCTTGAGAAAGAAAATCCGGAGCAGCCATGACGAATTCGCGTAAACTTCATGCGTGTTAAATCGTATTTGTTTGTCATCCAGATAGTCATTGAAGCGCCTAAGACCAACCTTGGAATAAGGTCTAGAAAAGCCCGGGTGACCCCTGGATGACACTTTAGATAACCCTCACCGTCGATGAAGAGGTCCAGTCCCAACTGAAAGCCTGGTCCTTCCCTGGTAATATATACTTCCAAGGAAAGTTTGAAGAAAACATAACGTCAGAAACACGCCCCCAAAAAGAATCTTGCCAGGTAAGCATCAAGATGATAAGAAGCATGCGACTAGTCAATGAATGGGTGGAAAGGCCAGCCTCATCATTATATGATTCAAATCGAGAATTGAACTTCGTCCTCAAATGAAATAGTATGTCCTTGTTTGTGTGGTTTCGCTTCTATTCCGTATACGTCCGAGGACATACATGGCGCCTTCATACGGTGATGTCCCTGTTTATTAGGTAGTAATTTAATTGGTTTCAAATCGCCAGCCCCCCCAACCCCTGGTCCCTATTTAACTATATACCTAGGTACTATGTTTCCCATCTCCTCAGAGTTCGTGAACCAAATCTCTGCACTCGCTCTCTCGTTCTTCCCAAAAATGAAAAGACCTCAATGCACCGGTTTATACTACCTGTACCACTGACCAAGCTATTATCGCGACATTACGTAACTGTCTCGCAACTCAAAGGTTCCCATGGCGAGATGGAGACGGCCCCGTCAAATTTATGGCTCGGTCCCGCTCTCCATGGCCGTCGCGGCTTACTTCTTCTTGATCTTCGATGATAGGAGGTTCGAAATCTGGAGTAGTCATCTCCGAACTTGCCGGAGACACCGCCGGTGCGTGGGGATAGCTCCGGTGATAATCGTGGAGGAAGGCCGTGTACGCGGGCGGGGAGAGCGCAGGCGTCTGAGTCCACTGGTCACGATATAAACCTGGCCTAGGGGGACTGCCCACGTATTGGTGGTGTTCGAAATACGTATCTTCCGTGCTGGAGCGCGAGGTGTTGGTGCTAGAGGGGGACAGGTGGCTCAGGCTGCTGGTCTCGTCCATGTCCGCCACCAAGGTGCGGAGCAGATCAAGACATTCGCCAACGTTTTCTGCGATGCCGAAGAGGAGTATGAGGACTGCTTCTTCCTCGGGCGAGGCACCTGCGTTGGTGGATGCCGAGGATTCATTGGAAAGCCCGAGTCGAGCCCAGGGGCAGTGTGGATCGTTGCAAGCCATGATATGTGCGGCGTTATATAGGTCCCTGGTGATACCCCGCGCCTCCCTCATATCTTCAGAAGTAGAATTGGTAGCCATTAGGAACGGACTGTTTATCCTTCTCTAGTAACGAGTACTACCCCTCTTGGAGAGTGGATTTGTCGGTAGGGATGAATGCATTTATTTGAGGAGGGATAACTTGATGCTAAGTCTAGCGCGACCACGAATGTCGTTCCGAGGAACTTAAATAAGCCACAAATTTCCGCTCTTATGAATCGTACGTGTCATCCGGTTTCGTGGTCCCGCAGGTGGTTTGCTTGACGATGCTGAATACGATGGAGTCACAAACACTCATTCTCCCTCCAGGCTTCCGGGGAAGTGAAATGAAACCGTTTTTTGGGATCTTGATAGAAATCTAACCAGTATTTTATTCAAACTCTGTTACTGTGAGTCGCGAACGGAGTGGGCGCGTTGTTGATCACTCAATGCAGATGTTCATACTGTCCGTCATTCACAAAACTGTTTCCACTTTCTAAACAATCATGCTAGAGAGGATGATTCCAGGACCTTAAAGTGTCCTGAGGCGAGAAACACATCTAAACTGACAGTGCGGTCGTTTTGTCTCCAAGTTGACCCCATGTTGATACTCGTTCTCCAAACCCTTTGGACTGTTCTTGACTGGTATTCAGTCCGACTCAGTCCGATTCATCGGCCCAGTATTCCTCGTAAAGCGCGGGTCGACGAAGCCTTAGAGGGTGCTCTGACTCTGAGCCATTGTCATGAGCGTGGCGGCTCACATACGGCCATCGCAAGCTGGACTGGAGCGGGTCGTCAGGGCATTTGGCATGCCCGCGGCTGGATGCACTGCCGGGCCTGAACGGGAGCTCATCAGCTTCTGGGGCCATTAGATCAGATGAATCGTAAAAGGTGGTCGCCGATCTCATACCTGAGCTGCCATGCGCGGCCAGGGCTTTCGGAGAGATGTGTTTGGTGATGCTTGACAACATGGAACCCATCTTGTCGGATTCCCTTTCTGGGCTGGAACAACCTCCGCCACTCAGATTTCGGGTTCTCTTAAGTAACTCTTCCGAACGCTTGGGTATTTGTTTCTCAGGCTTCGCTTGGTGAGCAACCTTCGTTGATTTTCTCGGCATGACTCTCGACTCCGTTGACTTTGACAACTTACAAGTGGGTAAGATAGCCATGTGCCTTCTCCTAATTTCAATCCGTGTTAGGGGTAAGTTTATTAGAAAATACTCTAATAGATTTAAAAAGTAAAAATAACTAACTTTAGGCGCAAGCTCCGTTTTTTATTATAAAATTTAAACACATTTGGCTGAACAGTAATCGCGGTACCACGAAGGGGTTGTGGTCTAGTCTGGTCGAGTGCTGCCTAGGTAACATAGTTGAGAATGTCTCTGCAATGGGGCAGCAACTCCTTTAGGCGGATTGACAGCATTACATTGTGACTCGGAACCGATGAAAGCTGATGATCTCTTTGGCCTTGATCAGTGCCTTTAGCTACCTCACAAAGAAAGGAACCACCGCAAGACTTTGACTCATCCCAGTGAAGCATTGAACGCAGACATGATGAAGCCGCCTAAGATAGTCAGTCAGTCAGGAAAGTGAGTCAAACAAAGCAAAGAAATACGTTGGCCGGTGATGGGTGTTAGGAAGGAACGGAAGGATTGTCAGAACCCGTGGATAAGGTTACTCTGAAAGACCATCATTTATACTTACCGACGACAACAGTCAGAAGATCGACATGGTGGCACGGGTGAAGCGTCCATGGGTGCGGCCACGAGTTAATGGCCGTCTTCTTACTTCTGCAGGGCTGACCGGGCGAGGTCATCCCATTTAAGAGAGCGTTACATGCCTGATTTACCAACCCAGTAGCTCATTTGTCAAGGCTGTACACTTCGATTTCAGCAAACTGACTAGATTGCAGAGCCGCAAGTTCAATTCACTGAGAGATCAGTGACAAGAAAAAAAAAAAAGGAGATCAGGCACAACAGCCAGCCACATCAGGCAACAACGGCCACATCAGGCCAAGACACCGCGTGGCAAGTTTTCTCATTCCTCCCAGGCACAACAGCCACCCTGAAGAGGCTAACAAGCCCTTCCTGTCAACTAGCTTGCAAAACAGTAAGTAACCATCTCCTTCCCCCAACGTGTCACCTTAACAAACAAGCTCTGGGCTCTCTTTTTTGCCCAGTCGTCAGCCTTCCCTACCATGCACCACCCTACTTAGAAGAGCTACACAACTCAATTTTACCGACCCAGTAGCTCAATCGTTGAGGCTGCTCACTCCATTCAGCTAAACTGACCAAGTCGCAGGGCCGTGTGTTCGAGCCTTAAGTGGTTCAAGAAAGGTTGACCTTGACTTCATTGTTGAGGGCTCGTTACGAGATCCAGATGTATAATGATCATCTGTGGACGGAAAGTAAAACTCTTATCCTAAGAGTTTGAAGAGAAGGTATTGCATTGCAATGCAATACAACGCCGTAGAGAATACGGAACAGGGGTCTGCTGACCAGCATGAGAGTTGAAGTGGCTTCGGCTGCTTATCGAATTGGAGTGGCTTCGGCTGCTAATTACGCAAAGCGTACTGTCCGGTCCTGCATAATGTCAGTAAGTAACACACCTACCCTCCTAACATGTCACCTCAACGATTGAGTACTGGGTTCTATTTTTTTCTTCTTTTCCTCTTTTTCTTTGCTGGCTGGCCTCCATCCTCCAAGTCTTCAGGATGGTGCGCAATTGAATTAGAAGGTTGACTTGATGAGCTGTATAAGGTGAGGCTCTCCTAAAACTGAGAACCTGACCTGTGCTTATTTAAAATCTGCCGATCTGCGATTGCCCATAAATTTGTGTCAGTTTCTGATTTCTGTTAGTCCACTTGTGCTTTAAGGACTGCAGCCAGCTTGTGTCATGTGAAAACAAATCCCACTTGCTCACACTTCTGGTGTGCCTACCATCACCATCTTGATTAGCCTACCGACAGGTCTCAAAGACATACTGCATCGGCAAATGACTCCTCAAAGCTAATCACGATGTCACGTTAATGCTAACCCTTGCCCCTAGATCCCAGGCAAGCTTCAACTCCGGCTGTGTCAGCGAGTGACCAGAGTGTGTTGGAAAGTGAAACAAAATTTGTATGCGAGGAGTGCCGGTTGCAACGGGAGCGCGGCTGCTAAGTCCCACGCTCTGCCGCCCGGCCAAAAGACCATAGTAACCAATCTGGCGATTGGCTATTCCTTAGCAGTTACAAGTGCCGTACCGTCACTCCAGTGATGGGGAAATTGAACACTTTGATAGCGAGTTTGAGTATAATGAAATCTATGTACATGGCATTGCCTGGACGTATGTGACATGACCGCTCAGAATGCAATTCAACAATTGACTATCAAGACTTGCGCAACAACTCATCCACCTGCGCAGTGATGCTCACCATCGGGAAGGAACTTCTGTTGCCAGCGTTAGTACCTTCCACGATCGGGTCCGCGAAATATTCCTCTAGCATGAATAAAGCATCCGGACCAATCTGGACAGCAGCCGGGACCTGACCACCCTGGGCCTCAGGGACGTTGTCGGAAACCAGACCCAGCGTCTCAGCACTCTCCCACTTCCCATCCTTCGATCTGATGACCCACACACCCGCAGCGTCCTCGGCGACCAGCAGCACAGTGTTGTTGTACTTGGCCGGCAGCAGGATGGCGTCACTGAAGCCAATAGGCGCCGAGGGCAGCGTGCCGTTCGGCCCAGTGCGGGGGATCTGCACAGGCGTGCCCGTCTCGCTGCCGCTGACCCCGTCGAAGCGGTAGATCTGACCGTCGACATTGTTGTTGGTAAGTATCAGGTCACGCTCGCGGATGGACGCGAGGCCGCCGAACCCAGCGACCGTCGTGTTGGCCAGCTCGTCCGCGGGTGGGAGGAAGAAAGGCTTGAGCCCGTTGCCGTCCTTGTCCACGCGCAGCACGGTCCCCGGGAACGTTCCCACAATATAGATGTTGCCGTCCTTGTCGTGCTCCACGTCCTGGAACCCGCCCCAGACGCCCTGGGTGACCAGCTCCGTGATGTTGCGCTGCCAGATGACCTTTCGGTTGTCGAGGTCGTACTTGAGAACGAGGTTGGAGCCTGTGACGTCCTGGCCGCCGGTGTTGAAGGCAGCGCCTGCGTCAATGAGCACGGTCAGGTGTCCCTGTGCGTCAGGTAGTGCCGGGCCGAGGTGGAGGGCCGGATCGCCTGATATCCCCGGCAGATCGATGGTCTCTAGATCCTTGGTGTACGGGTTGAAGACACCGACCGAGGCGTTGAAAAGGACGCTGTTCATTGTCATTAGGTATATATACGCTTTCCCCTGCGGATGGACTGTTCAGGGGACATAAGCAAGAGCCTCAAATAACCAGCACTCACCCAAAATAGACCAAGCAGCGGTTGAAATCGAACTTCGCATTCTCTGGGTACAACTGAAACTCGTCGATAACGAATGTGCTGCTGTTCAACGACGGACAGCCATTTCTGCCCTTAGGATGATGTCGATCATAGGGAACAGCCTGGGCCAGACCAGACAGACCAGCGAGCCCGGCGAGGGCGACAGTGCCTGCTCTTGATATCATTTCGGATAGTCGATGGAATCAAATACTTGTCAAGACAGTTTGCGCATGCGGTAACCGAGAAAAAGAAAGGAATGGCTGTGGAACTGGACAAAGAATGTGTGGATCGGCGCCTCACTTGAGTTATAGATCCCAAGGTTGAGCCTCAATCTCAACCACAATTTTGAGAAGTGGGTGGCCAGAGATATGCCCAGATGCTCAAAAGGTTAATGAAAAGGAGAGAACAACGGCGAAGTACCCACAGCTACGGCTTCCGCGTATCGGCATTTAGACCGACTGCACGCCCCGCATGTCCCTGCCCGGCTGCATCCCATCGCACATGTGCGAAATATTAGCTTGGATGGCACCGGCTAGGTAGGATCGACACGACCGTACCAGCGGCGACTAGAAAGTTCCCTGCTCTGAAAGCGAGCGTACGTTGCTAACAAACACGGCTATACCGGGCGATGCGAGAAGGGCCTAGGCGGCCCAAAGGCATGGATTAATCAATACTACGGGACATCCACAATAGATTTGACTCGCATGGCCGACAATCCGGTGGAGATCTAGTTCTCAGGGGCAAGGCCGACGGGATGTATTAGTGCGGTGAACTGTGTCGGTAACAATGTAGGTGACAAACAGATGGCTAAGCCAAAGAGAGGGCCATACACACAAGCTTTCAAGGTTTCAAGAAGCTTGTTCAGACGATCTCCCACTAGAAGGGTGGTTCTCCACACAGGGTGCGACGCCCGGCCGCCAGCGAGCCGCGGCCATCCTTGAGCAGAACCTTGCGAGGCGCGCGCTCCCTGACTATGTGCCTTTCCCAGGTGGAATATCTAGAATCCGCTGTCATCAAGTGGGTTCTTCTGACCCAGGGCCCATGAAGCGAAATTGAAATCTTCTTGGTAAACACTGCGGATCAAGGAGAACCGATGCGGTGTTGTCCTGAGGCTCGTTCACTGCCATGCGCAAGTGTCAGTCCAATGGAGAGCCGGACGGCTTCAGCCAATGCTCAAGCGTACACTGTTCCAGGGGGAAACTTAAACCCAATTCTAATAACTCCCCTTTCCATGTCGAGCAGGTGGCGACAAAATTGCTCACGAGCTCAACTTCTGAACTTATCGAGATCTCCCTGCCGGCCTGTACATTTGAGGGCCGACAAGGGATATGCATGTCTGAAGCACTGGGTGACATGACTGGTGGCAAGGGATTCGGAGCTGACCTAAACTCTATGGCCCTACACAGCCCGTGTCTCTCTCAGTGATTGGCCAATGCTCGGTGAGAGAACAGGTCTCACCGTCTGTCTTAAAGCCAGGTGAGTATAAGATCAGTTTGCTGCTTCACCCAATAGCATCATGCCAAGCCCGGCCACGATCACTAAGACTGAATTCTTGGTCTTCCAATCGCGTCTTCTCCATCCGAGTTCTTTAAGATTTCTAGCTCGTCGGAAGCCTGTAGATCACGGCTACGCACAGCACGTCAACTCGTTTCGGGAAGTCGTCACAGCGCTGTGGGCAGGCATCGGATGACGGCTGAGAATTGCGCTTGCAGAATATAAAGTGTATTGAGCCGGCAGTGTACTGACTACGAAAAGCCTCACGAAACCTCTCTTCTGAGGATGAGCTCCCCAATATCCCGTAGTGTGTATACAATAACCTTGGAATGCATATACGGCATGCAGTCCACGAGGCAACGATCGGCCAAGTCTTGCATTTCTGTGCGTGCTTGACTTCCACTCAAACTTGGCCGACTCAACCTGTAGATGCACCTCTCGATAGCATTAAGCACCATATGGCAACCAATAACGATCATTGTGCAAGTGTTCCCACAAGACTGTGACCCTCATTTCGCACTCGTTGTTGGACGAAGTCTATCCCACTTCACATGCAAATCAGTAAACACTGAATTCAAAAACCCAGTAATCATGCTCAAAGGGGAAATATTCCTTCCACTGCCAACAAAACTCCGAGAAACTTCAAACACTCCGCAGTCCAGCCCCTAGAACGCGGCAGCGAGCGTAAAGGCAGCGCTTTCTAGGATGATTTCATTTCTAATCCCCATACATATTAAACGTATGCGGCGCCTTCGTACAGTGGTTAACACTCAAGATTAGGATCAAGCTAGAAGTTTTAAAAAAAGAGGCTTTCTAATTCTCGGTGCAACTCATTTCACAGAATTCACCCACTGGCCACTTGGCCACTTGGGTACTTGATATGTTTGAGAGATTGCTTGAGTACTTAGCTAGGAGTGGTCGAATTGTAGGATGGTTCGTATTCGCTTGTTCTACAACTGAAACTGGCCAAAACAGAAGTGGTGGCATTCTTGCGAGCAGAGTTAAAATCAGTTAGAACTAGTTTAGTTATAGACCCTAACTAACACTAAGACTTTACTTATTAAATCCTACTCAGCTAAACAATTTTAGTTAAAAGAGTTAACTAAACTAATTTTAACTATGCTGGTTTTGCTTCTATTCTGTAAACATCTAAGGACACACATGGCGTCTTCATACGGTACTAAAATACTAAGGACTAATTTTACAACCCTGTTTGCGAGCATTAAGTATAAGACCAATCTGACTACTCCAGACAGGTCTGGATATCACCTGGGCAATTAGTATTATTAAGGTTGTGTTCATAACGCTAGCATTGCCGGGCGACTTTCCTACCGGGGGGAGGGGGGGTCCCTAATATAGGTATGTAATTATATTAAAAATTAATATTTAAATAAAATCTAGATATTATAACTAAATATTAATAAAAGGTTAATAAAATACTATTATAAGTAAAATCTATTAAAGAGTTAATTATATATTAAATTTTAATATTATATTAATATATATTAAAGATTTTAAATTTATTAATATTAAATTTTATAAATTAATAAAGAAATAAGATTTTTATATTTCTTTAACTCTATAGCTTTATAGACTTAATATATAATAATAATTAAGCTGAATAATAGTTAATAAGTAGTTAGGTTAGGAATAAATAAAAAAAAACTTAATTTTAATAGGAATTAAACTTTTTTTTACTTTATATTAAACCTTTAATAATATAGTAATAAATAAATAATATTAAACTAAAAAGCGTTATACGATTTATATAGGATAAAATAATTTCACTATTAGGAAATGTTTATAAAAGCCTTTTAATAGTATATAGGTATTATATTTTACTTATATTAAAAAACCCCCCTCCCCCTAGTAGGTTCAGAATTATGATATACTATCCGATTTCTCGCGTTTACACGTCCTGCGTCAGTTTTGTACTACGTTTCTGCAAGTGGTCTACCCCTCTTCTTCATCTCCACTCTGATCTCCTGCTGTCCGTCCTTGATCGCTTCCCCTTTGAGATGCCTTTCAGTCAACAACCATGTACTCGACCTAAGAGTCGTCTGCACTGCGAGCATGAAACCAGCAGCAGTAATGCCGGTGGGATCCAGCGCAAGGGAGCCTACACCAAGGGCGGCAAATGTACTCGCTGCCGCTGCGACGGCAAAAAAGCTACCGTCACGGGTGTTGCCCGCGCCCTTGACCCACCTGTCAAGGAAAGCTGGAAACTCGGCCCTGGCGCCAGGACTCCCGATCAACTCAACCAAGAGACGGATGAAAACCTGGCAGTTGCGATCATCGTATGCGTATTTCTTCTTTAACGATCGTTCCCATACCAGTGTAGCTGCGAGCATCGGTAGTTAGCCGGATGGGCTAAAGGTGTGCAATGAGACAAGGACAACGAGACAAGACACCAGGAGATAAAACAGCACTTACCAACTTCGTGAATAAGCTGGTGCGAATATGGCATCGTCATCTGGCCTAATTCGTGCGACTCAATGGGCTTTCCCTGAGATATTCGCTTCGCCTTCCATTCTCCTAGGCTTATGCATCTGTAGAAGTATGGTTCCTTTTTGTTCGTCTGTCTCGCCAGCTCATAGCATATCCCGTTGATACATATTGTCCAGTGGGCGACAATGTCAATAGGCTTCTTAAGCCCTAGGCTTTTCAGGCTAGACACTGGCACAGTTAACAACTCCATGCTGTTCGGCGCCCTTGATAGCAAGTAGTCACTCTGTGTCATGGCATATTCCGCCGGTGGCTGTCCTGAGTATGCGTTCATGTTGTTTTCAACCTTGTCTTCAATTTTTCGGGGATTCTTTCAGCTGAATCTGTCAGAAGTTCGCGGTACGAGTAAATTTAAGTTGATACAGGTGGCAATTCCCAGAATACCTAGATAGACAGTATCGTAATAAACGTTCAATGCTCTTAATAAAGAAGAAGGAAGAAGTGCATCTCCTAATAATATACGGAGTACTTGAGTATCTTATTATTCCAGATCAGGCTGCCACAAGACAAGTTCATCCGAGCAGAGCCGCATCGGTGACTCATATTCACGACAGTTGACATCAGTCCTGGTCTCATCCTGATGTTGTTGAACGACGTGGTGGCCAGTGAACTACACTGCCTAGGTACTAGTAGATTGTGGGCTTCAGCCGCACGGATCGACCGCCCCCAAAGTGGCCTCTTGGGGGGCCAAACACTTGGAATTCTCGCCACAATTCAATTATCTGGCAACATTGAGGGGCACCAAATCGTTACACAGACGTCCACGTGATGCTTATGCCGCACTAGGCTGGGGGTCTGAACAAGTGGATCCAATGAATGGCGGAAACGTTGCTTGGCATGGGTTTGTGGTGTTCTCGTAAGGTGGCCTTGGACTGGTAACATACTATTTTTGCTGCCTCGAAGCGTCGAGCTGCATCGAGGCTTTCCGAATGTGTGCAAATCTTACTACATGTGCTTGTGCTATGAATCTATGGCTTAATCCCGCGCTGTAAGTGTTTCCACACGACTAACTAAGCAGCCTTACTCCAGAACATACATGGCGGACACGAGATTCAAGTACCATGGTCGCAGCACTGAGGACAACATGCCTATCATGCATTTTTCAGACGCTTCCTCCTAACCAACACAAGTTTATTTTGATTCTTTATACATCAAATTCATTTTGTGATCAATACGCACCCTTCATTATCCTCTTCTGGGTCTTGCGACTGTTTATGTTGCGCATGTAAACCAGCACGATGCTCTGCCATGATATGATTATCTTGGCGCTGCTAGACATGCAGGATAGACCCGAATTCGTACAGCTGAGACGCTAAATAGACGCGATATCTGTGTTACCACACCAGTATGAGGTGAGAAAACCGGCTGACGGTACGATCTGTATCCCAAGATTGGTAATACCGGTCTTTTGTGTTTTTTTTTTCAAAGCAAGTATAGTGTGGATGTGAGGCTAGGCTTGAGGTCGGTACAACCTTTGCCCCGAATGTCATTGCTGCAAGAACATACGTCTCTGTGCCAACTGGCAAGACTTGAAGCAAAGTCCGATAAAACCGTGAGCTCCAGTCTGTGCGCTTACGGACATTTCTGATCAACATCTCGACTGAGGGCCCTACATAATTCTCCATTTAGCTTGAGAGGCACCTTTTTGAGGAATAATTGACGCTGAAACTGGCGGGGCTCATCATCTATAGTCTACATCACTCAGCCGCAATATCCACGAGTTTCTTGAGGCGGATTCGCTTGGTTCCCTCTGTTCCTCTTAAATCCTACAAGAGCGGGAAAAGGACGCCAGACGGCCGCGCTGCATTGAATCACTCAAGCACAGCAACTTGACTTCCAGAATAACGGCATTATTAAGGCATCGAACTGCCCCTTACCTACGTAAGTCATTGACAACTCTTTTTACACATGTTCACACATGTTGCCAAGAAAGTCCCAGCAGAGGCCGCGCTGATGCCTTGTATCATTTCATATAGCCCAATCTGCCGCCAGCGGACGTCAAGCTTAAGGAGTTGGCGGAGAGAGGATATGGATAGGGACTGACGTGATGGAAACACCGCATAGCAAGGTACTCCCACATTATGTGTCATGTCATCTTGCTCAGGTAAAAATATTGACAGTACGTCTGCCAGGCTCTTCCATTCTCCACACGGGTCCTGCAAACCACGGGCGTCACTAAGACGGACGATGACCTGCTGCCAGCGTCTTACCGCGGAAAGGCCGGTGACGGTCCGATACGACTCTACATCCCGAGTGGCCGCGATTCTGTATTCCTCAAACAAGAGCTGGATGTACAACGCCTGAGATCTGTCTTCCACTGGCTGTGGATAGCTGGTAGGCCAATGCCGCCCCGCCCGCTGCACTACCAGCTTATGTTGGGCCGGGACATTGTGATAACAGAGGATATGAACATGCATCTGGTCTGGACCGCTGGGCGGATCTTCCTCAAGCCGGTTCCTCGCTACCTGCTCGAGCCGGCGTTTTGGGGCGAATGTCTCTCATGCCCACGAGACTACCCTTGTCTGGACGACCGTGACTGCCGCCAGGGACTTCGTCGGTTGGCGCTCGGCTTCCTTTCATCTTATGTGGCGATGATCAGCTATGAAAGCGACTTTATGATCGCACAAGAGAGGCATTTGCTTCCAGAGGAAGTGAAGTGGCGCCATTGGAGGTCTCTTGCGTCGGAAATTCTCAGCATCGAAGATATCGACCGTCAGGTAGATGCGCGCTTCCTCTACGGGGAGCTTCGTCTTGGTCGCCTGAATAAGATTTATATACTTTCGGGCCGGTCTGTTTTCAGGGGTTACATGCCAAACTGGCAGCAATATGGGGCCTATTTCCAGGACAACCTTGCTTGGCTTGCAACGGCGACCATCTATATAGCTGTCGTGCTTACTGCCATGCAGGTAGGATTGGCAACATCACTTGGAGAGAATGCTGTATTCCAGTTGGTCTCGTTGGGCTTCACCGTCTTCTCTATATTGGCACCTCCTGTCGCAGCTGTGATCATCCTTCTGGTGTTCATACTCTTGTTCATAGACAATTGGGTCGAGGCTGTGTCGTTCAAGAAGAGAAGGTTCGAGGGTCTACATGCATGGATATGATTAATACAAATATGGATCACCTATCGTATTATGACTATCGTTATCGACACCGTGTTGTTTTCAAGCGCTGGGTCTTGAGTGCTTACCACCATATGAAGGCGCCATGTATGTCCTCGGACGTATACGGAATAGAAGCGAAACCACATATCAGCCATTAGGCGGACCCGGTGTGATTTCTCGTGCTTGTCGCCCTGGTTTATGCAGATCGAGTCGACCCAGAGCACACGCCGCCCGTCCGGCAGCCTGTACTGCCTCAGGGAGTCGCAGAGGGTCCTCGTGAGGGAGATGCGCCGCCCATCGCATACTATCTCTCACCGGAAGAGCGGCGCCCCCCAGCGTACGAGATTGCCTCGTACTCGAGTTTCTCTGCAAACGTGTAGATCTTGATGCCTCCGAGGAGGGGGTCGTCATCATGTCCGGGCTCCAAGGTGAGGCAGTGGATTCCGTCTTAAGGTGAGATCGGAGTGTAGTTGTATGCTCCACACATACCGAGAGAGAGAGAGAGAGCACCCTTTGAACACCTTCCAACGTACCTCACCTCGCCCCCTTGTACAAAGTTTGGACCATAACCAGTGCCAACCCCCCGCTGAGCATCCAATTCTTGAACGTAGCCATACGGGTAGCCAGTCAAGAAGTTCCCCTCCAGCGAAGGCAGTGGAAGCTCCTTGAAAGTCTGCTGAATCCGCCCTGCGCTCGTCAGGAAGCGATCCTGTACATCCGCATATCCCTCGATCACAAGCTTTCCGTCGCGTTTCTTAAACTCGCCGTCAACAAGTACATGGTCTATATCCCCAACACTTGCATGAAGGATAATAGCCGCCACAGGATCTATCCAGCCTAATAAAGCGGGTGATTTACCATCCCAGACAATGACATCCGCCTTCGCACCTGGGGAAATTACACCGAGATCTGGCCGGCCTAAAGCCAAACCACCATTTCTTGTAGCTAAGAGGAATGCTTGATTGACAGAAAAAGGGCTATGTGCGGGTATCTGCCATCGATCGAGGGTATTCTGAAATATACGGTATCGTGTAGATTGAAGCCATATACGGGCTTGCGTTAGGATATCGGTGGAGAAGGTGAAATGCGTATCTACACCGAGTGAAGCCTGATCTAGGATTAAATGATTTGTTGGGTGTAGATGTCCGTAATGCATTTCACTCTCTGCCGTAATAGAGATGTACTTGTTCGTACTGCGTAATAGCATTGCACCCCTTGCGTCTAGAAATGCGCCGTGTGATATGACAATCGGTGTACTTAAGTTCAGCACTCCTACGCGATTTAGGTCTTCAGGGGAATTTCCTACTACACCTGGAACATCAGTAAGGTGTACAATCAAGTGAGTAGAAATTTATACGAACACAACCAGGGTCCCTCCACATGGTGAGTCGTCAACAGTGACACATTGCTCTGGCTGTGACAATAAGCAATCAGCATCATTTTTCTCACAGTTTCGGGAACAAGGTATACATACTTAATCAGATCAATAACTGCCAGAGTATCAGCCCCATTTGGATTGCCGGAAAAGTCATCGTAAGCTACTACAAGCTCGGTCAGGTTACTCGACATCGCAGATGACAATTCCTTCCATTGCGCAATCTGTTCTGGAATACCGAAGTCCACAGAAGAATTCTGAAAAGCATAGGCAAAGAACACCCGCGCTCCGCTATCAATAGATGCGTTGAGACCAGCACTAGATAACTCGGGTGACCATGTGTGGTGGGCATGATCAAGTATAGTAGTCACGCCGGCAGCAAGAGCTTCGTAAATACCGGTAAGTTGACTAATATAAAGATCCTCCGGAGAAAAGAGGGGTGCGGCCACAAGTGCACTAAAACGGAAAGCATAATCTGCTAAAGTCGTGTTGGATCCCATAGTTTTAAAGACCGTTTGCCATCCATGGCGGTGCGTGTCGATGAAGCCTGGGGTGATGATTTTATTGGTACAATCCACCACCTCAGTATCGGGAGGGATGTGGACGCAATCGGGATTTGCTGCATCAAAGACGGAAGAGATTTTGCCGTCTTGTATGAGGACAGAGCCATTGCGTATCACTTCCAATTGCTCAGCATCGTGGTCAAAAGCGATGATGGTGCCACCACTGAGTAATCTCGCGCACTCAGTAGTAATTGCGAAATGGCCGATAGTGAGCGCCCTCGCGATGAGCTTGGACAGGTGCATGGTGCAGACGGTTGTCGGTTGATGCAATCACGAACAGCCTGAGAAATTGTGATAAGAAATTGATGAGTGGTTGTCGGCTTTTCTTGACGAGCGGACTTCGTCAACAGATGGCAGGAGGCGGCTCGGCCAAGGAAATTGCTGTCATCATAAATGCAGAGGAACATTTCCCCAAAGGTCACATTACAGCTGTGCAAATGGCACAAACGCCATCCCGCCACTGGCATACAGCCTCTGCGGCGTACTTGTGCCGTACTTGTGTTCTTACGCCGTGATATTGCACAATCAGACCCACAGTGATTCATCAGTCCTTCCACAGAGGAACGACCGGTCAACTGTAGCATGCATCACTTAATTTAAGTCACAGCGTGGAGTTGCGGGCGAAGGAACCACCTCAGTTCGTAATAAATTGCTGGGCACGCAACCAACATGGCAAGTTGAGCCAATCAAGATAAATGGTGGGTAGGTGGACGTTGGCTGCTTTCAAGGGAATATGATTTCACGAGCTCATCCCGCTTCAACGCAGCATGCTGCGGACAAAAACTCGCCAGGCAGGTCTGTCGGGTAGGGAGCTCGTCTTTAGTTTCCAAGTTGGACCTCCGTCACCCAGCTTCCCGACATTCATTCTTACGAAGACGAGCTTGCAATCCTGGCGCCTGCCTGGATACGCTATCGTAGCTTCCAAGGTTGATGTCATAATATATCACTCTAGCAACCGTACTTTCATCTTCAGATCAGCGGGATCTTTGGGCTCTACACAGAACATCAGTTGAACTCTGCTGCAATGGCTGGAACGATCATCTTCACTGGGGCCAACACCTCGCTGGGAATTCCTGCTGCAGAACACATCCTCCGCCTCTGTCCGCAACACACGGCCATTTTCACTGTGAGGGATGACTCGACCTCTGACCCAAACACCAGAAAGCTCCGTGAGACTATCGCCCGCTACCCGCAAGCAAAGACTTCTGTTCATGCCCTCGACCTCGCCAGCCTGTCCTCCACCCACGCCTTCACGGACACTGTCATATCCGGTATCAAAAGCGGCCAATACCCGCCACCGTGTGTGTTGCCTACTACTGGAACCTTGTTGGTGACCCGAGCCCACCGCTAATGGCTATGACAAGACCTTCCAGGTCAGCCACATCTCCCACGCGGCCCTCGTCCTCCGCCTTCTTGGCAGCTTTGGGCCCACTGGCCGGGTGGTACTCCTCTCGAGCGACTCACACCGGCCCGGCAAGAACGCCATGGAGAAGTATGCTCCCTCCATCCCTAGCAATTTGGAGCTACTCGTAAAGCCTTCTATAGACGACGACAAGATGGGACGCGGCTACCAGAGATATGCAACTGCCAAGCTCGCCATCACTATGTGGATGTATGCGCTGAACGAGCATCTCCAGGAGGTAAGCCACCACCGATAATGCGGTGCACCTCTCCTCTCTTCTTATGAGACCCTGTCACCAGAATGGGAGGTCGTCAGGATGTCATTACTCACGCGCTCTACCCAGGACCCCATCCTCAAGAACATCACCACCGTGGCAATCAATCCTGGTCGTCTCCCGTGCATTGCGCAGCCATACTCCAAGGAGCATGTCACTCATGCAAACCTTCGTCTACAAGCCCTTGCTCCCAGTCCTCAAGCTCTCTATGGGTCCTACCCTACGCACCGCAGCCCCAGCTCGCGTCGACGTAGCTGAGCTGGCTCTGAGCGAGAAGTACGCCGGCCAGCGAGGGTTCTACACGCTCTTGCAGAAAGATGAGAGCTCCCGAGGTCTCCGGACAGCCAGGTCAAGTAGAAACAGTCTGCTCTCTGGTCGCAGACCCTGAGGTGGGCGTCGATCACTCAGGATGACAGGAAACTTCAACTCTAAAATCGCTCGACCGTACTCTGGGAAGGCAGGCAGGAGGCAACATTGAAAATTTAGTGGGTAGGGCAATATTTGAGGAAAGGAGTATCAACGCTTAGGAGGTGGCCACTCGGACCCATGATTACTCGAGTGGTGAATGGAAAGCGGTCTGAATCTATGGGGATAGACATATTGAACCGTCCCGAGGTCACGTGGGTGTCGAGTACCTACTTATTTTACTATACTAGAATTATAACATATCCCTAGAAAACCTTAATTAATATATTTTTTTCTAGACTAATATTCCCACCACCCTAACCTAGGACATGTACTAAGCGGGCGGCCTTTCATACAAGAGGTAAAATATTACTATACTTAGTCATCTTGAACAAGCATATGTATTATACTCGACGGGTATACTCCCGGCAAGGCCCATGCAAATTCGGATGAACACCGACGCGTGGAATACATGTCCCTGCCTGTGCTTTGGGAACCCGAAGACGTGGCCGAACACGAGGTGCGGGTTGTGTGAAAGAAGAGTCATTTCTTAAATCATAACACTATATCTGTGACATGATAGGCACACTTGAACAATGGACCGGACCAAATGTGAGAGACAGAGTTGGTGTTATCATGGAAAATTTCAGATTTTCTTACTATCAAGATCCAGAACCTTGGACGGTCGCGTATCGCGCGGTTGTGGAAGTGGCTGGAGTTGTGGTATCACCATCCGCAAGCAAAATTTGAAGAACCGCCGAGAGGTCTTCCCTCTCCTTGATGTGCGCCTTATTACTACTCGAGCGGCATCCAAAACATTGAGGTCGCGCATGTCCCTGCTCTCCACCACAACCGCGTGAACCACCTCGCCCAGCAGACACACACACTTCGGTGGCTGTACGAAATGGCACTCATGACTTACCTCATCTATGGCCGTTCCCCGTGCTCAGGGTAATCCAACCGGAAAGCCAAACTAGTATTGATCCTGGGGCGGCTGCTTAACTGTGAAGCTCCTCCCGCGACGTTCTGCTCGAAATTTGCCCTCACCGGAGAGGGCTGTAGTCAAAACTCGAAAATAGCGACTTCACTGGTGATCTTCCAATATGAGCACCTAGGTGTTCACAGCTCTTGACACGGGATCAAAGGCTGGAGATGATATCCTGCTATTGGACAACCTCGTATATGGTGGCAGGCTTTCCGAATCCTCTTCCCTCACAGGACAACCAATCATTGATGTTGTACCTGCATTCGCCCTTGACGACCGGCCAAGGCAACTTGGAAATATACACGAGCCTAAATCATCACAAAGCAGCAGTGAATCGACGGCTTTTCGGCGCCGGTATGCTGTATAGCCCGGCTTGCCGCATGAGGTCTCTAAGAATTTGAGTGTGTATAGAGTTAAATTCTTTCTATCGACTAATAGGCTTTCCATCCCTCTATTTATATACTAAATACCCTTTGTTTAGTATTTAGACGTTTTCGTCTAATAAAGCCCTTTGTAGTCTAGCCGTTTTTAGTAATTATATATACGAAAACGGCGCTTCTTTATATACTAATCCGGAAGTATATTCACTAGCCGGAAACGTATTTTTACAGCCCCCTATAAGCTGTATATATATATATATATATAGATTAAATATATAAAAAATACTTAGTAGTTAAAAACCTTTATTTTTAAAGTAAAAGAACTACTTTTATTAAGTTAAAAACCTTTATAAAAGAAAAATAACTTATTTTATATAGTAATAAAACCTAATATATAGGAAAAATATACTATTTATTATACTAAAACCTTTTATAAAAGGAAAAAATAGTACTTTTATTAGCAATAAAACCTTTATTATAGGAAAAATATGCTATTATATAGGTAAAAAATCTTAAAAATTTGCTTAGGGCGCGATTTGAACTCGAACCCTTGCGATTTAAACAACGTTATTTTATTAGGCATTTATTTTATATGGGTCATTCACGTTATTCTTATGTTACTTTATAGGTTTACGGTTTACGGGGTTATTTTTCCACAATTTAAGTCAAGAAGTTTATATTTATACTATAGTGTCTACGAAACTACATTTGTATAGTGATTTCGTTAGACTATATGCTTGACTTCCGTATATTCCGTATATAGTGTGTATAGTGTATATAGCTTATATATGCCGTGTAAGTTATTAAGATAAAAACCTATTTATTTTAACTTTTTATTAGTTTTATATTATTTTTATAAGTCGTTATTTAAGGTATTATAATATTTTATATTTATTTTATTCTATAATATATTAGTAAATAGGGGTATTAAACTTACTATTAATTTTCTTTTAAATTATATAAATCTTTAAATTTAATAAATAATAGTTTTTTAATCGGTTTAATGTACTAATTAGCTATATTTTCATTTAAAGGTATATATTTTATAGTTATTAACCCTCTTTTTATTAAATTTCGGGTATAATAATATATTATATCTATATATTTAGTCTTTTTATAAAAAACTTAATTTTCGACTAAACTAATAGCGGCATTATTATCTATATATATAGTAGGTTTATTTAATTCTAGATTTAAATCTAAATTTATATTAAAATATTCTAATAAATTATATAAATATATAGCTTCTTTAGAAGCTTCTTTTAAAGCTATATATTCAGCTTCACAACTACTTAATATAGGTATTTTTTGTAGTTAAGAGTTATAACTTATAGGGTTAATTATTTTATTATTTTCAAAGAATATAAATATATAACCTAATATAGATTATCTATTATTTAGGTTATTACCTAATTAAAGTTAGAATATCTATATAAATTTAATTTTCTATTATATTTATATATTTTAAATAATTTAAGGAATTTTAATATATATCTTTATAACTTATTTAATTCTTTAAAATACTCTTCACTAAAATTAGATATATATCTAACTAAATTATATATAGAATATATTATATCTATATAGCTTTTAAACCTAAATATAGTATAGTATTTATTTATTTTTAGTAATTATTTATTTCCTTTTAAGGCTTAATTTATATTTTTATTAATTCCTTTCTAGTGTAAAAGGAGTTAATTTAGGTTTTATATCCTTATTATTATTTATATTAAATTTCTTAAGGATTTTTTAGTATATCTATTTTAATTTATAGTTAAAGTTTTTCTTCTCTATTTATTATTATATTATTTTCTAAAAGGAAGTTAATTCTCCTTAATAGTTTATATTTATAGTTTCTTTTATTTTATTTATTATATTATTAACTTTATTATTATTACTACTTATTATTATTATATTATTAATATAGCATATTAATATAATATTTTCTTTATTATTTATAAATATTCCTTTATTATAAGGGTAGGATTTAAATCTAATTTATTTAATTCTTTTTAAATATTTATACTATAAATTAAAGCTTTATTTAATAACCCTATACTACTTTTTTATATATATAAAAGGTAATTTTATATATATTTCTTTATTAATATTAAAGTGTAAAAATATATTTTTTATATTATAACTATATATATAATAGTTTTTATTTATTACTATTATTAATAATAATATCCACATTTCTAATCTACAAACTATAGCGAAGGTTTCTAAGTAATCTACCCCTAATTTTTAATTAAAACCTTATACTACCTAATAAGCTTTATAGTATATATTATTTAATTTATTAATTACCTAGTAGGGCTTTATTATATTAGGGTTATTTATAAATTTCTTTTTAAATACCCACTTCCCCCCTAAAGGCTTATAGGTATTAGGTATATTATTTATATTTATTATATTATATATATTTTAACTTATAAATAAATTAACTTTATCTTTTATAGCTTTTACTTAATAAGGTGCTTCTTCCTTATATATAGCCTCTTTTAAGCTAAAGGGCTTATCTATTCCACTTATAGTTAATATATATAGAGTTTTTATATTATTTTCTAATATTATTATTTAATTACTTAATAGTATATTCTTTATAGTATATAAAGCTTTATATTCTATAAAATCCTTTTCTTTTAATATAGAGTAGTAATTTATATAGAATTCTATTATATTATTATTATTATTATTATTATTATTATTATTATTATTATTATTATTATTATTATTATTATTATTATTATTATTATTATTATTATTATTATTATTATTATTATTATTATTATTATTATTATTATTATTATTATTATTATTATTATTATTATTATTATTATTATTATTATTATTATTATTATTATTATTATTATTATTATTATTATTATTATTATTATTATTATTATTATTATTATTATTATTATTATTATTATTATTATTATTATTATTATTATTATTATTATTATTATTATTATTATTATTATTATTATTATTATTATTATTATTATTATTATTATTATTATTATTATTATTATTATTATTATTATTATTATTATTATTATTATTTCTATATAATTCTATTTCTTTATTTTCTTCGAATATAGGATTATTATCTTTATTTATAATATATTCACCTTCTAAGATATTTATATCTCTAGTCTATACTATTTTATTATTAGTATATATTTTATATATCTTATTATTTTTATTAAAGTTAACTAATACCCTTTTTCCGTTTTAAGGTTTAGTTTATTTTTATTTTTATTATTATTATAATATACTATAGATCCTATAATTTAATATAATTTATAGGTAGATTATAATTATATAATAGATTATATAGGGTTTTCTACCTTAAATCCTTTTAAGATATAATATTATATAAATATATACTAAATATAGTAGCTTCCCTTATAGTTTATATAGTAAATTAGCTTATAATAATAAGTATCTTATTTTATTTAATATTATTAAATTCCTTCTTTCTATAAAACTATTAAGTTCTTTTATATAAGGAGGGTATTATTATATAATACTACTATTATTTAATATTATTTTAAATTTTTATTAATATATTTAATATTATTATTAATATTAAATTCTTTTATTCTTTTATTTATTTTATTTTCTATTATATTTTATATTTATTAAAAGATTTTAATACTTAATCTTTAAACTTTAATAAATCTATATATAGGTATTTAGTCTTTTATCTAAAATAATATATAATATTTATAATTATTATAAATATTTTTAAAAGACTAACTATATCACTATATATCCTTTTAATATATTATAATTATATAAATTATTACTTATTTTATTTATTTTAATATTATATTTATTCTTAAGTATATATTACATTTATATAATAGTATTTTTATATTTTTTAGAAAATTTAATATCTATATTATTATTTTTAATATTATAAGTAAAGGGTCTATATATATACCTAGCTTATAATACTATAAATATATATCTAATAAATCTTTATTAGTAATTAAAGAGGTTTTTACTTATATTTAATAGTTATTTATTTTTACTTATATTTATATAAATATTTATTTTAATATAAAGTAATCTATTCTTATAATAGCCTATAGTTTCTATTTTATTAAAGACTTTATTTATTACTTTTACTATAATATTTTAATATTATATTATATATATACTTTATAATTTTAAAACTTAATATGTTTATATTAAATTCTAGAGTATAATATATATTATTTAAAATTATATCTTTATTATTTATATTTATTTTTAAGTCTCCTTTTATTTTAATATTTATTTTATTAGTATTTCCTAATTAATACTAATATTTATATATCTAATATTACTTAAAAGATTTATATCTTTTATAATAAATATATTTATATATATATTTTTAATAAATTCTATTTTATTTATTTCTAAACTATTTTCTATATATATTATATTATTTATATAGTCTAGATTTTTATTAATAATATTATTATTATTAAAATTTATTATATATAAAGTATACCTTTATATCTTCCTTATAGTCTATATTATTATTATAATAATCTTATAAGTTAAATTTTAATAATTTTTCCTTTTAGATTAGAGGATTTTTATATTATATTTATTTCTTTTTCTTTATTTCTTTATTACTACTTTCTTCATTTATTTTATTATAAATAGTTAATAATTTATTTTAAAGAAATTCCTTTTTCTTTATTATTATTAAAGTTTTTTAAGAATTATTATAATTTTTATTAATTTTATTTTTATTTTCCTAGCTTTTAGTGTTTTTAAGGTAAAGAAAATAATAGTTATTTTTAATATAGCCCTTTATTTTATAGTAAGTATATTATAGTATATTCTTCTTATTTTTCTTATTTTTATTATTATTTTTAATAATAAAAGTATTTTTATCCTTATTTATTTTTCCTTTTAATTTATTAATAAGGCTAGAAAATATATTCTCTATATTATAATTATTATAGTTTTTATAGACTCTAAATAATATTCTAAATAAATTTAATATATTTATTGTTTAGTAAGTTTAATATTTACACTATAACTATTTAATTTAATAGTTTTATATTATTAGTAAATAAATCTATAATTATTAAACTAATTTTATTTAAATAGTCTTCTATAATATTAAAATTATTTAGTAAGGTATTAAAAATTCTTTTAATAATAAAATTTAATAGTAAATCTAGTAGGTTAATATAAATTTTATAGTTTTTCTATATTATTTTAGTAGTTTTTATATTTTTATATATATAAGTAGGCTATCTATTACTATAAGTTATATATAAATTAATGTTTTTAGTTTTTTAGGTGTTAAATTCTTAAAATTATTATTTTTTAATAAGATTTTCTTTTAATAAAAGGCTTAAGCTTTAATAGACTATATAATATAATTTAATAAACCTTTTAATTTAAGGACTTTAAATCTTTTAAGTAAAGCTATATTTTATAAGTATTTTATAAGTATTTTATAAGTATTTTATAAATATTTTTATAAATTTATTAATATATATATATATATATATATTTATTAATTTTCTAGTATTTCTATAAAATATATATTAATAAAATATTTATAAACTAATAAATATTCTTTAATATAATTTATAGTTTTATTTAGTCTTATATTATAGTATTTATTAAGTTAAGGTATAAATTAAAAGTATTTTTATAGTCTTTAATTATAGTTATTAAAAATAAGAATATTCTAGGGTTAAAAATATCTTTTAATTTAAATTTTTAATGTAAGGGTCTATAAATTAGTTATAATTATTAAATTCAAGTATATTATCATAAATATTTCCTAATAAAATAGGTTTGATTTTTATATAAAGTATTGTAGATTTATAGTGTTTATAAGGGTTTTATTTTAAAATTTATAAAGTAATTCTTAATATAAATATTTAAGAATATTTATAGGTAAAAGTTGAAAGTAACCTATCTATAAAATTTTTTATAATTTTAAAATATAAATATAGATAGATTTTACTTTATTTAAAAGTAATTATAAAGTTAAGTTATAAAAGAGTATTTATAATTAAAAGGTATTTAAATATAATATAAAATCTTTTATTCTTTTAAGGTAAGATATAATTATAAAGTATAAATAAAATAAGGGTTATAATATAGTATTTTATATAAAACTACTCTAATATAAGTTTTATAAAATATTTATTTTTAAGTAATTTTATATATAAAAGATTATATAAAGATATTTAAAAATATTTTTATTAAATAAAGTATAAAAAGATAAATATAAAGATATTTTTTATTATTTTATAGATATAGTTTTTATTAAGTTATAGGGGAGTATTAAAAATAGTCTTAGATATATTATTAATAGTGTAAGTAAGGGGTGTTACATAACTCTCTTTTGATTGGTTGCAGCAGGCTATCGTTGTTCCGTTTAGGAAGGTACTAGTTGACTTAGTTAGGATTAAAGATCCAGGCCTTATAACCTTTAAGAATTTAAGTATATATAGAGTTAAATTCTTTCTATTAACTAATAGGCTTTCCATCCCTCTATTTATATACTAAATACCCTTTATTTAGTATTTAAACGTTTTCATCTAATAAAGCCCTTTATAGTCTAGCCGTTTTTAATAATTATATATACGAAAACAGCGCTTCTTTATATACTAATCCGGAAGTATATTTACTAGCCGGAAACATATTTTTACAAGGTCGAACTCGTTGGTGGTGCCACATGGGGAGACCCTCTCACTACTTACCAACTTAGTAGGCAGGTTGACCAGGAAGAAAACAAGTCAGATCAGAGTAGCACTTTTGGTTCCATTAGTCTATGTATCATTCATTTTCCACATGCCTGTTCCCGAGACCCTATATCCAGGCTCTTCGTCACACTGGCCTCAAGCTAACAGAAAGGCTGCCGCCAACACCAACGAGGGCTTCGCGACGATGAACAGCTCACCCAACCAAAGCAAAAGCTCATTGTGTCACCACAAGTTGTACGTATGAAGACGAAAAAAGTAAATCGGCGTGAGAACTCCACATTCCCAGATCATATCTGCACCACATCCGATCCTCCACCATTTCGTAACCTTAAAAACACAAATGACCACCCCTCTTTCCTTTAGACTCCACCGCAATGCCGCAAAGCAAAATTGGATGCCAGACCGTGCGGTGGAGCTGACGACCAAAAGACAGTTTCAATACTCATAATCGATCGGTATACCCGACAAAGAAAATGCCGCGAAGCGTTCCATCTTTTGGACAAACGTTTTTAGAGAATAATGTACAGTTTCCACCCAATGAATTTGTTTTCATCAACCCGTCTCTGCCTCAGTTGCCGACCTTGAGTCGCTTGGGCTCGTTGCTAGGCTCCATGGGGTCTGAAGGCGGGCCGTTGCTGTTCATCTCCGGGCTCTTTCTCTTGCCAGTATTGGAAAGCTCCTCACGCAGGAAGCTAGGGCCTGATCCAACAACGGGAGTTGCAAAGTTGAGAGGGCTAGGAAGGGTGTTGCTGTCGTGGCCTCGTGCATACATGTCTGGGAAGAACGAACTTGGACTAGGTAGGAACTCGTTGTTCATGTACCGAGAGGGAAGTGCAGAGGCCGGGGTATCAATGTTCATGTGATTCTGATTGTTTGGGTTGGGCGGACGGGCAAAGGGGTTTGGGGGCCCAGTTGCGCCGGCCGAGAGTAGTGTGGTGGTGGCAGACGGCGAGGGCGGTGGGAGCACTATCCCGGACGAGTGGGAGTCACCAGGCCGCGTTGTTTGTGACGTAGCGTCAGTGGAGTGACCAGGACCAGCGGAACTGGACTCTGCTGTGTTGCTACCGGCATCTGATGGCTCGTCGGGAATTTGCACCTTGAGGCGGGGTCGCGCACCGCCGCCAGTACGCAAGCTGTTGGTGCGTGAGGGTGGAGTGAACTCTGCCTCGGGTATGGAGGACACGGAAACTTGTCGCTTTGGTGGAGCTGGGCCAGTCTCTGCCCTCTTGGGAGCCTGTGGCGGAGACGTGGTGTTCCGCAGGGAAGAGGGCATGTCCATTGACTGTGACCGGTTGCCATTGGGGTCAGCCTTGCCACTGTGCTCCGCAAATGCAGCCAGATGCTGGGACAGGACAGAGCGGTTCTCGTCGATTGGCGTAAAGATGCTGTGCTGTTTCCTTTGAGGCATCTTCTTGATAGCTGAGGCCGTATCGAGCAGAGGCGCCTGTGGCATAAGTCTGTCGCTTGCTTCCGGCTTGGGCTGCACTGGCGCTGGCGCGGCTTCTTGGCTCTGAGGCTGCGACTGAGGAGGTGGCGGAGGCGGCGGGCTGCGGATTTCCGAGTGGGGAGGTTGCGGTGATGGTTGTGGTTGTTGCTGTTGCTGCTGCTGCTGCTGCTGCTGCTGCTGTGGTTGTGGTTGTGGTTGTGGTGCAGGCTGCGCTGGGAGGCCGTGGGTCTGCTGTGGCGGCGAGAGCGAATGTCTAACGGGTGGCGGCGGTTGCTGATGTTGCTGAGGTTGCGGGGGGAAGTTTGGAGGGACCGAAGACTGCCTGTGGTGGTTCTCCATATACTGCTGCATGTGAGGCGGTGGCGGAGCATAAGGATACTGATGGCCGGGTTGGGGCATGTTCGGGTTCTGCGGGTTGTAGATGGCCGGCTGAGGGATGTATGCATAGCCATTGACCTGAGGGCCTTGGGGAGGCCCGTGGGGGCCTACCTGTGGAGGGACCATGTGAGGAGGCATGCGTCTCATGTCATTCCGCGAGCCCGGCCGCGAGCCGATCTGTGGCTGAGGGGTGTGCACCCTCTGGACGCCCTGGGGAGCATGCTGAGGGAAGGGGACGCCGTTTGGAATGGGCGGAGATGCTGATGGAGTGTGGTGCCTCATGTGTGGGAATGGCGGCTGGCCTTGGAAGTGCTGGGGCATCATGGGAGTTCCCATGCGCTCGCCATGGGGCGGGGTGGCATCTCCGTCGTCGTCCTCGTCGTCATCAGCGCCTCCGTTGAAGTCCGCGGGTCCTTTGTGCTCGTTCGGCCCGCCGTGGTAGGTGTACCTTGTGATCAGCTCCCGCATGTCGCCGGACGAGTACTCGTACAGCTTCTTGTTCTGGCCAAAGATGAAGACGGCGACATCCACGGAGCACAGGACGGAGAGCTCATGTGCCTTCTTGAAGAGACCGCCCTTGCGCTTCAGAAAGGTTCTGGAGTAAGACATATCGTCAGCAGGCAGTCGGATGAATGAATTGAGTCAACCTGGGCGGGGACAAGTGGATTCTTACACAGAGCGGTTTCTATCATCCTTGATAGCCTTGATTTCGATCTTTCTGCGACCCATATTGAAGGGCTTGAGACACTAGGTGCCTATCGCAGCGATGTAACAGGAATTGGTAGCGACAATAGACGGGGACTCTATTTCCAGTGGGTGCGGCCTTGCGGCGCTGGCCTTGCAAGCCAGCTTTGGGTCTCGTCGAAACTAGGCCTGGAGTAGTGTCCTGCGGAGAGGCTGTTGTTTGCAAGGACCAAGGTGAGGAAGGAGCAGGAAGACAGGCGAAAAAGTGGAGGAGTGGGATAAAGATAGCTATGAAGGGGCCGGGTCGAGGGCAGATGGCGAGCTATATTTACTGCTTCGCAGAGGCGAGGGGGAACGGGCCGCTGGGCTGGTGGGCCTGGCTCCGAGAAGGATCGAGAGAGGCGGGAAGAGAGGGTCGAGCCTAGTTGCGAGGTAAAAGACCATCAGTGGGATGCCGCGATGGATGGATCGCAAGAGCAGTAGGCGAGAGGCAGGGTGAGGGCGAAACACAAGCACGATGACGGGCGGCGCAGGCGGGCCTTTTTGAGTGTTCCTGGCCGGATGCAGCAGCCACGGCTAAGCGACAAGGCGAAGGAAGGAAGGGAACAAGAGACAAGACGAGATAGGAGACTGGAGACTGGAGACTGACAGGTACACGGCCAGGGCAGAGCAGGCGAATACTTGCAGGTATACTTGCAGGTCAGTTGTATGGCCGCCCAGGTATTAGCATTAGCATGGACTCAACCACATGTGCGAGTGAGTACGGTGATGCGATGCGATGGCGTGCAGTGAATGGGGCTGAACGGGTTCGAATGGTGATGCTAATAATAGAAAGGAGAGAGAGAAGGGTATGGGTGCAGCGCACGAGAGTTGCAGGCGGGCCAGGTTTTAGTTCTCTTGCGGGTTTGGGGGGTTGGAGAGGTTGGGTAAGGCTCTGGCTCTGGTTCTGAAGCGGGCAGGTGCGCAGCGGGTGGGCAGGTGGGCAAGGTGGGCAGGGAAGGACTCGAGGAGAGCAGGGGTTGGGGGAGCAGCAGGGACTGCAGCAGGACGGAGCCGTTTTCGGGAGGAGGTGGGTGGTGGGAGGGGTGAAGGAGCAGCAGTCCCTGGCAGGATCCGATTTGCACCTGCACACCTGCACACCTGCACACCTGCACACTTGCACACAGGCTGCACACCAGTGCCTGCACTTGTCTGCGGTGCCCCTCACCTCTCTTGTACCCGGCCAAGTCGCCGAGGATACATGCAATCTGCAGTCTGACAGGCACACAGTGGGGTAACTGGTCATGTACCGTTGACAGACAGAGAGACAGGCAGACAGACAGACAGACAGACAAGACGGGCGGGCAGACATGACCGAAATCTCACCTCACCTCGCCTCGTCTCGGCTACTAGCCTTGTTCCCCACTGGACTTGGACTCGGCAGCGCGGAGCAGGGGACCAGGACTCGAGTGACCTGACCTGGATCGACTCGTCTCTTCAGAGTTGCTGGGATCAATTCGACTCGACACAAAACCAGCAGTTCGGCTGACGCTAAAATGTTCTTTCAACGTTCCTGCCTCGTGCTGTCTGGAACAAAAAGACAGGACCAGTCCCCTGGCCGTTGCCTTATCCGGAACAAGCATCGCCATTCGACAGGCTACATACAGCAGGGCCAGGGAGTGTTAAGCTCGACCCGGTTAGGACCGGCAGTCGTTGCTTGGAGCCCACTCCAGCATGGCATACATGGCGTACTGTGCTAACATACATGCCTACACGTCAATCACATTAATACACACATCGCACGTCTCTTAGCGCACAGCGAATGAACAACTGGCCCTCAAGCAGCATTGCACCTTGATCTTGCATCTTGCAACGGCCAGGCTAGCACCGGACAACCAGACGGCTCCGACAGTATGGGATAATGTCCGTCCGGCCAACCACAGCAATCCACATCTAGTCAGTTGAAACACCCCAGAAGCCGTGATCAAGGCAATTGAGCAAAGAAGAAGGGAGGGGGAAAAACGGCCATTGCCAAGGGTCATCCGGTGGGTCGCTCCAGCTCCAGGGTATCCCCTGATCCAAGGGACGACATCACCATTGATCCATGTTAAGAACGAAGCCACTGTTGGACTGCTAGCCTCACAGTAGCCCCCCGGGTACCGAGTGCTGTACCACAGTGGTATGGCATATAGTATCACCTGGTATCAGCACCAAAACTCTTTCTATAACCATTGCTGACTGCTTCAACAATTTTAGCTGCCACCTCACACCACACTACTGCCTGCATATTGACGACGACGTTTGTGTTAGAATGGTGGTCCACAACTCCCACCAGGTACACAACCACGTTTCCTCGCAACTGTAATGGCCTCGCGGAAACGCCGTTATCTACTAGTTGGGACGGCTGCCACATTGGGATCCGTGACACTCCCGGTTGCAAGGCTCTTGGCACATCGAAACTCTGGTCGTCAGAGGCCCGCCCTTGACAATGCACCGTGCACGCGGCCGACCAGCTGTCACGATACACTCAGTCCTACACTGGAAAGACCACGCCTTGCAGCGCCCGCGCCCGCCTCCGCGCCTGTCTGCGCCTGCGCCTGAGCGCCTGCCCGGCCGGCTGGCCAGCCCTACGAGCCCGTGATCGACCACCGTCTGCCGCGAGAAGACCCCTAGATGCCGCCCGGCCAAGATGTACCCGGGTCGTTTAGCAGTGCAGCACCTGAACATATCCCAGCCTCGTAGAAGACGCCCCCACCAACTTACAACAGCTGTCAATGCATCCTACATACTCGAGGCGCGCGACGACTCGTCTCCTGATCCTCGGTGTCTCGCTCTGGGCTGACCTGAGCTGATCTGCGTCAAGGTAGTCTGGACCGTACAACATGCTGCCTGGACCGCCCGTCACCTTGCAGAGTCCGACCAAGCGACGCCATTGGCGGCCGAGGAAGTAAACACACAAGGTGTATTATTATAGAGCGCGCTATTCTCCTGCATATTGGCCAGGACTTCACCCACAAATCTGCACGCCAAAAACCAGATCGGGCCAGCCTGAGCAGTCTGCTCGCTCGCTCTTCGCCGATATTGAATGCAACACCAGGGCCTGAATATGCAGGAACCACGTCTTATTGGCGACTCTGGACGACGTCCGGCCCTGTTTGGGTGACCGTGTGACCTTGGCAGGGGCAGGTCGTGGAGCTTGTTGTTGCGGTCCGGCGGACGGGGTGAATGCGCGCAGGGCAGGGAGGGCAGCCTCGCCTTGGACGATAGGGTAGGTACGTGGACGTGGTACACTACTGTGGTACCGTCCAGAAGCCAATTTCGAAGAAGTCTGTAAGCTTGGCACCCACTGGTCAATGGCGTCTGACTCTGTGCAGCTCCCCACCCGGACGCACACCTGATCATCTGCACAAGGGTTCACAAGGGGCAGGCCATGCACAGTGATCCAAAATTGGGGCTGTGAGTGCTGCCCTGAATCTCGTCAGATTTGCGAAATCTAAGCGGGCTGAGGACATTGATCCCCGGGTAGGGCAGGCCTTGGCTCGGGACCTTCGTGCCGCGTCTGCTCAGTAGACTGCGAGCCTCCGGTGCCTCCGCCTCCGGCATCGTTCTACGAATGTCTCACCCACGGCCCGAAATAACTTAATTTGGCTGCGCGATCTTTCTGAGGGCTCTCAGGTCTATTGAGGAGGCTCTTATCCCAAGTCGTACAAGTCCCTCGCGTCGCAAAAGACGGCTGCGGACTTTCTTTGAGAGCCGCTGGGGAGCTAGGGGAAGCTTTGGCCGGGTTTCACCCTCGCGCGTCGACACGGTCGGAGCTGTCATCGAGTCAGACCTCAAACCGCCATCCAGGCCTTGTCGAACCCAACAAGCTTGGAGGAACAGGGTTCCCGAGTCGCCATGATGCAACGATGCGAACATCACACGGCACGGCCGACCAGATTCGTCCCAACCAACAACGAGGCGCTGTACGACGGCAAGCACCATCACCAACCAGTGCATCAGGATATCAACGACGGCACGAGCGCGAGGGCCATCACCGATGGCCCACTGCGCATCCACGGCACGAGGGGCGATCCTGCGGAACCAGCAGAGCTCGGACCTATCAACCACCCTCCTGCCACCCCCACCCATCCCTTGCTCACCCCTGCCTCTTGGCTCTTCAGAATCTTGCGTGCATTCTGCAAGGGAGTGGGGTCGCCAGCTAAGCGCCCGGCGGCTATCAGTTTAAAAATAGATATTTTTAGAAGCACATCCTCAACTTCCTCCCCCATGACTGGGCCGCCCTGCCAGCCACTCGAGACACCATGCCAGGAACCTCAACCAGAAGATCAAAAACTTCCGAGTTTGACGCAGTTGGCGTCCTTTGCACCAAGTTCGCACGGCAACAACACTTGCCCGGTCGTGACGTTCGACCATGGCCTCGGGTAGACGGCTCGCGACCGACGGGTGTTTGAAGGCCACGAGACTCGCCGGTCCGTCCTACCCCGCCGGCTTACTGTTCTCAAATCCCACCCGTTCCTCCGAGCTGCCGTCCACTTACAAGCTGCGCCGTCAACGTGGTGTGTCGCACTTGTCGAATTGAAGGTTGCGATCCTTCGCTCACGAAGGATCAAATTGGACTCGATCATGGAGGGCGACACCAACTGATGCCGTAGAACTAAGGGGTTCACCCTCACCTTAGGGACGGTCCTTGCACGGGACAGCCAGCGGCGGCATTCGACCGCACTAGCTGGCTCAATGTGCCGATATCTTGGGCTGGGCCGCAACGACTATCACAACCGTGATGCGCGTCATGATGCCAATATAAGATGCTTTGATTACACGATGCGCACTGGCAGGAGAAGGACCCTGGCGGATGGGATGAAGCTGGGGTCGCACCTTGAGCCAGCCTGCACTCGAATCTGGCCTTCGAGACCTGATCGTAGCCCGCATGACATGACCTGCCATTCTCCATGCTGGTCTGTCGCCTCGGTTACCTGCAACCCTGCAGCCCTATATGCCATCGGTCTGTGCGACGATCGTTCAGCTGATATTCCGGGTCTGGAGGGGGTGTCTTCTGTTTGCGTCTGGGCACCGCACTGTCTGGGGGCGCTCTAAGCGACCTTCAACCGAGTCAGCGATAGATCGGATCACCGCGCGACGAACGCAACAGCCACGCACCACTGTACTTCAGATGGCCCACCTCGGGGCAATACCGTACGACTGCCGACGGAGAGCACCTTGTCTTCTCCACCGAGCCTGAAGCCTCGTCGACCACCTCGCCCATGGCTGACACGCGTGTCTTTCCGACTGTAGCATTATGCATCGCCTTCTCTTGTCTCATTCTGACATGAAACAGCGACACGGGCAGGAAGCGGGCTGAAGTGCAGCCTCATCGGACTCTGTGCCCCCCTCGCGCACCACGTGCATGCGGCTTTGCTCGCCCTTTAGCCGGGCTGCGTACGTTGTTTCCAGAGCCTGCTGCCGTGTCTGCCGTAAACATGCTGTGCGAGGCTGCGAGCGTGCCCTTTGCCGCAGTCCAACCACCATCTCCCTAGATCAACGAGCACATTATCCATCACACCCACACACTCACGCATCAACATACGCGCACCGCGCCGTAGATGTTTCGAAACAGACTAGTAGGGCTGAGCCGCACCCCCATCCATCCACCCGCCCACACATTCCTTCGTCCCTCCCAGCCCGGAGCCGGCCTATCGCCTGGCCCCCGAAGTTTCCGCGCCCACGCAAGGCTGCGTGGTTCGCGGACCGCGGGCACAGGCACACACGCACACAGAGAGAGATAGAGAGGGTGTTGGGCGGATAGACGGCCTAGAAATCGACCCAGAACCATCAACCCCCTGCCAGGTCCCGTCTGAAGGGCCGCCGTCTCTGGCCAGCCTGCGCGGACGAGGCAAACCGGCGACGATCGCTCACGTAATCAACCAAGTGTTCCCAGCAGGCACCATGGTTCGCGCACGCGCACAGCATATTGTACATACACACGTGCAAACGGCCCCTCCGGGTGTCCCCCTCTATGTCTCCCCCTCCCCCAGGTTTCTCACCCCTTCTCAGCCCCCACACCGTTGCAGAACCACGGAATCAAATCAGGTGATACGGTGATACCAGTGGGCGGGTTTCTTGCGGGGTGTGCTCCCAGGGCGTCTGACCTCAGCAGAGCGATCTATCTACCCACCTATCTATCTCAAACCGAAGATCAACACCCCAGGAACAGTGCGTTCTAGGGGGGGAGGGGGTACATCAATAATGCTAGAACCAGATTATGCAGGCACGGAGACTTTTTGTAATGTATGTCTGACATGACAGCATGACGGCGTCTCTGTCGATCTTCCTGCCAGAGTCGACGGGTTTAATCTCAAAACGGGGAAGAGTTTGTTTATTACACCCGAACAGGTAAGTGCGATGCTGCCAGTGCTTACGGAGAATGCGCACCACACACGCACGTCAACCTGAAGGATCATGGAGAAATCACCAGGTAGGATGGATGGACGGACGGTCTGCTCCATCCCCCCGACCCCAAAAGTGCGCCCTCGGCACACCACCACCACCGCACCGCACCCGCACATCCTCAACTCCAGTGCTGGCCGGCCGACCTGCCGCGTCAGCAGGACGAATCAGTAGCACGATCAACACCAAGATGAAGTTTCCTCTGACGCACTTGGTCACAATAAACACGTCCCTCATTACACAGATGAGCGAGATGGGGACATTCGGACGGTCAAGTATAGAGTATTAATGTATAGCGTTAATCTCGACTTGGATGTAACACCACCACCAGCACCACCACCACCAGCATCATCCCCCCATCACCCCCGCATGTCCATAACTGCATGTTTCTAAACATAAACCACGACGTGGGGGAGACAGGGCGGGAAAGGGCAGAAACACCGCAGGAAGCCGTCCCTCTGCAAGGCTTGTTTCTCCTTCCCCAATCACACCACCACCAAAACCACGATACCCCACCACACCACACCACCACTCAGACTCTCCCCATTTTTGGCCCCCCCTTTTTTTACAGGCACCCGAGCCTGAGCTGGTGGACGCGGGACCCCTTTCCCTGGAAACAGTCCTCCCATCCTTCCTAAGTCTCGCCGTACGTCCCCGTGGTGTCGTCGCCGCCGACCTTGTTGGACATGGTACCGTTGAGCATCGGGCAAAGCTTCTTGTTGGTCTTGATATGACCGACCAGTCCGCAGTTGGCACACTTGCGCGTGGTACCGCCCTTCTCGATCGACGGCTGCTCCGGCGACATGGCCGACCCGCCGTCGAAGCCGGCGCCGCCCGCGCCGCCGCCCGCCCCGAAGCCCGCGCCGCCCGCCGCCCCGGAGAGGCTCGCGCGGGCGCCGCCCTTCTGCTTCTCCCGCTGCTGCCGGCGCTCCCTGTTCTTCTTGAGCCGCAGCTCCTCCTGCTCGAGCTTGCTGCGGATGACGCGGTCGCGCTCCTCGTTGCCCGTCCACTGGATGTTGTAGACGTCGATGTCGGCCTCCTCGAGCTCCCGCCGCGCCCGCGTGTACTGCGCGATCACGCCCGCGTCCTCGATCACCTCCTCCTGCTCCTTCTCGGTCCCGTCGGGCTGCCTGACCGTCCGGACGATGCGCAGCTTGCGCCGCGCGTTGCGCGCGCTGATGGCGCTGCGGCTGACCTGGCTCACGCCCTCGTCGAAGCGCGGCGTCGCGGCCACCGCCGGCTGCGCGTTGAAGCGGTCGTCCTCGTCGTCCTGGGGCTGGACGTCCGCGTCGTCGTGCACGGCCGCCTCGCTGAGCGTCTCCTTCTGCTTGCCCCAGATGTCCGCGATGACCTCGGCGTAGGCGTCGTTCTGCTTCTTGACGTTGTACGAGTGCCCGCCGTTGGCCTTGCGCTCCCGCTCGAGGGCATCTGCCGATGTGGACTGTGGGCCTTGCTCGTGGTAGACATTGAGGAAGCCGCCCTTCATGGATGTTCTGATAAAACTGAAGCCAAGGCCTCGGCCTGTCGGGTCGCCCTCGCCGCGGAGCTTCAGCATTGCCTTTCCGGTCGTGGCGTCTATGAAGGCCTTGGATGTGTTCCACGGGGTCAGGTGGACGGCTAAGCTTTCTCCCTCCCCCGCTTCTTTGTCGGGGTTCAGGGCGTCGACGGCGAATCCAGACTTTTCCACTTCGTAGGTTCCGACCTGCATGGCATCCATCAGGCATACATCCTCGGGCTGCACCATCGAGTTGATGGTCTCGGGGTCCATCAGTTTCTCCCCTTCTTTCAGTGTCCAGTGCCTGGCATCCTTGTTAAATGAGAGGAATTCCTTCAACTTTTGCCGATTTTGAGCATCATTCGAGTCCTTTACATGGGTTGTGATGTCGTTGAGAGCCACAAAACCCTTCTTCATTATCAAACGGTATGACAGCATCTTGAGACGGTTCTTGCTCGTGTTGGTGACCTTCCTGCTATGGGGGCCCGGTACCTCGATGGACGGGAAGTTCTGGCCCACAACGTACAGGTGATCGATTCTGCGCATGTAATATTGGCTTCCCTCCTTGGAAGTCGTGATACGTCCGATGAGAAAGTCAGTCTTTCGAGGCTGGTGCTTGAAAATCGGCGCCCGATACATTTGATTCTGCAAGGTTGGCACTGTCTCGCCCTTGGTGACGTCTCCAAAGTTGGCGAACGGAGATCGATCTTCGGGTAGTAGGACCTTGGTCTCGCCAATGGATGGCTTCTCCGCCGGTTTCTCCTCCGCATCACTGTTGACACGGAAGTAGTTTACGACTTTGCTGCCCATGCCAAAGTTCGACAAGACGGTCGGGATTTCTTCGCAGTACTCGAAGAGGACGGCGGTCGAGTTGTCGTTGAGACTTACGTCTCTCGACTCCTTGTAGATGTCGCTCACCCTCTGGCCCTTGAGATCTCTGCGCTTGTGCCACCTAGGCTTGGCCCAGCCTAGCGACTTGTTGACCTGTTTGACTACCCGGAATGGAGGTCGGTGGTAGCTGAATGCGCTTGGATCAACCATCTTGACCTGGTAGTATGGCCATAGGAGCTTGCGAGCCGGAATGCTGTGCTCGACCTGAATGCCACCCAGTGTCGCCCTGACCTTGTCGCGCACGTTCTCCTTGAGAGCCTCGTATGCTTCGTCGTTTGACACATTGAATCGCTGACAGATATCTTGAGCCATCTTGCCATCAGCCATTCGCTTCATCTTCTGGTTGTTCTTGGGTCGCTTTGTCGGCCGCTCCGTCTCCATGTCGTCGATCAGCAGATAGGGATCATTCATGTCCAGTCGTACACGCTTGGCGCTTCTTGCCGTTGCATCGTGGAAATTGTCGAACGAAGGAGCAATGAACCGGGAGATCTCAGGCAGTCCTACAAGATGGGAGACCTTGCGCCGCTTAGGAGCAGGGCGATCGATACCCATCTCCAAGAACCAGTCATCATCTTCTTCAGCAACAGCAAGTCCAGGCGAATCCTGACGCTGCCTTTGAGGAGGGTCGATTATGTCGTCCCAGTCCTCGCAGACCGTCTCGATGTCGCGCAGAGTGAAGCCCCCAACGAGCTCCATCTCCGAATCGGAGTCTTGTGCTGTGAATATCTCCAGGTCGACGGGATCGACAGGTTCCGGAACGAGCAAGGAAACCAAGCCGTTCTTCTCGGCAGCCTGTATCTTCTGGAGGGTCGTCTGCGAGGCGGGCCCGGGAACCCTGAACTGTTTCTCTTGGTCCACGTCGAGTTCCAGGCTGAGTTTGTTGGGGACGAGCGGCTTGGGCTGCCTCAGAGGTTTCTTGTCGACCCAGTTCGCCTTTCTCGGTGGGAATAGTTCGTTGAAGTTGAGGATCTTGCCGCGCTCGAAGTCCGGGAAGGTCTGCTTCAGGAGATCGAGAACACTCTCGGGGGCTGCGGGGATAGAAGGGTCTTGGTTGGCCATAGGGTAGCTAGGCTCGGGGTCGAAGTTGAGAGCTCGCAGATCGGCCAGGTCGTCGGCTCCAGACATCTCGATGTCCTGCTGGTCGGCGTCGGCGATGGCAGCGCCCGGTGACAGGGCGGGCTCGCCAACCAAGGGTGAGGATTCCCGACCATCGCCGAACAGATCATCGTCGTTATCGTTGCTCGTGCCACCGTCGCTGGTCAGGGCAGGGGGGTTCTCGAGCCCGCCGTTGGCGGCTTCCTCCTCGTCGGGAAGATCATCGTCGCTGATGTCTTCGAAGTCGAGGGCATCGTCGGCCTTATTGGACTGGTCGATGGGGCCTTCGAGGGAGATGTCCGGCTGGTTGGTGGGATCTTGGCTGAAGAGTTTCTGGATCGCATCGGCGTCGTCCCTTTCCTGGGCGGCCCAGTCAACCTGGTCTGCCATGGTCAAGTCGGGGTTGGCAGTTGGGTTGCCCGCGTGGTGTTGACGGTGCAGCGATGGCGAAATGGGTGGGGCCGGGCACCCACCTTTAAGAAACCCGCAATCACCTACTGAGTGTCTGTGCGCTATTGCAAAAATGGCAATAAGTGGGACCCATCTCGGTACGTACCTTTTTTCTCACCTTGAGCATGGCCGGCAGGTCTTAGTTTCACGGCTAAGCCTGTGACAGTACTCCTCCCTACTGCCCCAGGTCATCTAGCATCTCATAGCTGAATGAAGCCCACATCGCCTTTTTTACTATACTCACCCGGAATTTTTATAACTTAGCATGTACGCCCCTGTTTTCAACCATGAATCAGGGGATCATCCCTAACCCTAAGCTAGTTCTCCTACTCTCCGGACGGGCAAGATACACAATGTGGTACTCATTTAGCTATGACATGCTGTAGCCGTCCATAGCCTAGGGTAGTTGTCACAGGCAGCGGACAACGGAGTCAAGCTTGTCTGATATGAATGGACATCTCACTGCTTCACCCTAGTGTCCTGGCTGGAAATTTGTCTCTAGTATGTGACTTGACTTCTCACTGTTGCGATGGCGCACTCACTTATTTGGTGAGGATTCACGTGGCCGGCCCGGTAGTTGAGGATGGCAATCCGATACACGATAGCGGAGGGCCTGTTCATGCGTTTGAAAGTGATGCTAACCTGCATTCCACTCCTTAAGTAGTGTCAGCCACATATGGCCTCTAGTCTACCATGATATTTCCTTGTGCTTCGAGGCCTTGCTAACATGTTGACTGGCCACCGGACAATCACAAGTCCGGAGCGGCGTGCACCAACCCAATTTGTCACCCAAATCAGCTGGCCCAACATGAACACCAAAGTTTGTTATACACGCACCTCCACTAAGATGCTGGATCTTTCCGTTCTGTTGTACCCAATTTTAGGTTTGTAGTTGGCCTGTGGGTGAGCGAACGGCCATGATTCTGTTCTCAGATGGGCGGCCATAAAAGGCAAAGGCTTGGGTATCCTGCACACCCATGCGCTACATCCAGGGCGTGGATGCTGACATGTGTAGAAATGGAGCATCTTGGCATTTCCATCAACACCATTGTCTTGTGACGTGATGCGGACTTGTCATTGCCCGTCTGTTGCCGCCTCAGCGGCGGTCTGACACGCCCTTATCATGTGGAGATGACTACTCAGGCCGATATCGTCGGTCCAGGACTGACTTACAAAAGGGCCCCTCGACCAGCAAGTCTGCAACACCGTCGGCACCATACGAGCCGGCCAAATAGCACATCCGCGAAAGCAGAGGAATCTGCCCAAGGCCTGAGTCGTGGAGCCTCACTGACCCAGCTACTACTGGTAAATAGTCATCTGCCGCCCCGTTCGGCGGAACAAGATTGCTGACTAGACCCAGAAGAGCACAACTTACCGGCGACAACACCTCCCGAGGTCATAATCATGTCGGCGACAGTGTCCAAGGCCGCTCTCCAAGAGCGGTTTGTGGGCAAGACCCTCCAAGAGGTCCCCACGCCCAGCATCGTCCTGGACATGGCCAAGCTCGAGGTCAACTGCCAGCGGATGATCGATGCTGCCGACAAGAACGGCATTGGATGGCGGGCACACATCAAGACTCACAAGGTCAGTAGTCAGTCTCATGTCACTGACCCCCCGGGTGAAACCCCTCTCTCTAGGACGCCACGGCGGCTGACCATCTGCGCAGACGGAGGAGCTCACGAGGCTTCAGGTGGGCGAGCACTCCAAGGCACCGGCCAACATCATCGTCTCGACCATCCTCGAGGCAGAGAAGATCGCCCCCGTCCTGAAGGACTTCCAGAACAAGGGGCGTGATGTGAACGTACGTGCCAACCGCCCTGAATATGAACTCGCCAGTTGGCCAGGCAGTCTAACGCCCGGCAGGTCCTCTTCGCCTTCCCCCTCTTCCCATCCGCCGTCCCCCGCCTGGCCGCCATCTCCAGAGCCCTGGGCCCCAACGCCCTCGCCGTCATGATCGACAACCCGGCCCAGGTGCCCCTCCTGGCGGACCTCAGGTCCCAGTCCGGCGGCAACAGGCCGCTCGCCTTCCTCAAGATCGACGTCAAGTACAACCGCGCGGGCGCCATCCCGGGCACGCAGACCTACCACGCCCTGCTGAAGGACGCCCTCGCGGCCGAGGCGGACGGGTCGGCCGTGCTCCACGGCCTGTACGCCCACGCCGGCCAGTCGTACTACACCCGCGGGGACTGGGACGCCCTGATGTACCTGACGGACGAGTTCGCCACCCTGGCCGGCGTCGCGGCCGAGATCCGCGCCCAGAGCGCCGGCCACGCCCTCACCCTCTCCGTCGGGGCCACCCCCACCGCGACGGCACTGCAGCACCCGGGCATCCCCTCCTCCTCCTCCTCAGGAGCACAAGGAGGAGCACAAGGGGCCGGCGCAGGCGAGACAGGCGCCCGCGTGGCGACCCTCGCCTCCCTGATCGGCACCCTCAAGGCCGACGGCCTGGCCCTCGAGGTCCACGCCGGCGTCTACCCGACCCTCGACCTGCAGCAGCTGGCGACCCACGCGCGCGACAGCTCCCTCCTGGGCAGCGGCGACATCGCCATCTCGGTCGTGGCGGAGGTGGCCTCGCTGTACGCGGGCCGCGGCGCGGCCGGGTCCACCGAGGCCCTCGTCAACGCGGGGTCGCTCGCCCTGGGCCGCGAGCCGTGCAGGCAGGACGCCGAGGGCCACTACGCCGGCTGGGGCGTCGTCGCGCCCTGGGGCGAGCCCGCGCTCGAGGCGTCCGACCCCGCGCCGGCGGGGTTCCCCGCCGTCCACCGCGGCTGGCAGGTCGACAAGATCAGCCAGGAGCACGGCGTGCTCGCGTGGAAGGGGGACAAGGGTGCCGAGGTGCCGCTGAGGTTCGGGCAGAGGGTGAGGATATGGCCGAACCACGCCTGTATCGCGGGTGCCGGGTACGACCACTACCTCGTGGTGGATAGCAGGAGGACAGGCAACGAGGACGAGGTCGTGGATGTGTGGCCCAGGTGGAATGGGTGGTAAGCACAAGAATAGAATAAAATGCACAAAAATCTCATCTAGATTAAATGTTCCATTTCTCTGTTTTTTTTGTACAAATAGCCAGCTAGCTTTCCGCAAAGGCTGCCCTACCGGCTTTTGATCCTGCCACCGGCCAGCAGACCATCTGCCAACTCCAGACGCCTCATCCCATTCTGGACCGCCGCGCACATTACCAAAATTGAGCACCAAAAATCTTTGCATCACGTTTTCCTCTCCTGAGTACACGGAGACCGCACTCACTACTTGCAGCGCTTCTCGACGACGCTGGGTCCAATCTCCTCCCACTCCTTGCGCGAGATCCACATCTGGTGGAAGCTCCCCAGGCTGCCCAGGATGCTCCCGCCGACCCAGGCGCCGAAGCGCCGCTCGCTCGTCAGGCCTGCCGCGTGCAGCTTGATCTTCATGCCGGGGTACATCTGCGTGAGCTCGTTGTTGAGCCTGTCGTTGAACCCGTTCAGCAGGCTCGTCGCCCCGGTCACGACGATGTTGCCCAGGAGGTGGGGCCGCAGGTCCACGTCCACGAGGTCCAGGCTCTGCTTGATCAGCCCCGGTATCGTCTGGTTCTTGGCAAGGCGGAAGTGCTCGTCCGAGACGTGGTACCCCGCCGCCTCGTCCCACATGCCCTCGGCGCACTTGAACCGCTGCTCCCGCCACATCTGGTTGTACCCATCGGGCATCTCAAACACGCGGCCCGGCTGCGTCTTGATGAACTCCTCGTTTCCGGGGGCCGCGTACCGCCCGGGGCCCTTCCAGACCTCGACTACCGACTCCTTGAACTCGGTCAACAGTCGCTCCTCCTCATGGCGGCGGAACGAGTCGTGGATCGTAAATGGGAAGTTCTTGAGCCTGGCGTTCGGCGGCTGTTGAGCGTCCACCTGGGTCTTGTTCTCGATCATGAATGTCGGAACAGTGTCGATCTTCGGGTCGTTGGTCTCCCACATGGCGCGGATCTGCTGCGACAGCCACAGACCACCTGCTGAGGACTGGACAGCCGACTTCTTGAGCGCCATACCATCGTGCACCGCCGTGACAGAGGTGTTTGCCCCGCCAACCTCAATCACCAGAGCCGTCGCCTTGCCTGCCGCGAACGCGGAAAGGACGGGCGTCCTGCTGAGCCAGGCGGCTGGCGTTCCAAAGGTCTCGAACAGCGTCTCCATCGCCTTCTCCCGGTTCTTGGGCGGGTTGGTCGCCGGCTCCGTAAGCAAGATTGGGTTCTCCCACAGCGCCTTCTCCTGCTCCTCCTGGTTCTCGGCCTCTGCCATCGAGACGTCGCCCTCGCCGTCCTTGTTCCCGTCGTTCAGGCCGTTTTTCGAGGGGTGCGTTGGCTGCGTCGGGTTCAGCCGCTGGACAAGCATGTTCTCCCAGATCTTGGGCGCGATCTCCCAGTCCTCCACCTCGGACTTCGTGTTCATGTAGTTGGCCAGCTCGAGGTTCTCGCGCGGGCGTATGCACTCGTCGCCAAAGGCTAGCTTCCCGTCGATGCGGCTGTAGAAGGACGGTAGGACGCATTTCGGGACATCTTCGCCTGCGAAGCCGGCGCGGGTATGGCAGTAGCCGGGATCGAGTACGAGGGCGGAGATCTCGTCTGTAGCGCAGAAATGCCACTGTCAGGAAATTGAACGGGAGGAAGGGACGTGGCGCTTTGCGCAAAGGTCACTCACCACCGCCGTAAACGTCAGCCGGCTGCTGCGACGAGGAGAGTGGCTGCTGGGAAGCCATCGTGACTTGCGCCAATCGATCGCGTCAATTTGAGAAACTTTGGTTGATCTGAAACTGGTTGATTCGATCGAGGTCAGACACGTCGCGTCGTTGTGTGTTTCTCCTGCCGCGCTTGCGCTCTCCAGATAGGTGGATGGATGGAAATGGAGGGAAGCTCCAACACCCTTCGAAAAAGCTCCACTAGCAAGCTTGTGAGGCTGGAGCGGGAGTGGGTACCCTAACCCAGATGTCCCACCCCCAAAGGGAACTAACTTCCCTGCCTACTCCACAAACACGCCTGAATCCGCTTTGAACAATGTTATTCAACAGCGCAGGGACGGACGAATCCGCTTCATATCATTATTTATCAAGAAATGACTAAATAATTCAGCTGTATTAAATCCCACCCACAGAGAGAAATCACTGCCCAGCTATGAGTCCTCATACCACTGCCACAGCCGCCTGGGGTTGTCAACAAAAAGCCTCTGAACCTGAGCGTCGCTCCCAGCCCATTCCTTGGTGATCTCAACCAGGGCAGCATCGTTGATATCCTGGAAGTCCTGCGCCTGAAGCCGACCCCCAACTTCAGTATTCCCCTCCTTACTCTTGGTATGCGGCCAGTCACTCCCATAGACGACCATATCAGGGCCGGCATTGATGATTGTCTCGGCCACCACACGCATGTCCTCGTAAAAAGGTGCCTGGTCGGAGTCCCGGTAGGGTCCCGAGATCTTGACGAACGCTACCTTCCTCTGGACGAGGTCGATCAACTGTGGGAACCCCAGCGTTCGGTATGGATCGTACGTGTTCATGCTCACGTTGGTCCTCGAACCGACCAGGGTGTGCCCGAAGTGGTCGAAGACGACGGTAACGCCAGACTCGAGGATGATGTCGTGGAGGTACGTCAGGGCTGAGAGCGGCGTGTAGAGCTGCACAACCCAGCCCCATTCTCTGGCCACTTCTGCGTTCTTGCGAACGGCCTCAGACACCTCTGCGCTGTTTTGACTGTCAAGGTTTATTCGCACTATAATATATGCGTGAGCTGAAGATGACTTTGCAAGTGTTTATATAAAGGCTGGAGGCTTTCTACGGGCTCCAAAACCCTGGGAAATGTTGCATGAGCTCCAGCGAAGGGTGTCAAAAACCCTGACAGAAGAAGTTGAACGTCTTGGAAGATACTCGTGCACAAGTTCGACTTACTGCCCCGAACGCCGGCCTCATGGAGCACAGCAAGATCATGGTAGGTGATATTGTCCGGGTCAATGACGGCCACACCACGGTATGAACCATTGAATTGGCGCAGGGCATCAATCAGAATCGAGTTGTCGGTGCCATACACGCTGGGCAACACAATGCAGGCGTGGTCGATGCCGAGGCTGGTCTCAAAGCTCGACGCATTGGCAACGCTTGCTGCCTTTGGGGTGTAGTCTGAGTTCCGGAAGAAAGCAATTAGCGCCGCACTCTGTAGATGATGGGCGAGGAGCTTGGAATGCGAGCCTGATCACACCTCTATCAGGGTCCAAAGGGAATCTCTCGGGGTCGATTATATGGATATGCGAGTCCCTGCCCCGGTTCGTCAGCTATTTGAGGACGAGTAATACTCCTCTGAGAAATGGACAGACCAAGATCCCACAGGCAGTCTGCGTGCTGTGGCTGCACACCCGAGAACAAAACCCACGACTGATATTATTTTCACTACGGAAACCATGATGAAATCTGCTCCACGGTAATATTATATTAATTGCCGAGGGGGATCTGGAGCATTGCGTTGTTTCTTAATCGGATTTCAGTGCACAGCTTGATCCAAGGGGTTGTGTTCCGAGGTTTTTATACCGCTTTTATATGCCAGGTACTGTTCATTTCCCCGCCTCGTAGCCCCGAACCTACCCAAAATTGCTGTGTCTCTGACCACTGTCTGTCAAACTTTGTGAGCAGTAGACTCCAGGAATCCGTATAGCGTTGCACCAATGTCTACTGCCGCGGCGATTGGATGCAACAATAGCCCGATGCGCGGATGATCCCTTCTGTCTCCAGAACCCAGCTCACAATCTCGGGAACAACGTGCCGTGTTGGGCCGAGTTCAAGCTTGGGTTATACGGTTTTTATTGGTTCAACCCGGCCGAAATCGGTCTCGATAAACTGAGAAGTGTATGGCTCAGGCAATGCTAGACTATCTATGATTATGCGATTTCTTTGGGCTTCAACCCTCGTAACATCGCCAGACTACTCGATGTCGCGAGAATTTGTGTTAAAAGCTCCTTGTAGTCCCATCCCAAAGCAGAGGCCGCCATCATCGTCAGACTGGCTTGGTCGTCGCGCCCGGGTCTGCCTGGACCGGTCATATTCTATCGGTCACACCACAGTCAGCCTCAGAACCACGGCGCACGAGTCTCGATCACTGCCGTGCCGCTGGTGCAACATACCGGCTTCATGTTCACATCAAAGAGGGCGAAGGTCGAGTCGGGAGAATCGCTGTAACGTCTCACGTCGATTCGGATCGGTGCGGTCACGCCAAGGAGCTCGGCAGCTCGCTCCGACTCCCTCATTACCCTGACACGCTCACCGGTCAGTACCCAGCTTCAAAGACGGCCTCCGAGGTGGCCAGCCTGGAGAAGGGGTTTGCAGAAATTTTCGAACCGAGCACATATCGGGTCCTTTTCACAGTCAGCCATGACCTTGGAGTTGGCTGTCACCGCAACGGTGCCATTATACGGCGCAATGCCATCATGGTGATTAAACCGCGAGACCAACGGCAGCGACCAATACCCCTTCTTCTCCGCCGTGGGCGGCATGACGGTGACGGTCGCCTCCTCACCCTGCAAGAACTCCTCCAGCATGACAGCCGCGTCCTCGCCGGCGAGGCCCTCAGCATGCGCCGCCAGCTCCTCCGGGCCCCGGCAGACCTTGACGCCGTGGCTCCCGCGGCCGCGGATCGGCTTCGCCACGATGGGAAACGGCAGGTCTCTGAGGTGCTCGGCGCTTGGTGAGATCCCGAGAGGTGGTAGAACCCAGGACTGTGGCATCGAGAAGCCGCTGGTCTTTCGTAAGAGGGTGTTCACCCAGTCCTTGTTGTCGTATCGGTCGACGCAGAGGGGACTCTGGCCTACGACGCGGATCTTTTCGGCGTGCTGGCCTATTTGCGCCGAGGTCTGCAAGGGATGTGAGGCGAAGACGATGGTGTTGGCCCACAGATGTGTTGCTCCTTTGTCGATGGCTTCCAGTATGCCGTCTTCAGTATCGGGGAATGACCAGTCGCTATCGTTGGTTGGGTCGGGATTGGTGATGGGAGTAATGACTTCGAGATTCTTCTTCTGGTCCAGGTTGTATGCAATATCGGCTCCGGAATCCTTATATCCTTCGATTTCGGAACAATGTCAGTCGAATGAGGGTACCAAGGCACTGTTTGACCACCTCAATGCAGCTTACGAACCATTGGGCTTCTTGGGCTTCTTGATGCCATCAATCACAGGCGGATCAAGAGCTTGATGTAATACGGCAACCCTATGCCTGGTCATCTGCGACGTCGAATACCGCGCCGCTTGTACTCTCCTCCGGCAGCAACCTGCCTGAGCTCCCACATGACGGCAGACATCAGGAAGGCTTGGGCCGGCGCGGAGCACAGAGATGCTGGCCATAGCCGCTCATATGAAAGCTCACATGCAGCCGTACTTGAGCTCGACATCCGGCAACGGCTTTTCTGCCCACAAGCTTGTCTACTGGAACGAGAGAGAAAAAAGGCGCCGGTTAGTAAACTGAACTACTACGCCACGTCGGTTGATGACGAAGGTTGTGTGGACTACTCGACCCCACCAACGGGGTTAAGCCGATGGGACGTGCCCAGAGTCTGTCTCACAGCCCGCGGCAGCTTTCTGTAGAGGAAAACCTTGTGGTATGCGGGACTATCAGCATATTGTTCGTGAAGAATAAAAGAGCCAAATTAGTCAAGTACTTGCTCTGCGCTGTAAAATCCGGATTCACTTGTCACTAGGTATGTGTGTGCGAATCACTTGAAGCTTGTGTCAAGATTTATAGGCACACGTCTATGTTCAGGTGCTGATTTTGGAGCACTTTTTTGGTCTTGACTCAGCTTGAAGTGTGTATTCGGCATACTGCTCTCCCATTATAGAGGGGGATACGCGGAATTGTTTTGATCGAAATTCAAGCCTCCCTCGCCAATCCAGTCCAAATCGAACCACGAGGACATATCCCCGAGTTCGGAGAGAAAGAACTCGGGCTCGACCAGATCGAAGCCCTCGACATCATCAAAAACATCAGACTGATTCACAGCAGTGGCAGAATCGGCAACAGCACCGTCCTGAGCCAGAGACACAAGGGAAGCGCCGACGGCGATCTCAGTGCGCCGCTCAGCCTGCGCCTCCTTCCACGAGCTCCACGACGACTCGGTCAGCGACACAAGCCTGTCAAACTTCTCCACCGCATCGGCAGCGACACTCCACGCCCGGCCCAGCACCTTGAGCAGCGCCGAGCACGCGGACGCGATCCGCGAGAACTCGTCCGCCGACGTCCCCTCCTTGACCGCGGCGTTGACCCACAGACAGTACAGGAACGTGATGCCGCTGACAAAGACCGTGTGCGCCGTCAGCCAGGTGTGCGGCAGCGTCGAGAAGCGGTGCATGTCCGAGTGGATGATGATGGTCTGGGACGCGCTCTCGTAACACGCCTTCCACGATTCGGCCCGCGGCCTGGGGGTCGCCGGCGACGGCCGGTGCAGGAGCATCAGGCAGTGGTGGTACTTGAGCTCGAGCCTTTGCGCGATACCGTCGGCGTTGCGGCGGCGGGACCGCCACCTCAGATCGTGGCTCAGGCGCTCGAACAGCTCGTCCAGGCGCTTGTGGCACTTTTCCTGCCACTCCGTGACGTCTGCTGGCCAGGGGAATGCGTCTGGCTTGTTCACGACGCGGTAGAGCATCAGTTTGATCTCTGCTATGATCTGGTCGAATCGGAAGGAGTACTGTGCCGCCTTGTACGGCGATGTCTCCACTCGCATCCGTTTGGCCGAGTTCATGGGAGACTGTAAACCCGACGAGGCGTCGTTAACTGCATCCATCTCGACGCCAGGAAATTGTACATCGATGGCCTCATCGCGAAGTGTGAGTGGCCGACCAAGGATGACCGCGAGCCTTCTTTCGATCGAATATGCCGACCAGAATATGGCCCGTCGAAGGTCCCGGCGGACCTGATATTGACCAACTAACTCGAGAGACGCATTATGTGGCGGACGCTCTTGCCACCGCCTTTGGAAACCTAGATCAAGACAGGTTGTAATGATGTTCTGGCTCAGAAACCATGCGTTAGGCCCGTGCTCGAAACAGAATCCGGACAAAGTTAGCAGAAGCATTGTCTGCAACCCCTCGAGGCTATCATGTAGAGTAAGTCGGTCTAAACGGGACATGGCCGTCGCTAGATACCGAGCGGACTCAAAATCAGAGGAGAGACGTCCTTCCACCCTACGCGCACCCAGCGCGACAACGAGGAGCAGTTGGACTGCATGAAATGGGGATAAAGCGGCTTCAATATCGCGCAGCTGGGGCTTCTGCAGCGAATGTGTAGATGGAGGTTGTCTCGTGAACAAGGCATCGAGGCTGCCTACAATATCATCCTCGTTGAGGAAAGGGTAAAGCGGCTGCCATGTCTCGAAGTAAGCATCGACAAAATGCTGCAGATCGACCTCTGGGGTCCAGTCCGGTGGTAAAGGCAGAGCAGGCTTTGCTCTCGCCGCGCTTTCAGTCACATCCCGTTGTGGGGAGTTCCAGTAGGCCGTCGACAACCCCTGAGACTGAGGAATAGCTGCAAAGATCAGGCGCGCGAAGGACACGCCTGAGGACGGTCCGATGTACTTTGGTTCGGTGGCGTTTGAAAGCGAGAGTAGTCCGACCTCATGGGCAAGCGGCTCGCTGGGGCCTATCTGCGTCGATGGGCTGGCCGCCGCCGCGGCGGATCCAATATTCTCACTCTGGGAGCGCAGATGACCTTGCGCAGAGCCAGGCGTCAGGTCTGGCACTGCGCTCACGGGCTGATACCGGGGCTCGTGATTCGAAGACGCCGGGTTGCTCCCGTGCTGAGACCTCTCTGTTACCTGAGGAGCCTTTTCCAGCTCCTCGGGTGCTATCCGACGAAGAGACTCCTCGAGTGCACGAAGGCGTGCCTCGGTCTGTGTAATGTAACTGCTCCACTGGTCAGTTCTTGTACATTGAGTTTGGTATATTCAAAGATTGCCTACCTGATGGCATCCGGATTGTTCCCAACGTTCGCCCTGATGCAAGGCTGTCCAGCCTTGGCACAATTCGAGCACGATGGCGTCTCATCGTCACATTTGATCTTCTGCGATCGACACCGGGCACAAGCCGTACCCTTCCTGCGCCCAGCACCTGGCTGCTGCTTCTGTCGCGGAGCAGGGGCTGCATCGGCAGTGATGCCGAGATCACCATCCATCGACGGGGTTCTGTGCGGCGGACGGGGCAGGAAACCCAATTATTGTCCGTTTATATCAGATTGAATGACCAAAGCTGTTGCACATGGCACAAAGTCTTGGTTGGCACTTCCGAGTGCTTTGTTGTGTGCTGGGCAAAGCGTAGGAGGTTGTCCGAGGAAAGCATCGGCCAACGTCTCGGCTTTGCTCCGAATATGAGGACACCAAAATGCTCGGACCGCACTGAAGTGGAGTCGCGACCGCACTACAGTACTTAGAGCATTCCGGCATATGCCGATGAACCATCCCGAGGTCACTTACATCACATAATTCATATCCGATCGTAGCCACGAGCAAATGCGACCAGCTTTGAAGGTCCCGACAGATAGTGTATGTGATAACATATGACACATTCTACATGATCATTATTTTCTAAGTTCGTGTTGAAAACAGCTTCGAACGAGGGGCGACCGCAGTTGACTCTGCGACCATTGCCTGACCGTAGGATGTGGTCAAGTGACATTTATACCTGTATCTCGTGCGACATTCAAATACTATATTTAAATCTTTAAGTATGTAACTAATTGTTTATTAAGCTTTTTTTATACTTAAATAATCTAGTAATTTTATTTAAATGGATGAAAAGGTGAGGTAATATTTAAATATAGTATTTGAATGTTATATAAGATATAGGGATAAATGTTACTTGACCATAGTACCTGTAGGTAGGGGATGCGGATGGGCTGCATTGCATGTGACCAGTGCTGGCTATCGAATGCTTGATACTCTCGAGACTCGTGAAAGACAGGCTTCATGTTGCAGGAACCAGAGGCTTTGATTAGTGAGACCGCGGTATCTTTGCCCAGCATGCTGAGCACCAGCTTCGGCAGTGCTGGTACAGAAGCTGCCATAATAACGAGGTTAGTTTCATGCTAGGAAATCAGTCAGCGAGCATGTCTCATCCCATCGTGTATGGAGTTGGGAGGACAGACTACATAAGTAGGTTGAGATGAACAATCCGAACAAGTCCCACGGCGCATCCTCGGCGAGGTTGGCGGGGAGCTGAGTGGTCTTGGTGATGCAGAAATCATCGCACTGGCCTAGGTCAACATCGAAAAGTTTCTCGACCGGTGGGTCTAGAGGGGAGAGATGGCGAGGAGGTCTTACAAGAAGCCGAGACCTAGCATGATGGCGATTTTCTTGGACCCTTTAATCTGCAGTTTCTAGAACACAGGGATGGGGGAAACTGTCAGAACTAAGTCTGTAAAGGCTGAAAATGCTACAGACGGCAGATTAGTTAGCGTCCTCGTCTAAAGAAATGCACTGGGCGGTAGTAGTACTCACAAGCGGCCAAATAGGTGAATGTGTCCAAGATATGATTAGGGAAGCAGCTAGCTCGGGAGAGTAGGTGCCAGAGGTGATCTGGTGGATCACATTTTAATCCTTTATATTATCTCTTATAGTTTATCTAACAAAGCAAAGAGTTAGTTAGAAAGTGATGTTTAACATATCAGGAAAGACCCAAATATATCTTAGGATTTTAGCTATTGGGCAACTGTGGCACTCACTGCGCCAGTGCCACACCCTGTCAATCCCTAGTCTCGTGTGTACCCGCAGCGTGTTTCGGCTCCCGCAACCAACGGACCAACCCAGATGACCCATAGTATATACTTTTATTGACCATTCGGGCCTGGAGAGAACCAACAGTCAGTGAGGGTGGGGCGACGGCGAGGCGAGACAGCCGCGAATCGGCTTGCGGCGCGTGCCACAGCTTGCTGACAGCTGTGGGGGGCTCTTCATTTTAATCCTGAAGTTCACCACAGAAACAGATCTGGTTCAAATTTCTTCTCATAAAATCTGGAAGAAAAGTGATCCCCAATCTCTCGACCACAATCCTGTCTGCGAACGCTGGATCTTGGTCTGCCCAGAGTATTGCGATCACTGCATCAACTTATCCTGCCTCTAACTAATTCATTTCTGCATTCTCGCTTCAATCATGCCTAGCGCCTCATCTACATCTGGGATGAAATCCCAGAACGAAAGCATCGCGGAAGCCTTGCACCAGGTTGCGACTCAGGGCGACGCATTTCTGGGCGGTGACGAGGAGGCGCACCAGAGACTCGTCACAGCCGCCCGGGAGCTCGTTACTGCGGCGGAGACTCCCGTGGAGTCGCTCTTATGGAACGTTTGGGCACTTGTAAGTGTCCATCCTACGAAGGCATGCGGGCCCTTCTCACTAATACGAAATAGCCAACACGCACTGTCGCGGCACGTGTTGCCGTTGACCTGAAGATCTTTGAAACGGCTGTGCTGGAAGGTGGCCGACCCAAGACCGACGAGGAGTTGGCTGCGCCTACAGGAGCGTCGCCGACCCTGGTGAAGCGTATTGCCCGGGCCTGCGTCTCGATGCGCATGCTGGATGAGAAGGGTCCTGGACTCTATGTGGCGAATAGTCTGACAACCCTTCTATCGCAACCGGACTACGCTGCTGGTGTTGTATTCAAGTTTGTTATTCTCCTCATACGAAGAAAAGTGCACAGCTAACGTAATTATCCCTAAATCTTCGATTGCTCGCATCTTTCCTTCTCGCACATGCCCAAGTACCTGAGAAACACTCACTTCCAGAACCCAGAAGATGCCACAGACGGGCCTTTCCAATATGCAAACAAATGCGGCCACGCTTTCGGATGGCTGTCCCAAAACCCCAAGGTGTTCCAGGCTTTCCACAAATACGTCCACGCCCTGCGGATACACCGGCCAAGCTGGACTGACATGTACCCCGCGGAGGAGCGCCTAGTCAGAGGCCTGAGGGCCGAGGGCGACGCCTCGGCGTTCGTCGACGTCGGGGGCGGCATGGGCCAGATCCTCCAGGACTTCCGCGCGGCTGTACCGCAGTACACTGGTAGGCTGGTGCTGCAGGAGCTGGCCGAGGTCGTGGGCGCGGCCGAGGCGGCGGGGGTGGGCGGCGGCGACACGGGGATAGAGCTACAGGTGCACGAATTCTTTTCTCCGCAGCCAGTCAAGGGCGCTCGTGCTTATTTCATGCGTTCCGTGCTGCATGACTGGCCGGATGAGCAATGTCGGACGATTCTTCGGCACCTTAAGGACGCCATGGTGCCGGGATACTCGAGGATCTTTATCAGTGACTGTGTATGTGCCTCTCAATGCCTTTGAAAAGGAGACCACGGCTATATTTCATAGTCCTCGGACCTTGAATATACTGCCTGAGGGATATTGTATCATGATCATATGCTAACTCTTGACTATAGATCCTTGCGGACGAGAAGGCGGCTTGGCAGCACATATCCATGGACATCTTCATGATGGCCCAAGTGTCCTCCCGGGAGCGTACTGAGAGGGAGTTCAAGGAATTGATCGAGAGCTGTGGGCTGAAGGTTGCGGCCTTCTACAACAAAGGCGAGGGCAATGAAGGCTTGATTGAGGTTGTGCGGGAGTAAGGACCAGAAAGAAAGTCTCTCTCTGTTGATAGTGTTGCCGTCACATACACGGCTCTTGCCACTGCTTGATTCAATTCCAAAACTAGTACCATTCAGGGCCAATTAGCCTAATCATTGTGCCATTTCTTGAAACGGGTCTTTTTAGCATTTATCACTGTATGAGGGTGCCGTGTATGGCTTCGAACGTATACGGAGTAGGAACAAAATCAGTAAGTATATTAGCAAGATGCCTGTCGGCAAAAGGAACAATGGCTGCGAAGGGGACAGAGCAGGGGTATGTTGGTAGGTAGGTAGGTAGGTAGGTAGGTAGGTAGGTAGGTAGGTAGGTAGGTAGGTAGGTAGGTAGGTAGGTAGGTAGGTAGATCGGTAACTATGTAAATAGATAGGGTATTTAGTTTAGAAACCGGACATTGATATGGTAGAGCATGAATAGTATATGGTAATATGGGAGTCACTCTAGGGTACAATTGAGTGGTAGTAGAATTAGGAACAACTGCGTTCTCTCCCCACTGACGACAAGATTATACACCTTTAGCAAGGCCAAGGCATCGATTTTGGGGCCTGGTACAGGCTCCACGAATCATCGTACCAAAGACACTGCGGCACTCCAGGGGTCAGCCTTCCGTTTCCGTGCTATCAAATTTCATTGAAAACGCTGTCTTCTCTCTTCGGCGCTTGGCGACCGCCTCCGGTTGGACCTAGTTCTATACAGGCCATAGACACGGTGTACCTATCCGATGCACAAATACCGTACATTTTGCGCGGTACTGAGCTTGATTGAGGAAATTATATGACAGAGAACGGCTGGGAATTCATCAGCCAAGCTTATGTCAACGCCATCATGTCTGGGAGGCAGCAGATGTCTTCCAAGAAGTTGGCTGGGGAAACACTGAGCCGGAGTAATAGCACCACCCCAGGGTCTCTACGGATATTGGGTACACATAACCTTCAATTTGTTTGCTATTCTTCGCCATTCTGTCTTCGAAAATAAGTCGCCAAGGGTGAGTGAGCTACAGGTGAGGCTGAATGGGCTGAGATTCGCGTACCTATTCAGCTCTCCCGGGGTGCCAAAGTCTAAACACCACTATTCCTTTTCGACCGATAAACCTCGACCAGACAGTTCGAGCTTTTCTCGGTTTGACAGCTTCCGTGATCTTCGGCAGTGAAGCCAAAATAATCCTTGGAACCCCTGAGAAAGTATGTACTAGTTGAAACTTGCAATGATTGTTACGCGGAGCGCGCGCACCGATTGTCCCATGAGGACCGTTGTGGAAAGACCAGGATGGTGGTCATACTAGAGCACAGGATGAAATGAGAATGGTTACTCGAGGCAGAAAACAGCCACCCAGTTTGGTCGTTGTTTCCGGCAGGCGCAGCAAGCCAGGCCCGCTCAAGTGTCCTGACTACATAGACCCCCTCAGCCCATAACATATTCTGCCATGCATATAGATACCCAGAAGTCTGGCTACATCTAGGATGTGTCAGTCCGCCCGAGTACCTAGGCAGAGCCGGAGTGCCTACCTAGAGTGGATTAGTTAGATTGAAACTAGACAGGCACAAGGGCGCCCATTTGCTCCCTCTTATAGGTATGATCAGCACAGCACATGCTTTAGGCAGAAATGTAAGAGACTATTTAGAGTACTTGGTCAATAACCTGCATTCCCCAGCTTTTCCACCACCATTTCGCTTCCAAGGTTAAGGCCTCCGTAAGCTCACACTCAAATAAATCAGAATACGGTGCCTCGGTAGTACCACGACCATCATAAACGTGCAAGCCAGTGACTAAAGCACACTATTCACGTAGTAGGCGAATAAGTTACACTGTGAAGATTAAAATGTCTGTGAAGTGAGTTTCGATCCTATGCCTCCTATATCATTACATTGATGAAAGTGTCTCCGGCCCTAGTCAGGAGAAAAAGTGTGCATTGACAACCCAAACCAGAATACCCAGGTCCAACGTATCTAATGCAGGTACTCCTAGGAATATCTGATATCATAGCCTTCCGCTAATAACTTAATTTATTTTACGAAAAGCTAATTTTTCAGGTGTAGAATTGGAGACTAATAGCACGGCAGCAACGTGGCTTGTGAGTGCGCTTCGCCGGGACGCTTCTGATGCAGTCGAGAAATTAATTATCTTAGTCTTGCCGTCTCCCAGAATATACACATGGACAAGGGTTGTCACAATCAACTTGTACAATTTATTCGGGAGCAAGGACTATGTACGCACACTGATCAAGCGGAAGTGACGGAAGGATGCAACCCGTAATTGGTTCTCTGACCGAATGGCCGGTCTAGATCATCACATCTTCTATACGTCGTAGTGTCCGTCCGTGTCCAGGTTAATACAATGGTAAGGTGTACGCGTACTATGCAATAGGAAGACACATTAATATAAATACAATGACCGATCCTCTCTTCTACTGCTCAATCTCTCTCTTCAATTACTCCATTCCATCACTACAATACCTCATATTCTCAAAACCAGCACATCCTCATTCCCATACCAGCAACCTTGGACAAGATGAAGGCCTCACTCATCATCTCCCTCCTCATTGCCGCTGTCGCCGCGGTACCCGCAGCAGAGCTCCTACAGCCTGCCCTTGCCGAAAGGCAGGATTGCGTGACGCGCCGCCGTAAGTGCCACTCTACGTTTGCTGAGCGGCCTACTGCATGTGAGCGTCTCTCTGACTAACAGATTCGACTAGAACCGTGCCAAACCAACCCCGACAATTGTTGCCCCAGACTGGTTTGCCAGACGTTCGGTCCCTTGGCAGGCCGCTGCGTCGTCCCGTAAAGCACGGAAGAGAGTGCTGCCTGGCTATGGACTAGAGTGGGATAAGGACAGCGGGCTATTCAACTTGTACCTAAACAGCTGTCCGGTATTCTCATTTACGTTGGCGCAATGGCCTTTCACCCAGCGGGATTCCATACCGGGTTCAACTTAGCATAATGTGGTGTGGCAGCTGTAGATAGCAATCTCATGGTCTGTTCACTCTCTCAATTTGCGCGAACTCAAATGGTGTAGTGGTTTCGTTTTTAATCCCCATACATGTAAAATGTACGTGGCGCCTTCATACAGTGGTAAACGCTCAAGACCCAGCGTTTCTCAAATGGTGTAATGTGTTCTTACATACCCGATCCTAAGTGCTCGATCTTGAAAAGCCATGTTGGTATGTGGTCCTTACCCTAAAAACTTTGAATTCAAGGCCACACAACGATAGCTCCTTCATATTCCCTCAAAGAATTCTCCACGCAGGCCAGGCTAGAAACCCTCACTGAGTCGATGTGAATCTGACCGTCTTGTTAATTGGGGACCGAACCTTAAGAGGCAAACGACACCAAGCATAGAAGACGAGCCAATTTATCATATTAGCGTGATATCCGCCCAAATATTGAGCGAGTCTATAGTGACATTCGTGACTTGCATCGCCAATATCTCCCGGTGGCTGGGAGGCACGGTATAAGGCAAGTATTATCCAACGTGGGCTCGCCAGCAACAGATTAGGAAGTAGGCAAAGAGGCCAACGGGAGGAAGGCCCATGATCCCCAACTCAATCTGGTCGCACTACTACTCCCCGCCCAACACAGCGGCACAGGACCGATGGCAGGGCGATATAACTAGACAACGTTGTCGTCTATCCCCTTAGCCTTGTCTATGCGTCGCAAGGCTGAGGCCACAAGCACCTATCGTAGTTTAAACATTGTATTGACACCGTACGCTTTTTGAGCGCTGGATCTTGAGCGTTTACCACCGTATGTATGAAGGCGTCGTATATGTCCTCGGACGTATACGGAATAGAAGCGAAACCACACAAACCAGTCAAATAAGTGACGGCGAACACTCATGGGGCGCTGAACCGAGGGGGAGGTGCTGTGACAACGAAAGTATGTGGAAGGTCCATCGATCGATCATGCGGGAGATTATCAGTCCAGAACTAATAATTTATCGCCTTGCTTTGAAATTGGCGGCAGCGTGTACAGGGTGAAAACTATTATGGGGCGACCAAACTTGAAGTGCCAGGACCGCGTGCCGAAGGGACAGCGGCACGAAAACAAGCTGCAAGGGAACAATCCTCTATTCTAATAGAAGCAATCTCCTAACCTTCATAACTGGCATAGGATAACATCCTATATTGCAACTTCACATCAGATGACTTCACACAACCCCATACAGCACAGCCTCTAAGTATCATAGTGTAACCCCCATAGTCCAGCCAACATGTTTCCATCATCATGCATGAAAGTCGGACATCAACATGGTAGGTACGTAAAACAGTCAAGGCGGGTATGGCCCATTTCATTTCATGCATTTGCTCATTATTGGCTCCTGACAGGACATGTCGCCCTCTCAGAAGCATGTTCTATGATATTTTGACCGGCAATGAGTCTCTCTGGGTATCTATTGAACCTGCCTGGCAGCACGCAGGCATCCCGTGACCTTATCCTTAAGTGATCAATTTTTTCTTCAAAAGGAACGCCGAACCAATGCTTGCTTGCTTCCCTGCCCCAACACCTGAGATGCAACTCGTTGCGAAACAAATACGGCTTGAGCCATAGGGAGTAAATAATGTTAATGCTTTGTCTTGCAGTCGTTCTCCAGTTCAGACCGCGCACAATTCAATTTGCGTGCCTGTCGGGTATAAGGTGTAAAGTGGGCCAAAATGAGTGGCCGGCTGAGTGATAAAAGAGGGTTGTTTTTTTGTGGAACCACGAGCAGCGCTCTGCTCTACGCAAAAAGAAGAATGAGCATAGCGAAACCCACTGAGAGCGTTTGTTGTAATCCAATTGGCAAGGCGGAGGCCGCGTTCTCTGTCCCTGCCCCGAAGCCACTCTCAGCCGCGAAAGAAGGGGACGCAGCCGTCGTCGAACTGGTCAGGTTCTGATTAATGACCAAGGTAGAGAACGGGATAGTAGAGCCGTTTCCCTCGAAAGCAACAATGTTTGATGCGGTTGCGTTGAAATCAGTCTGCGCGATGCCGATTTCGTTGTTCTGCAGGTCGTAGACCACATATGCGCTGCGGAGAAATGTGTCGCCCAACAGGAATGGGCTCTTGGTCGAGTTCTGGATGCCAAACTCGCACGCATCCTCGCCTTCGAAAGGTCCAGAGGTGAAGGTTGGCGCCGGTCCGGAGGTGACAAGGTCAAGCACAAGCTCGTCCATGGACACATTGATCCTTGGACCTTCTGGACCTGCAAAGCCAAATGAAAAGTGGCCCTTGCTAGCTTGCATCCGGCATGGCAGCAGGGCGAGTCCAACGTCAGGGGTGTAGGTAGCGCCGACTTCTCTCCATATCTGCTCTGCAATATCGTTGGGCAGGTAGCTGAGGGTCGTGCCAGAGTCGAGAACAACGTCGATTGGGTACTCGGTCGATGTCAGGATGTCGGTGCCGCTCTCGCTAACAGCAAGTAACGACGTGACGGGGACCAGAAAGGAGTCGTAAACGTTGGTTTTGTTATTCACCAGTATGTCGATTCTTGTCAAGTTGCCCACGTACTTCTCCGTATCTACGCCGCCGAAGAGGATGTTGCCCTTGCTTGAGTCGAGGTCGTTGAGCCACAGACTGTAGGCGTTGGTATTTATGAGGCCCTCGTTCACCATGACCACGGGGAGGTTGGGATAGGCGGCCTCGGTGGAGTTTTCGGTGTCGACTATTGCTTCGTTCAACATGTAGCCGACTCCAGCCAGCCCGTAGGTGATGGTGGTGTTTAGGCCGAGGCCCATTGTGACATTGGTCACGGTGGCGCCTGCAATCTCGAAAGAGTCCATAAAGTAGTCGCCATTGGCGAAGCTACCGTCGACATACGAAATGTCAAAGGTGCCTTTCCCGGCGTCGGTGAAGGTCGACGAGGCTTTCGGATCAACTAAACCGCCAGAGTCAGCTGTGGGGTGCTCATTATAATCTTGACATGTTGGGGCCAATGCGCACAGTTGCCAAGGGTGCACCTCTCGGCCTCGCACACAGATGCCAGGTTCCAGGGGACCCAGATATCGCTGCTGCCGGTGTCGAGCTGCAGAGTCAACTCCTGGGGAGGATTGCCCATGGAGCATTTTGCGAAGTAGCCACCCCTGGTCAGCTCGTTCGTGATGGTGCCCTCGTGGGTATCTGCTGTGCGCCTGCCGAACCTCGCCTTGGGGTGGTGCTTGTGGATGTCCCATTGGACGGTGCCGGCGGCATTGGCGGGTGGCGCAAGCAGTAATAAGCCGGCAGAGACGGCCAGCACAGCAAATGGCCTCGACATGCCGCCGACATAGAACAACTGGGCGCTCTGAGATGCTGGTGCTGTTGCGGCACGAGGGCTCTTCGTGTGTGCGAGCCTCGCAGGCCAGCAAAAGATGCAAGGAGAGGATCGGCCAGAACTGGAGCCGGACGAGAGTGCACAAAGGAAGGCAGACCGGGGCTCAGAGCTACCCCGGGATGGTGAACAACAAGCAGCAGACAATCGGCAAGCGAAGATGCTTGCCGGTGTGGAAAATGTGGGATGGGGGCGGGGCTCATAAGAAGGGCGAAATCGCCTTCGCCTTCAGAAGCGACCGCAGAGAGCGTCAGCGAGCTAGGAAGAGGTCAAAAGAAAGAAGGGCGCGCATGGTGCGCAATGGCGGACTGGGGGAGTTTGAGGCAAGAAAAACCAAGGAAAAGCCAAGAGAACGGCGGCGTGCAAAGGCGTGACCCAAGAAGAGGGCCAAGCAGCGCGAGGGCCAGATAAGTAAGTGTGCAAAATGAGAGAGAGCGCAAGGTGCCGCAAAAGTCTTGGACAGCTCTTGGAGCTTTGACGGACGAGCAGACGGACAGCTAACACTGCCTGGTTCTGTCTGGACAATGACGGATGGCGTCGTCAGTCGTCCGTCTGTTAGTTAGTCTGGCAGTTTCCCTTTTGGAAGGAAAACAATGCGTAGTAGTGTAGTTCGCAGTCGCCCCATGCACGGCACGAGGAAGGCTGAGCTCCCCTGAGCTGGCAAGGCATGTGGGGTGGCGGACGGGACTTGGGATTGCCCTTATTAATGGAAACAAGACAGGGGGGAAGGGGGTTGCCCGCCCTGCCTGCCAACATCACATCACTCGAGCAGTCGAGCTCTGCTCCTTCCCGCGGGCCGATCTGCACTGCACCTGCACTGCCCAGCGGAAGCCCAGAAGGAGCCCAGCAGCTGCCCAGGTGCTGGGTCGACTTATGCTCAGTTTCAGCTGCCTCCTGCCTGGGCGACAAGACACGTACGTGGGCAACTGCCCAGCTGCCACGGCTGCGCGGCTGCACGGGTTATCCGCTATTGCTCTGACTTTCTGACCCCGTGTTTACTTTCCTCCACTTTTCATTGGCAATAGACCGCACTCGAGCCAGGGTACCAAAGTATTACCTCTATGCCAAGCCCGTGTCAAGGGAGCATATTAGCACAGCAGACGACGGCTTATTACGGCTTGGAGCAGTGGTGGAGATGGAGTACTCCGTACTGTGGAATGAGGAACACAAAATGTCGACAAACATTCTTCTTTTCTTTTTCTCTTTTCATTTTTTTCTGAAAAAAAAATAAACAAATACCACACGCGCCACGAAAACACTATGCCGCTGCTGCCGATGCACTCCGGGCCTGCTGACCTGCCACTGCCCAGAGATACCGGTGAGATTACAATTCACCGGCAATTGTTTCACGAATCGCTGCGCGGTCTTGTCCGCCGATCCTTCCGGAGTAGCTCACGGCTTGGCTCTTGGCGCCCGGCCATCTCACGACCCGTCTTCGAGCGGACCGGAACTGGGTGCCGTCCAGTTCGGAGCACGGTCTCACATGACTTGTTGGTCGCTCGCGGCTCTCGCGCTGGTGTGACGATTTCCTCCACGAATGCCACCCCTGCAGAGCCCTGGCCAAGACGAACTGTCACGACGACAGGTTCTTGTTCACGTATTCTCCAAGCCTGTGTAGCCCCTCGACCAGCACATCTGTTTCCGACACGTACCCGATCCGGACCTGGACCAGTTTCCATTAGCCATCTGTCGCCTCACCTTACAACGCAGAGCTTGGGACGGCGGGAGCCCCTTGGCCCGGCTCCGAGAGGGGGCATCACTCACATATCCCTTGAAGTCCTGGTCATGGCCAAAGCACTTGGAGCCCGGCACGAACATGACCTTTGTCTTTTCGAGCACGTCTATGCAGAATCTCACGTCGTCCACCGGCTTGCCGCCATTCGTGAAATGGACAAACGCCGTTGTGCCCGCCGTCGGCTTGACCCAGCTACAAACCCCCTGGTGCTCCTCGACGAAGTTCTCGAGCAGTTTAAGGTTGGTCCTGGCTAGCTCCAGGTTCCTCCCTCGCAGGGCGGGCCGCACCCCATCGGAGAGGGCAAAGCTTGCAACCTGGTCGTCCAGCTGTGACACGCTGATGGTCGTGTAGTCGCGCGCCGCAGCTATGGCGTCGATGATACCTCGGTCTCGCGAGGCGATCCAGCCCAAGCGGATCCCCGCCAGCGCCCATGCCTTGGACATGGACCCCGTTGAGATCGTCTTGTCGTACCCGAACGACAGGATCGAAGGGGGGATGTCCGCCTCGGCTGGCAGGCTGTGGTACAACGGCCTGTAGACCTCGTCACACAGGACGATTATGTCTCGTGCTCGGGCGAACTCAACGACGTGGCCGAGAACATCCTTCGGGATAGTTGCTCCCGTGGGGTTGTTCGGATTGTTGAGAATGATCATCTTCGTACTGCTCTTGACCAGAGACTCCAGCTCGGTGACATCTGGTACGAACCCATTCTCTCGCTTCAGCTTCCACAGGGAGACCTCTGCGCCTAGGCTCTTTGGGACGCCGTATAGCTGCTGATATGTCGGATACACGCAGACCGCATGATCCCCTGGCCCGACCAAGGCGTACAGCAGCAGGAAGTTTGCCAATATGGCCCCCTGGGTGATCAACACGTTGTCGGCAGGAAGAGTCTCGACGGTTTCCTCCGCGAACAGGCCAGCGACCAGCCCTCGCAGTTTCTCTGAGCCCCTGATGGCGCCGTAGGTGAGTTTGGTGGAGAGATTGACGGGGGATGCGCCATCCTCCTGCTTGGAGAGGGTCTTCAGGTCGTCAATGGAGACAGAAGCCGCACACGTCTCGGCGATGTTGATGACGCCCGGTGTGACCTCATACCTATGGGCTGTATCAGCACGGGTGCCCGCCACCGTGACATGTGACCAGGTGGTGAGGCTTATACTCGTCCATCCACTGCTCCACCGCGAAAGGCTCGATCTTGACCATTTTGACGACTCCTCGGTTCTCGAAACAAGACGGCTGTTGTAAAACCCTACAGGTCGAAAGCGAATGATACCCACGTTCAAGCACGTTTCAGTTCCCAATCGGGTATTTATACGCTGTTCTGACTGCCCGCGCAGATGCGCACGTACTCATCTGAGCGCACTTGCGGCTCGACAGTGGCATTGACACTTGATAGGTGATTCCTTGATGATCTGAAGCGACCGAGGAGACTCCTGTGCTTGTGAAAGCCCGCATGGGGTCTACAAAGTGCTGCACAAGTCGGCTCTCACGCTTGGTGATGGCTGCGTAGAGAGGGGAGACGCATAGCGGCATAGCCCCAACCTGGTCTCATATTTTCATCCCAAGCCTTACCCGGCAGCGCAGATACAGTTCCAACCTTGACAAGCACGGGCCGAATACTACCAAATACGTCACAAACGCCACAGGCGGGCATCCACACGTTGGATGTTGATTCCCAGCGTGCTGTGCAGCCTTTCCAAAGGTCCCCATTCGTTGAAATTAAAGGGAGTGTGTTTGATATCTATGCCAGGTATTTAGTGTACGAGTAAGAGGCATCCTTCTTGACCGACCTCGTGCAGTGTGGAGCTCTTGCTCCTCCGCAATTGCGTCAGCAGGATCCGGGATGTCGGGGCAGCTTCCCAGCCGACGGACGGATCACCGATTCAGGAGCACGGGACAGGCGCCAGACGTTGCGTGAGATAGCCGGCCGCATATCTGTATGTAGTGTGGGCTGTGGTTGGGGGTGTGGCAGGAGGCGTGGTAGGTACGGGGTACCTGGGGCCAACAGGAGCTAAGGCACCTGGGGAAGTTTAGCCGGCGCCAAGGAAGTGCTCTGTCTTTCTGCCCAGGTGTGTGAGCTGCACCGACGCAGAAACAGGTAGGCACAGGTTCATGTCACCACCAGCCGCGGTCTAGCTTATTAGCTCTCCAAGCAGGTGGACAATAGTCTATGTATGACCAGGCACCTTATCGCCTGCACCTCTGACCTGATCATCCCGCACCAGAGCTCTCCTTCGACGTCTCGCAGCACCTTTCTTTCCCTTCCCCTCTCTCGCAGGACGCTGAGAACTTCTTGTTAAACACAGCCCCTCTTGCGCCTTGTGTGCCCTCTTCACCATGGCATCGCGGACAGCCCGCGCCTTTGCTTTTGGGGCGCTTGCGCTGTCGGGCGCTGTCCTCGCCCAGAACTTCTCGTCGTCATCTCCAGGCATCGATGCTCTCCGCGCGCAACTCGCCCTCATGGACGACCGGCCCAAGGACTGCCCGCCATGGTTTGTTTCGCCACGTCCTCGTCCAGCTCCACGACGTCCTGCAGACGGATGCTAACCTGGCCCGCGCTCTCTAGCTTCAACTGCCTGCTCCCAGCCTTCAGCTGTGCGCAATATGCCGACTGTAACTCGTACAACGGACAATGTTCCTGCCCCGCTGGGTTTGGTGGCGTGGACTGTATCGAGCCTCGTATGTCTTCCTGGCCCCAACCCTCTAGATGTGCCGTGCGATTCAGTGTGGCTGACCATAAAACGCGCAGTCTGCGGTTCCTTGGCCCGAGGCAACGAGCACCGACAAATGCGCGATGGCAAAAGCTGCGAATGCGATGACGGCTGGGACGGCCTTAACTGCAACGTGTGTACCGACGATAGGGCGTGTAACGCCCTGATGGAGACACAAGAAGGGGGCGTCTGTTACCAGATGGGCAACGTCCTGAAGAACAACTACCAGATGTGCGATGTCACAAACGAGAAGATCCGCGACCTACTGGGGGAACAAATACCCCAAGTCACATTCACATGCGATGCTTCGGATTCCAGATGCGACTTCCAGTTCTGGGTCGACAAGAGGGAGTCCTTCTACTGTACCTTGGGCCAGTGCGACTCGGCCTACGACTTCAGCGACTCCTCCCAGAACAAGACCTCGTACAACTGCAAGACTGTCGAATGCTCTTGTATACCCGACCGGATGCTCTGTGGCGAAAACGGGAGCGTCGATATCTCAGACTTCTTGACCGAGGAGATCAAGGGTCCCGGCGCTTTCAAGTGCGCACAGGTCAAGGGCGGCGCAAACAAGTGCAGCTTCGAGGAGCCCGCAATGAACGACCTGATCAACCAGATGTTTGGTGACTCGAGCATCACCTTGACGTGTCATTCTGGAGAATGCGTGCACTTCTCCGAGCTGCCCGACTATAAGCCGTCCGTTCCCAAGATCAACACACCCCTCATTGCTGGGGTTATTGCCGGCTGTGCCCTGTTCCTGGTTGCCGTCATTGTTCTGACCTGGTACTTGTCCCGGCGCTCTTTCAAATACGGCCCCATCCATCTCGACGACTCGGATGACGAAGGTCTGAAGCTCATGGCAGACCACAAGCCTGCAGCGTTGCAGTTCGAGGAGGTGTCGTATACCCTCAACGGCAAGCAGATCCTTGACTCAATTCGAGGTGTCGCATATCCTGGGGAGCTCACTGCTATCATGGGCGCTTCCGGGGCCGGCAAGACAACATTTTTGGACCTTCTCGCACGTAAGAACAAGCGAGGAGCTGTCATGGGTGATTTCTTCGTTAATGGGGAGAAGGTCACCGACGCGGACTTCAAGGCAGTGGTCGGGTTCGTTGATCAGGAAGACACCATGCTGCCAACTCTGACAGTCCACGAGACCATATTGAACAGCGCTTTGCTGCGACTGCCCCGCGACATGACCCGCGCCGCGAAGGAGCAAAGAGTCACCGAAGTCGAGAAACAGCTTGGGATCTACCACATCAAGGACTCCCTCATCGGCTCCGAAGAAGGCAAGGGCCGGGGAATTTCAGGTGGTGAGAAGCGCCGGGTCGGCATTGCCTGTGAACTGGTCACCAGTCCCTCCATCCTCTTCCTCGACGAGCCTACCAGTGGTCTGGATGCATACAATGCCTTCAATGTTGTCGAGTGTCTTGTGACCCTTGCCAAGGACTTCAAGCGAACCGTCATTTTCACTATTCACCAACCGCGATCAAACATTGTTGCCCTCTTTGATAGGCTCATCCTGCTCGCCCAAGGCAGAACGGTCTACTCCGGCCCGTTTGCGCAGTGCCAGGACTACTTTGACCATATTGGATTTCCTTGCCCGCCTGGTTTCAACATCGCTGACTACCTGGTCGACCTGACTATGCACGCCGGCGCCGCGACAACCTTTGATGACGGCACCATATCTGTTGATGCCGCCAGTCTCGGGCCGAGCAGCGTCCGAGGTGTCAAGTCTATCGCCAGCGTATCGAACGTCAGCATCGGAGAGGATAGCGGCGTCGAATCCTCGTCTTCTCGACCCAAGAACAAGCGCCGGGACTCGGTCAAAGCAAGGCTGGAGCGGGAGCTCTTTACACGCCGCCAGACCAACGCGGAAACTGCTGCTTCATCAGATGGCGAAGGCGAGACGAACGCTTATAAGCTTCACAGGCAGCCGGCTGCTCACGTCCCTCCCCAGATCATCGAGGATCCACACGACCTTCCACCTGCGGCAAGTGGCGGCACGAATCTCGACATCTTGGTGAACTCATTCGCAGAGTCTGACATTTCCGGCACGACACATGATGAGATCCAGCAGGCAGTTGCCAGCGCCGAGAATGCCAATGGGCGCAACTCCAACGGCTACAGTGTCGACGGTGCGAACATCCACACCAGCGTTGTCGGTAAAGGATACGCTCGCATTGGATACGGCCGCCAGTTTGTCATCCTGTCCCAGCGCACGTGGAAGAACCTTTACCGCAACCCCCTGCTGATGTTGACACACTACGCCATCGCTATCCTTCTTGGAGTGCTTTCTGGTTATCTCTTCTATGGACTGACCGAGGACATTCCCGGGTTTCAGAACCGGTTGGGTCTCTTCTTCTTTGTGCTTGCCCTTTTTGGATTCAGCACTTTGACCAGCCTCAACGTCTTCTCGTCAGAGAGGCTACTGTTCACAAGAGAGCGTGCGAATGGCTACTACTCGCCTGTCACTTACTTCGCCTCCAAAGTCCTGTTCGACATTGTCCCGCTGCGGATCATCCCGCCAATCTTGATGGGCATCATCATTTACCCAATGACGGGGCTGAAGGCAGATGCCGCACACTTCTTCTTCTTTCTGCTCGTGCTGGTCCTCTTCAACCTCGCCGCCGCCGCCATCTGCCTCTTCATCGGTATCGTGTGCAAGGACAACGGTGTTGCAAATCTGATTGGCAGCTTGGTCATGCTGTTCAGTTTGCTCTTCGCTGGCCTGCTTCTCAACGCGCAAAAGATCCCTGATGGTGCCAAATGGCTTCAGTGGCTGTCGATCTTCCACTATGCCTTTGAGTCACTCATTGTGAACGAGGTCAGCAAACTGACACTGGTGGACAAGAAGTACGGCTTGGACATCACGGTACCTGGCGCCGCCATTCTCAGCTCCTTCGGCTTTGACAACGGCGCCATGTGGAAGGATGTGATCTGCCTGGGAGCCTATGCGGCCGGCTTTGTTGTGCTGGCATACGCCGCGATGCACATACTGCTGGTAGAGAGACGGTGATCGTCGTTGGGTCGTTAGGGCGGCTGGCAAAGAAAAAGGAGGATTAGCTGGGTTCCAAAGCCTGTTGAGCCAACAGACAAGCGTTCATTGCACACGGTCGCTGAATCTGCCCGAACAACAATCGCTGCCTAGACCATACTGATTCAATCAACTCGCTCTTCAAACACGAGTCTGGGCGACTTATGCCCGAATTTCCCTTTTCGTACTGCATCGGATCAGAGGCGTTAGGAGGCATTTGTGGGTTCATAGCTAGCAACGGGGACGTCGGATTACATTTGATACGTTTCCCATGTACACCAATTTACTGACAAAGATGTCAAACATCTTGAGTGCATTGCTATTGTACAAGTCCATCTCTCCCGGGCAAGATCCCCAATTTTTTGCCTTGCTGTGACTGTGTCTTTTACCGCTTCCCGTCGCCCCCAGCAGAGACAGCGCCGCCAGTAAGCTCGCCAGCGACCATCTTCTGGCGATGCGTGGTGAACTGGATTCCAGTCTCGCGGGCGCCATCGACGACCGACCTGCTCGTGCCCTTCATGGCGGCAAACAGGTGCCTGACTGGCGTAGGCGAGCCGTGCTTATCCCAAATGTTCTCGGCGAGCGTCTTGCCCTGCCAGACACCCGTGCCCTTAAAGTAGCCGTCGCTGAAGATCTCCTCGACCCGCTGCGCCAGCTGGTCCTCGCTGACGATGAAGCGGCCCGCCTCGACGTACAGCCTCTGGATGGCGTCCTTGCGGGCCTCGGACCGCGCCTGCTGCAGCGCCGCCGTGCGCGCCTGCGACTCGAGCTGCCTCTCCCGGTACAGCGGGTCGCGGGCGACCCTGGTCTCGAGCGTCGCCTGCGGCACGGTGCCGCGCGTGAAGACGTCGTCGAGGCCCTCGGGCGCGTTGGCGGCGGCCAGGTTGCGCTGGCGGTGCGACTCGGCGCGCTGCCTCGCGCGGCCCTCGCGCGTGTTCTTGCGCGCCCACAGCCCGCCGATGCCCGCCGCCAGGGCCTTGCGCCGCGACTCGGCCAGGCGGCGCCGCCACGCGTCGCGGTCGGAGCGGGGCGGCTCGCCCGCGGCCTCGGCGCGCGACCGCGGCGCCGTGTGCTCGACAAAGTCGGCCTGGATCTTGTGGCTGCCGTTGTTGCGCCGGTGGAAGACCTCGCGCGGCACGGGCAGCACGCCCTTGACGGGGGGGAGCTTGTCCTCGGAGGACTGGGGCAGCTCCGGCAGGTTGATGAAGCGCGGGGACTCGGGGGGGATGTCGACGTCGCGCCGGGCTTGTGTGGTGCTGAATGTTCGGAGGGTGGCGGCGGCGGTGGGTGGTGCTGTTTTTGAGGCCGTCGCGGACGGGAGGAGGATGGTGGAGGAGAGGGAGCGCAGTGGCGCCCGTGGTAATGTCGGCGCCATCTTTTTGTTTTGTCTTCTGCTTTCTGCTGCCTTTCTCGATGGTGTTGAGGCGGATTGGACAGAGTCAGGCCCGGCGGGGTCCTTGAGAATTGTCGAGGATCGAGAGTCAAGAGCAGAGGGTCGAGAGTCGAGGGTCTGCTGCCGTCCTGCCCCCGCCGATCAACCAAGCGAAGCGTGCAATGGCGATGATGTCTGGATGGGTACGGACTACGGATACAGAGCAGATAGCTCCTGGGCCGGTCGGTCCCCCAGCCAGATTTTCAGGCGGAGCCGGGTTTATGCAGCTCCGGCTCTGCAAAGGCGGGAGACGGCAGGCGGGACAATGCCTGCCAGAAGAAAGGCCTGTCCAAGCATGGACCCACCAGAACTTTGGGACTAGCGCCTGGGAGCTATGCCAGCCGCCCAGCCCGCCCCACCGTCTCCAACTAGACCCTCAGTCTACTCAGTCTACTGAACTTTTTTTTTTTCATCCTCCCGCCTGCTGCTTTTCCTCGTCCCAGCAACTCTCATCGCAGCGCCACATCTTCTTCTGCTCCCTGGTGTCTGCCTCCAATCTTACTGTTCAGGACGCAGACAGGGTCTTCAGAGAATTGGAGAGTTTGACTGTCCATTCCAGCCTCTGATTGAAGACCGGGCTCGCTCGGGTTTTCTGCTGTTCTTTTCGAAGCAGTCAGCTCTGATTGAAGACCGGGCTCGCTCGGGTTTTCTGCTGTTCTTTTCGAAGCAGTCAGCCGAAGGCAGAGGCGAGGATGGGCCAGTTCAAGAAGGAGAAGAGCCGTCGGGTCCGCGATGGCAAGGACTCGGGCGGTGCAACGTTCAAGATCAAGGGGTGAGTCTCGATGCATTTCCCACCAAACACTAGCATACCCTGCCTCAGCCCGACTGACCTCGTCTCCAGCGAAAACTTCTACCGAGACGCAAAGCGTGTCAAGCAGCTCAACGTCTTCAAGGAGGGCAAGGCACAGCGGAACGCCAAGGGCGAGATCACAAAAGCCGCCAGCTACCAGAGTCGCGACATCCCAACCGCCCGAGTCGAGCCAAACAGGAAATGGTTCTCCAACAGCAGGGTCATCAGCCAGGAGTCCCTGAGCGCCTTCCGAGACGCCATCGCACAGAAGGAGAAGGACCCTTATACCGTCCTGCTCAAGAGCAACAAGCTGCCCTTGAGCTTGATCCGGGATGGCGGGGACAACAGGGTCGACGGCGTCAAGCAGCACCAGGCAAAGATGACCGTGGAGACATCCCCCTTTGCGGAAGTGTTCGGCGCCAAGTCATCCCGCAAGCGCGTGAAGCTGAGCGTCAGCAACATTGAGGAGCTTGCTGGTGATTCAGTCAAGAGCCTGGAGACCTACAACGAAAAGCTGGAGCAGGCCAGGCTCCTGAGTGGCGAGCTGGGGGCCGAGCAGGCTGAGGCCGGCGATCTTCGCCGAGACCGACAAGCTGACGGCGTCCTGACGACGGCGATCGAGCCCATCTTCGACAAGGGCCAGTCCAAACGCATCTGGAACGAGCTTTGTACGGACTCACCCGCCCTTCCTCATCCTATGAAGACGCTAACAAACAACCCACAGACAAGGTCATTGATTCCTCCGATGTTATCCTCCATGTGCTTGACGCCCGTGACCCGCTCGGAACACGTTGTCGATCTGTCGAGAGGTATCTCAAGGAGGAGGCTCCACACAAGCATCTTGTGTTCGTGCTAAATAAGTAAGTTCCAGACGCGTTTTTATCCCTTCAAGAACAAACAAACCACATTCTTAGCCTGGGCCACAAAGACTCCAGGGGCTACAGGCCTCAATCCTAACTCTGGACTTTGTTTACTTTCCTGATGACTGACTCCGAGAACAGGTGTGATCTAGTCCCCACCAAGGTTGCTGTAAGTTCTTTTCCTTTTTTGATGAACCTTCGCGGTCCCCCAACCCTAGTCAGGTCATCACCCCGGCGCCTTCATGCCAAACGATGGGTTTTGGCCGTTACGGCTTGGGGAGAAAAAGTTCCGTTTTCAGAATCTCTGGCTTCGACCGGAGAGGACAGATGGTCTCCCGTTTTGGGTGACCATCGTGAGATTGGATTTGTCTCCATTGAGTGTTGAAATCTGCCTCGTTCATCCGAACACCTTCGCCGTGGATTTCCTAGTACGAGAGGCGCACATATACAAGAGCTGGAAATGCTCGCTTTGACTGCGGTCAACTGCTTGTTGTCTGGTGCTTTGCTGACCAACGACAAACAGGCACAATGGGTCCGAGTCCTCCAGAAAGACTACCCCACGGCCGCTTTCAGGGCAAGCATCAAAAACCCTTTCGGGAAAGGCAGCATCATAACCCTGCTTCGTCAGTTCTCGAAGCTTCACTCCGATAGAAAGCAAATATCTGTTGGGCTCGTGGGGTATCCCAACACCGGGAAATCTTCGATTATCAATACCCTCACGGGAAAAAAGGCTTCTACCGTGGCACCTATACCTGGTGAGACCAAGGTTTGGCAGTACGTCACGCTAATGAAGCGAATCTACCTGATTGATTGCCCCGGAATAGTTCCCCAACAACACGACGATGCCCCGGAGGAATTGCTCCTTAGAGGCGTGGTCAGGGTCGAGAAAGTGGAGGAGCCTTCCAATTACATACCAGCTGTGCTCAAACGTGTCAAGCCACGGCACCTGGCGCAGACATACGACCTGAGTGACTGGAACGATGACCATATCGTGTTCTTGGAGCTACTCGCCAGGAAAGGAGGGCGACTGCTGAAAGGTGGCGAGCCTGACATTGATGGTGTCGCCAAGATGGTGCTCAACGATTTCAGTAAGTGACATTCAAAAATTGACACCCAGGAGAACGGTATGCTAACGCACATCAGTGCGTGGACGGATACCCTGGTTTGTACCACCACCAGTCGCAGGAGATGGCAAGGAGGGTGGCAAGGAGGGTGGCACAGCCGAGGGCGAGCACAAGGCGCCGGAGAACGCTTCCAAGAAGCGCAAGAGGGACTCGGAAGCTGCTGAAGAGAAGGCTGCGGAAGAGGATACCGCCCCGGGGGACGATGACGAGGCGGAGTTCGATGGGTTCAGCAACGCCAGCGAGCCCGAGATCTCCGACGACTCGGACTCGGAGGTCCCGGGTGAGGATGACGGCGAGGATGATGCCAGCGACGATGATGCCGCCCCAGAGCCTGAGGATGCTGAGGATGGTGGCGCCGCTGTTGAAGACGAGGACGAGGAAGAAGAGCCAGAGCCAGAACCTGAGCCAGTGCCTGCGCCAGTGAAGGCATCCAAGAAGGTGGCGCCCAAGAAGGCCCCGCCCAAGAAGGTGGTTCCAAAGGAGGCGGCACCCAAGAAGGCGGCACCCAAGAAGGCGGCACCAAAGGAGGAGGCGGCGCCCAAGGAAGTGGCACAGAAGAAAGCAGCGCCCAAAAAGGCGGCCGAGCCACCGACGCCAACGAGACGGTCATCGCGGCGTACCAAGAAGCCTGATAGCTTCCAATGAGCGGGCGCACAAGGAGTCCTTTTCTTTTTTCTTCTGACGACGATAATTCACAAGATACCCCGAGCGCCCCTGGGCGCCAGATGCTCTGTCCACTATCTATCATATACCCGTGATCGTTTCTTGGTGCTAGACTGGGTACATGTTTCTCTTGTGGTGTGTGTTGACGCTGTGCGGCGTGTTAGCCCTGCAGGGCTATAGAAAACCATGCAGGCCACCCAGCCTGGCCAAAGAGACGACATGCCATTACACTGTCGCCTAAGCTATGAATAATTCTCATCTCGACCAAGGACTCACAGAGGTGCAGTATCAGCCATGGACTTGGCCAGCAATGATGCCCAATACATGGCCTCTCTACACCTCACTTCTTCAAATCCAACCGTTTCCACCTACTACCCGCGGCGAAGATGACTGCAGCTCCGGCGTAGGCTACGACCACGGCAAATGTGGCCCGCAGGGCGTACAGATATGCCTGCACGATACCTGGCACGGAATCGGCGGGGAAGACACTGCGGATGTCGGTCGCGCCCGTGTTGATGACCGTGATGGGGTCAACGGCGGGTGCGAGGACAGCAAGCTGTTTCAGAAGCAGGTTGCTGAAGACTGACTGTCCGGTTCCCAGAGAGGTCGACGTGCCGACACAGAAGGAGACTGGCCGCGCAGTGAGCATGCCAGCGGGAGACAACCTCTTCGTGCGAACACACAGGCAGGGGCCAGACGAAAAGCAGACTTACACAAAAGCATGGCTGTTCTTGGAGGGAGGTCCTCGGGCTCGGCATCCGCCTGGCCTGCGATGATGCCCAGAGGCAGCCCGCTCCCCATGGCAAGCCCGGCCAGAACCTGATAGCCTATCCAATGTGCCGGGGGCGATGTCTCGCCGAGCGTGCAGATCAGGCCTGCTCCAATACAACCCCCGCCACTGGCCCATACCATGAACGGGGTGTAGTAGCCAAACCTCGACACCAGGAAGCCAGACGAGGCCGAGCCCACGGCGCAGCTGATGAGCAGGGGGAGGTTGCGCAGGCCCGCCTCGCCCGGGGTGACGCCGGCAACCACCTGGAAGTAGATGGGGACGTAGTAGAGCAGGAGGCAGAAGGCGCCCTCGTGGAAGAAGCCAAACCCCATGCTCACCCAGACACCCCGCTGCCTCACGAGGCGCGGCGCGAGGAGCGCACGGTCGCCCTGCAGATGCTGCGAGGCCACAAGGGCGAGGACAGCGGCGCCCGAGCCCGCGAGGAGCCCGACGACCTCGCCCGAGCCCCAGGCCCGCCGGACCCCGGCGACCTCGGCCGCGCGCGTGAAGCACACCAGCGCGGCGAGCACGAGCGCGACGCCCGCGGGGTCCATGTGCGAGACCTTCTCCCGCAGGGGCGCCTTGGCCCGCGGGCCAGGCGCGGGCGGCCGGAACAGCAGACAGATCACGGCGGCGGAGGCGGCCGCGATCGGCAGGCTCACGTAGAAGCACCAGCGCCATGTCGCCCTCTGCGTCAGCGCGCCGCCGAGGATGGGCCCCGCGACGCTCGCGAGGCTGTACACCGTGTTGATGAGTCCTGTGAAGATGGGCCGCAGCCCCGGCCGGACCGTCACGCCTAGGATTGCATAGCCGCCTGCTGCTATGCCTGCTGCGGATGCGCCGAGGATCGCGCGGGAGAGGATCAGGACTGTGCTGTTTGGGGCGAGGCCTGTGGTGGATGTTTTTAGGGATCTCTTTTTCTGTGATCATGTGTACATACATGTGTATGTTGGCCTGTCTTTGGGATTGCTTACCGCCTAATAATGCTCCCACGCCGAAGATGAAGACAACTAGGAGGAAGGTGTATTTGATGGAGAAGAAAGGGTATACTTTGCCCCTGTGGATCCCAAGTTGGTATATTGATGAGCCGTTAGCCAACGCTTGCCTAGCCCACGTGTATAAAGGCTGGGGGAGAGACCACGCCGTACCAGAATGGCTGTGTGCAAGCCAGAGAAATAAAGAAAGCTGATGAGTACCAGCCGATAAGGTTGACACCGGGGAAATCCTCGGTGATCTTGGGTATAGCGGTGGCGATGATTGTCTAAAGAAGTCAGGAATTACTTCATAAACGCGCACTCTATCCTGTAAAACCCTCAGTTGGGAATTTTGAGGGAAATATACCATATCCAAGCCGACCTAGGATGTCGTGGTTAGTGTTTCCAGTCGGAGCACTTGAGCCGGCCTCGGAACTGGCTGCGGGCTTACCAGAAAGAGCCCAAGAGCCACCCCGACAGATACACAAGAGGTCCGAAAGACATTGGGATACTCGATAGGTCCTTGGTTACTCGCTTCCGAGGTCACCTTTGTCACTTTATCTTCGCCGTTGTGCGGCTGGACGGAGCTGTCCACGCCCTCCTCAAGTTCCATTGGTGGCGCTGGCAATCCCGGAGCGATCTGCGGGGAGCACTTTTGCAGCAGACCTGGTTTCTCTGACCGGCGTTACTCAGACTCGATTTACGCGAGAAATTAAATCGTGGATTATGTTGGCATATACGGAGGCAATTCGGTAAGACATTCATGGGAGAAGGGGGCGATCAACATTGAAGTGAGCTGGAATTATGCGATGTAACTCCAGGTATTTGGATAGTACCCCATTCTTTGCTAGTTGAGTGGGGAAATTTTACATATCACACCATATATGCAGCACAGGCGACGTGACGAGGAAAGGTACGTCAGTCAGCACGCCGTGCGTCCAGTGATGGTGAGTGTCATACTACTGGGCGGGCCTGCCGATGGCAGGCACTGCACACACATTTAACTTCGAGATTGAGAGAAATGTGCAGCAGCACTTGCATTTCTGCAGTATCCACATGATTCTTTATGGTGGGAATAGGAGACTAGAATCACCGAGTGAGATGCAGCCCTGACGACTTCATCGCAAGGAAAGTGGGCGAAACTCAAAGATGTGAACCTGTCCAGGGGCCAATATACCCAGGTATAGGTGATCTCGCTTCTCAAGTTTGCCCGGTCTTGTCTAAGCCACCTTACTGAGATATTGAAACAACATTGTAAGGCCAGTTGGAAATCGTTTCCGCAAGGTACCTGGACTTTCATGATGAAAGCCTTGGAAACGGTTAGGCTTTCTAGAGTCAGGGGGAAGCACGCGTACATTAAGTATACTAAAGGAGTAAGATAGAATTGTATATTAGGTCTGCCTATTAGGGTTTACTGGTTTAGAAGAGACTCTATATGTACATGATGACGCCTTCACGAAGAGCCATGTCCGAGGACCACGTCTTCAATCTGGTTTTTCTTCTATTCCATATACGTCCGAGGACATATACGGCACCTTCTAGGTACGGTGACAGCGTTTAAAAAAACCTGTAGTGTCGAGAATAGTAGTGAAAATACGATAAGTGCATGTAGCCTTAATTCTCTACTACCCACTGCCTCTCAACTTAATCATTGATGCGGGTCATTTGTATCATCCGCTCCAACGCGAGTATCGCTGAACCATCTTGATAACATGCCCTCCCATTCTGACAAGGCCTTTGTGTAATAGACCGAGAAACCTGATTAATCAGCCAACGTCGATTTATTGGTGTCATAGTGTCGAGTAGGGAGCTTCCATTCGAGAATTTCAGCGATGGATCAGCCCCATGCGCCAAAAGGCAAAATACGATCTGAGCTGCGCAACCTACGTCTGGCAGAGCGAATGCGATCTCCAAAGGTGTAGCACCGTTCAGGACCCCATTCATGTTGGCTCCAACGTGTATGATGGAACGGATGACTGGGTCAAGTGGTGCACCTTTGACAATAGCAAAGCCGAGAATGCTGTCCTCGTCACCGGTGAGTTCATCGTCCGAGACTACCCCCAGGCAAATCCTGATTGCAAGGAACGAAGGGCTGAAATCATACGGGATGGTCCAGCCGCTGAGCGAGGCACGATCAATCGCTCGACGTAGCGGGGTCTGGCCAGCCTTATTCTTCGTAGCCGGCCCGGATCGTACTGAATCGATTCGAAGGAGATGCCGGGCAACCTGAAGTGCCTCGGAATTGAATTCCGCAATGCCGCCTGTTAGATAATGCAGCGCTGTATTTCCTTTTGGGCACTGGGCTTTGAGCTGATCGGGTGGAGTCGCCTTGGCCAACTCCAGCAGAATTCGTCTCGTCTTTCCTCGCTTGGAGGTTCTCTCCAATTTGTCCACCCGAAAATATTCGAAGATCTGATCTTGACTTAGGTCATCCGCAAGCGTCTTGCATGCCTCTAGAAATGCGTATGAAGGGCGAACAAGTCCGCGCCGAGTTTCTGGACGGGAAGCCTTGAAGTATATTATTGCGGGACCCAGATGCAATTCCACATCGGATTTATTCAGTCCACCGTGGTTGGCAAGCAGTTGCATCATCTCGACATTCTGATTTTGGAGTGCAAGCTGTATAGCTGGCATGCCGGATGTGCCGGGTGTGCCAAGGGGTCCAAGGCAGTCGCCGCCATCAGGAAGTAGAACAACCAACATCTTGACTAGCTCGATGTCCTGTTGGGCGACAGCAATCCCGACGAGGGATATCTCTTCAGCTGGCATGCGTAGTTCTGGTCGGAATGTCAGGAGAATCTTAAAGATTCTGATGTTGCCGATTTCCAGAATCGTTCGAAGCGCGTACGGTACCCAATCGCTCCGGATCAAAGAGAGCACATTAGGAAGTGTTAAAACTCGCTCAGTGAGTTCGCTCAACTGGCAACCCACAGATGAATGCTCGCGAATGTGGCCAAGTAACTCAAGTAGCATCTTGAGGACGTGCTTTCCATTCTTTGCATGGGGAGTGCTCGCGTCGGCTCCGCAATCCAGAAGTTTATGCAAGACTTGAAACGGTAACAGCCAAGGCTCATCCTGCCCTCGCTCATCAACACGGAGCAGGGTGATGGCAATCAGATGGAGTAAGTGCACGAGAAGACTGCCGAGATAAGACCCGTAGCTATCATAATTGATGAGGTTCGCAAGAACTTCCTCAGCAAACGTCTGTGGATCCTGTGGTTCTGTGGCTGGTTCGTTCAAGATGGCGCGAATCAAAGCCCCGTGATGGTGCTCAATCGCCCAGGATAGCGCTCGCGAAGACTCTACCATAAAGTTCTGGAAAGGAGGTTTCGCTATTGCCACGTTCCCGCATAGCAACCCCATCCAGAGGTGCCAGACAGAATCGCACAATGGGTTTTGCCTCTCGAAAGATCGGGAATGATGAAGCCAATTTGATGCAGCACAGCCTCGGAAGCAATGCGGGTCGAAGTCCGGTAACCGGGTAGCCTGTATCTCGGCCAGCAGGCGCCCGATTTCTAGTTCTGCTGCTGAAGAGCTTTCACTGTCCTTTTTCTTGAAATGGTGTACAAGGCGGGCTACAAGGGGTTGGTCGTAGGCTGCGGTGCCGATTATCTTTTCCGATAACTTTGACCCGTCAATATGCCTTGGCAGCGTAACAGCCGTTTCAGAAATCGACATACTCAGATACGTGATACAGATCGCGCTGGATAGGATCTCGGCTTCTTGAATAGTAAAGTGATACAGCATTGTTCGGGGATTCTCTGTTGGCTGAAGAAAGTGGCCCACCACGCTGTAGTGTATGAATCGGACTTTCCCATCCTCTTCATCCAGCTCCAGAAGATTGCCGCCACAGAGTGCAACCAGCTGGGCTGAATTTGACGGGACTTTGGCTGCATACCAAACTGGTTCGCCAGGGACCACAGCCAGGGCGACCTTGATTTCGTCAAGAGTAAGCGACGATGGTGCTGCTGTGACAATCTTCATCATAGTGTTCCCGTAGCGGTGATCGAAAACCTTTTCGAGGGCTCTCTCGAAGGTTTCAGGTAGGTCTTTAGGGAGGTTGTTGATTAAGTTGAGGGCTTGTTCGTGGGTGACGATCGTTCTTGGGTTGCTCGGAAATATTGACTCGAGTTGCAGCGCAACCCATAAATACCTATCGCTTTCATCAGTAAGTGCATCTAATCCTTCATAGGCGAAGACACTCCGATACTTACATTCCTTGGGCACCAGCTAATAATTGTTTCTTGATCAGCTCCACGAGTTCGTCGCTGAACAACCCCGCCTGGCTGATCTGTTGCCGTCGCGCCACCTCTTCAGTTATATACATTTTCATTTCCTCGTCATGCAGATTGTTTTCGAGGCTGACAGAGAAGTCGACACCTAACTTTGGGCTCGTCACACGTCGAAACACCGACCCTGATCGGGCCGAGTAGCATAGGAGAATGTTTCGACTTGACATTAAGCGGTGGAGACCAGACACGATCTCGGCGATCTCATCATCGGGACAGTCCTCCAGCCCATCCAAAACAATAGAAAGCTTTTTGTCAACTGGGAGGAGTTCATTCAAGAGTCCAATAATCTCGGACGTTGCAAATAGTGATGCCCTAGCGTCCTCTTGTCTTGAAAGAGTGTCCCAAGCCGGGTCGTTCCCTGGTATGCTGTCCAGAAAGTGAAATGCCATGCTCCCCATTACAGTCGTAGCTTTCAAGCTCTCTTGTTCTTTGAAATCGCAAAAGAAGAAGGCGCAAGTCTGGTGCATATTCAATTGAGCCACAAGATTGGCCATTGAGACTGTTTTGCCGCTCCCAAGTTTCCCACTGATGCACAAGGCTGAAGACGTGTTCTCCGCTATCCAAGACTTGTAGGCTTCTGTCTGATATATCCATTTGCAGTCGCCTTTACGTCGGTGTCGTCTCCAAGTTGTGATATGCTGGGATTGGTTCGGAGATAGTCGATTGAGTATCCGCTGCTTGTAGTCTCTCCGTCTGAACATCTCAGCGTCAACCACATGCGTCGTTGCAAGTTGCTGAGTCTTGTGTTGAATCATCAACCCCCACTTATCCATCTCTTCTTGTAGTGGTCTAAACTCAGACTCGAAGGATGCCCCAAGTGACGACCAAAGCTGACCTCCGAGAGACTTGTTGCTGAAGATAACGGCTTTTCGGCACAATCGCATGAGGACGATGAGGTATTCGCAGAGGAATGTCTGAAGTGCCTCAGACTGAGGAAAGATTTGCGAGAACTCGTTATGGAGCTCCCATGAGGTGCCGAGCTTCATGAAAAGATTCGAGAGTCGTTCGAAATAGCTGCGGAAATTTGTGGCGGCCTAGAGATCAGCTACTGCAGAGAAACTGGTGACAGGACGTTGAGGGGCTGCAAACCTGCAATGAAAGCCTAACAGCACACCAGACGCTGGTGGCAATTATATTCTGGGAACCTCCAACCGCGATGTCTCCTATGTTGGCGAGCGTCTGGAGCCGATCCAGAAATTTCCCACATTTTGTACCGCACGGTTGCCGATTTTGATATCTCCGCTCGCTATCTCGATTGAGTTCTTCCGTTACGCGTATAGCGTCTCGCCCACATAATTGTGTACTAGAAGTCTGCATCTTTTGGAATTCTCGCTTTCGATCCTCGCCTAGGGACTGCGCAAACTCTGAGATTGCAACCCCTAGCCGTACATCCGGTTTCAGGCGACCGCTTTGAGTGGACAAGATGAGCTGTTTTGATAAAGCCTCCATTGTAGGCAGGCAGACGAGGTAGCAAGATCGCGCGCGCGCTTGTCAACATCGAAGGTTGGTTGTGGAAATACACCGAGTCCGATGACAAGCGGCACGGTTTGAGCAGGCTTTGGAGATGTCGAGTTAGTGAATCAAAGAGTAAGAAGCGTGAGAAAATAAGCCCCACTTCTGTGGAAGGGGAAAGATTTCAGGGCCTGCTGTGTTGGGGGCTGAGTTGCGTAAACCCAGAGGTGGTCGTCCTGATTGGTGAGATACATGCAAGTGGCTTAGTTATTTCATGCAGTCATGCTGCTGGGGAATTGGGTAAGACATACCCAATATATAATAACACTTCTACCCATTTAATGCAGAAGTCTGCCTGATCTAGCCACTTCTGGAGGGCAACAGGAACTGGGCAAAAAAGTGCGGAATTTCCCAGCACCATAGCGCCAGCCACACTATGTGGTTTCGCTCTATTCCGTATACGTCCGAGGACATACATGGCGCCTTCATACGGTGGTAAGCACTCAAGACCCAGCGCTTGGAAAGAATACGATGTCGATAACAATAGTTATAATACAATAGGTGTTATTCTGTATATATGCCGACTGGTAACTTGTCAACAGTTATCGAAACAGTGTGTGTCTCCTTCTCCTCCGCAAATCCTTCTTGTTTACGGGATTTGGCGCATTTAGAGAGGTGTTGTAAGTCGCCGAGTCTGGGGTAACGTCGTACTGCACAGTCGAGTTGCCTTCCCGGTACGTGCTTTGGGCTGTACCATTGGTGATATAAACCTCTCCAGGTACCACATCAACCAGCCCAGTCGCGATATCCTTGGAGCTGATGGCGCGCTCAAACATCTCCAGAGCCACCACCGGCTGGTAGAATGGCACCTCGTGGCCCGATTCGTAGATACGGACGAAACTGAAAGCACCGGACTGCTTTACCTGTCCATGCACAATGTTATCCGAGGTGCTGACATTGACAAATCCGGCACTGCTCCACCCGGGCGCGTTGATATTCTCCGCGACGACCTCTCCACCAAGCCAGTTGCAGTTGTAATCAGCGTCTCCAAAGAACATCACCACGGTCACATTCTTGGAGATCAGGGTGGACATAGCCTCCACTGTGCCATCATTGCGGTCGTCGTCACCAGTGGAGTCGAAAGCATTTGAAACGACGCTGCTACTCTCTGTGAAATTGACGAATGCACCGATGGCGGACTGAAATGCGCCGCTGTTGAGATAGTCCAGATAGAAGGTGGGCGGGAATGGGTCGGGCTGAAGCTGGCGGATGTCATACTCATCGCGGCCCGAAAAGGTGTCTAGGAGGAACTCAACCTCTGAGGCGCAGAAGTTGTCTGCCGCCTTGCAAATCTCGTCGACACCGTTGGTGTTGCACTCCACGGTCTGGTCGTAGCAGTTGCCCTTGCCGTACATCGCGTTGTACATCATTTCGGCGATGGTGTCGTTAAATGGGGAGAGGTCGTAGGTGTTGCCTGGTGAGACCGTGAAGTTGTAATAGGCGGCGTAGCTGATGAGAGGGTCAAACCAGCCGTTGCCAATGAGCACAGCCTTGAGGTTGATCTCGTGCGCGGACAAGCTGTTCGCCCTGATGAGCTCGTTTTGTTCCTCTATGTAAGTGTTGAAGATCGGACCGTAGTGGCCGCCGTAGCTCTCAGTTGCAAAGTTGAAGTCGCCACGTGAATACTGCGGGAATGCCCCCATGAATCCCTGGAGTGTCTTCCAGAAATTCGGGGCAGCACCTGCCGTGCTGTTCGCGGTCAGGGTCTGGTTCGCCGATGACCAGGTACCACAGGTGTTACTGCCTTGAGCGTACTCAGGACAGGCGTTGTCCGGCAGCTGAACGAGGTTGCCGGAGCTGCTCTGGTAGGACGGAACTGCTTTGCTGTAGGAGAACCCAGTGCCGACGGGTTCTAGTGGTGAAGTTAGTTCTGCTACGGGTCCCAAAGTGTTGTATTCTAGAACATTTCAAAACATGAAAGACGGGGATCCGTAAAAGGTGAAAAGTGGTACTAACGATCAATGAAAAGCATGTTAGATGCATTCGACCATGAATAGGGGTTGTTGACCACATTCCCATCGGCATCGACTCTGCAAGGGCCATTCTCCTGGAACAGCCCGATCATGGACGACGAACCCGGGCCGCCGTTGATCCACACCGTCAGCTCGGCCTCGGACGGATCCTGGTTGCGGGCTTCAAAAAACCACCAGAAAATGTGTTCGTCTTCGCCAACATCCGCATACCCAGAGTAGCTCTTCACATTGGGGTCCAACTCGCATGTTCCCACTGGAACCTCCTTGTAGCGGACTGGAATATCCGCATAACCAGTCTTTTCAATGAGGTCGGCTGGGGGTGGGACAAACTGCGCAATCGACCTGCCAGATACTGATAGCAAGGTCGCAAGCGACACCAGGTTCGAGATTGGCGCCATGTCGGTTATGCGGAACCTTTGCAGTGGTACAAGATGGCAAGAAAATGAACGACCATCAGTGGCATCGAAATATGGGAACCGGGTCAGGGATATAATGCATCATGTATAAGTACTCAAGCATGTAGACTACGCGAAGAACTGGGGTTCCAACGCTAGCACCCCCATTTGTCAATGTCTTACGTCTCCGTCGCCGCCGGCAGTAGATTACGGATAAGACGAGAATATCAATGATTCTCTTCGCAATGATTGTGCTAAGCGACGTCTGGCATCCCGGCGGCGATATTTGGGAAATTTGTCTAATACGAGAAACCCAATCAATCAGAGTTAAAATGGTTAAAATAAGAAGCGGTGGATCCATTCAGGAAGGTCGAAGCTTGACAACATAAGCTTTTTTGGCGATGCTAGTAGGGGGCGATATCCTTTACGCCAACAACGGGTATTCCCTACCGAACAGGGGACAACGATACACCCTCCACTCCTCATAGGGTGATCCAATGACTCTTGCAGCCAGACAAGTGGGGCTGCCATTTCCGCTGTCCCCGGGCTTATGCTAATTCAGGCCCTGCATGCGTCAGGGCTAGATTGATACTGGATGAACGCTCCTGATGACGATCTGAACGACGATCCATGTTCCCAGTGACGGTATCCCCCCCAAGTGCTCGGTGTTACGGCTATCAAGACCCTCCTACCGAGGAACGTCACTCGGCCGTGAAGGAATCTTCATTAAGCCAGGACAAGACTGGTCATGATGCTCAACAATGAATTGTGCTTTCAATCGAGCAAACTATAGAGAAAGGTAATGTTACACCCTAGCGGATCGTGTATCCTGCACACTCATCATCGATCGATGCCAATCATTGCTACACGTGATTAGGTCCTCCCTCACTAGAATTGTCTTGGCTAGCACCATTTATGCCTCCACGCGCTGCCTTCCTTCCGAGTACGATTCGAGTCCAACCTCTCAAGTCGTCTGCATTCCCCTCGGATATATCCTCCTACCTGTCTGCCGTGGTTAGCCCTTTTGACTCAGGTCCAGCTCTGCGTTCTCTACGGAGAGTAAGGAACTTCTCCTTCCCCCTCGCCTTAAGGTTAGTACCCTAGGGTAGTTAGACCGGTCTACGCACATCACCACCAACGTAAGGGGGCAAATATCCAAAGCTGGCGTGTGGGGGGTTTAGAGCTCGGTCCACACGAAGAGGATTATATAAATTATATCCTCCAGCGTCTACCTAGGTATCAAAGCCCTAGGCTAATCGCCCATAGGACTAAGCCATACCTTTCACGACGCGGGATCGCAGCCCTGCTACTTCCTCTCTACCCTAGGTACTGTCCCCAAAGCAACCATAGCACTATATCAATGATTCTTTACAGACAGTTTGAGCCTCTTCTGCCATCAGTCTTAAGGACCGCCTCAGCGTCTTAATTCAAAGAACTACTTGTATTCTTCGAGTTCCTCTTGTAGATCGGAACATCAGTAACTGCCCCAGAGGGACAACGCAATGTATCTTTAAAGATACCTAGGCAGCGTTTTAATGCATATGCCAACCGAGATCTGTTGCACTCAGTAGAAGTGAAGTCGGTAAAGACCGTCAGGTCAACAAAATGTCGGCCACGTGTACAACCATAACAACGAACGAGTTCTTGTCCGATCCGAAAGCTCAACATATCCCGCATCAAAAAATGCATCTAGCAGCTGCACCCGCAGGCGTCGCAGTCGCCCTGGCCACAAGCAGAGCCAGCCGCGGAGGGATCACATTGCGCGTTGGAGTCGCAGCTCCTCCACTCGCCTAGCCCGCCGTTCCAGGCGGTCCAGCACCACTCACCGCTGCTGCCGCACTTCTGGAAACAGTATCCCTTCGAACAGCCGTAGTCCTCGCCGTACCAGCACTCGCGCTTCTCGAGGGCGCCGGAAACCTGCTCTGGCCCGGCGGAGACGCCGTTGACGCTCAGCGGGTGTTCCTTACACTTGCGGATATCTGAGTGTCACGTTAGTCCTGCTACGGATTCTAGCTGGTATCTTCTACGACAATGCAAAAGAAAAAAGAGATAAAAGCAAGAAACAGGAGCAGAAAAAGAGAGGAGACAGGCATCTTTGACAGGAGAGAAGTGATTGCTTACTGGAAATGTCCACATTCTCGCCAGCCTTGGGCGTGTACTTCATCACACCCAGGGCACCACACTCCTCAGCGATGGGGTCGATGGCTGCGGCGGCAAAGACCTGGGTAGCCTGGGCGGCGATAGCGACGAGGGCAGCAGTGGCGAACTTCATTTCGGCCTGTAGGTGAACCTGTTGCTCTTATCAGTCTCTCAGTTTTCAAAGCCCGCTGGGTCTTGGAGTAGTAGCATAAAAGGCGCATACCGTTGAAGAGATTGGTTTGGTGAAGATTTATAGGATTTTCAGTTTCTGGGTTGTCAATGAGATGATGATCTGGGACTTCTCACAGCCCTGGGTATCTGAGAGATTTGCTGCTCTTTATACATGTCTCCACTACGCTTTTTCGAAGAGATTCCGACTCATCCTGCGTCATTCCTACTTCTTGGGTTCGCACCTGGACTCTGGTGGAATGGTGGTGTCTTGCCTTACTATGTTGCCCAGCCTCTAGTCCGAGGTAAACTCAACTGCCGGAAGCTGACATGCAGTGCTTCGGGGGTGAGAACCATAGCATCACCATGACAGTCAAGAAAATGTGCTTTTGCCCTCAGTGTTAGAGTGTCCAGCAGGCGAAGATGTGGAGAGGCAGTTGAGTTCCGTTTCAGTCCCCACAATGTCATGTGCCCAGATTCACAAGAGTGGTGTCACTGACTCACTAATACTAGATCCTTTCCCCAATGGAACAGCCTGTTCCACCAGACCTTATTATGTTACTAGAAACGAAACCACTTATTGGATTGACTTCAAGACATGTCAGAATGCTCCGTCATTATATTAACTTTTCAAGCCTGAAGTGTCTTATTCGTCTGCACGTGCATGTCGGCTGGTCTTCTGGTGCATTATATTGCGAGCCTTGCCGTCTAGAAACCCTTCCGTCCTGGAATGGTTGCTGACTGTTTGCCTTCATATATGTAACGTAACAAACGGATCCCTTAGCCTCATTATGACTCATCAAATCTAGGCATGAACATATATCACCACGTATTCCCACGGAATCTGTTATCCCTTTGCCAAAAACAGGACCCATGGGTCGAATCGAGTTGGTATTGCATTCCACAGCTCGAACTTAGATAACAACGTTGGGAAGTGGGAGCCAAGATCTAGGCTTTCTTTTTTCTTTTGGAGAATCTATTCTGTTACTGTTGTCACATTGTGTTGCAAACTCATGATCTTGTATGTGTTCCTGTAATTTAGTACCGCTCAATCCAACCGATCACCGGCATGTGAGACTGCGGATTTTGAGCATTCCAGAGGGGAGACTATTGGCTGCACTGGCACTCTCCAGTCACGCAAAGCGGTCCACAGCTCACATGATAGACAAACTGAAATCATGTTTGAACTCTCAAAATGCCTGAAATTCTGGAACTCTACTCCGAAACGCTGGTAACGTGTGATCGGTTTAAAAATGAGCGAGACCAACTAAGAGTCTCCTGCTCATATTCCAGGCAATAAGAGTAGTTATAGTTTCTTTTTTAATCCCCATACATGTAAAATATACGTGGCGCCTTCATATAGTAGTAAACGCTCAAGACCCAGCGTTTGAAGAAATATAGTGCCAATAATATTGGAAAGAGAATACCTAGGTACAGTATGTGGGCACATAGCTGAGCCTCGTACCGCACAGACAAGGCTGGAAGGCATCGCTCCCGACGGCATCGCTCACTAGAAAGCCGGCAAAGCAGTTCCAGGCAATAAGAATCCGCTCAATACAATGGGACGTGCAACTACTACCAGCCAGTCGCTTTACCGGCCCGGCCAAAAGACCGTAATAATCAATCTGAAATAGTTGCTTCCTAGCAGTACATAAGTGACGTACCGTCACTATATCCCTCTAAGATCTTCCATAGAGCTCTAGATACTTAGAGGAAAAGTAATATCTTTGAGGTTGAAAAGAGCAAACCCGACCGGGCGCCCAATTATCTTCATCGGTCAATATTCTGTCAATCTTTACGGAATTTACTCTCCATGCCCATCATGGAGCAAACATTGGCCCATATTGTGGATGTTTTGCCAATCAACGACGTGGCGGTCGACCTGAGGGTCCACCGGTATCGCATCGAGGAGCCGGTGTTCAGCCAAACTTTGAACTACTATGTCCAGAAGTGTTCTAAAAGTCTTTTGCCTTCCGCGAAAGTTTTCAACCATTGACTTTGGATATTCTGTCCAGTGTATAGTTGTATTCCATTTCCAACATGCCGTACTTTGGCTGGTTTGCTTGCTACCTGGGTCCTTGGTCTGTGTCTAACTTATTTTTAGGTATCATATTATTACTAGAGTGAGCCTATTGGCTTAAAAGACGCTGGAATAGAATCCAGCAAACCTTGAACATAGATGTTCTCGCTTTTGAAACTTTGAAGTTAGACACTAGTATGTATAAAGGGAATGAATAGCCCAGTAATGAATATTTTAAAAGTGATGGCCTTTTCAGGTAGGCCATGGCATTTTCACAGTTTAACTACACTGGTATAGATCAGTATCACAATGCAAGATGATAGCGACTTTTCTATGTCTCCTAGATTCTGACGGAGAACATCGATGGACTCTATATGCCGTTTGTTAGTTCTAAGAGACCGAGACAATAGGCTGCAGATCAACCCCGATTGAGCTATACCGGATCAATGTTTTTAGAGGTAGCTTAGAACCTTCTATATACGTTCCGAATCATAGGGAGTAGTTACCGTTTGTAGAGACACTATGTGCAGACACCCTTAAAATATCTTAAACCTTTAGTCTTTTAAGACTTTTATTTATATTAAAAACCGATAATTAAGGGTTATAGTTATACTATTACCTTACTTTTAAATACGTTTTTATATTCCACTATATAGCTACTTTAAGTTATTTATATATACTTTTATAATTTAAAATTAATTATAATTTATATTTATTATTACTTAAATATTCTAAGGGGTAATATATATAATAATGTAATATAGTCTTTTATATAAGGTTGTCTTATAGGATGGTATGCTATAGGAGGCTAGGTGGATGTGACTTACGAACCCTGGAGGGTAGGTAGTACCTAGGTAGATATCGTGACCGTGTAGCCCACACCCGAGCAGAGCTCATTTTGAGTGTTCGGGACGATGACGATGGCCGAGACAAGGATTGCCTGCATATCTAGGTAGGCTACCTACTAGACTCGCCAGAGCATTGGGGTCTGTCAGAAGCATGTCACCTATGATATGGGCAGAATGGAATTTGACGTGAAAGCAATTCGAATATTTGTTCCAGAATGACTCTTTCGAGCAAGCGTTCCCAAATTCAGACTCTGGTCAGAAGCTGAGATTTTATAGTAAATAAAAGGTCTGCGCTCAATGGGCAGTGCCGTGGCGTCCATTGCAGAATAAGCGCTTACATTGGGTGGTAATACGCCGGTACGCCAATACGCCTGTACGCCTGTACGCCATGCCCATAATCAATACTGCTGACTGTTCGCCGCCATGGACGCACTTAGCATCTGAAGGCAAACGCGAAGCACTCCGATATACGCCCTTTTGCATCGCCTCTTCCAAAGCGTCATAACGTTGAGTACTCACCTGATTGACTGCCCTTCTATAAAGAGGCCACTCGCATGCTCTCTGCTCATGCCCGAGTATCACAACAGCCACCAAAAAACACCCTGAAAAATCTGTGTATCGATTTGGATAATCCAGAAATCATGATTCTCACCCCAGCATCCACGCTTGCTTTCGGCCTTGCCTACTGCGCAACACAGGTCTACGCGTTGCCACAAGCTCATGATTTCCCGCCTTACCAAAAGCCGGGACATGGCGACGGTATGTCTTTGGTGCCATCCAGCTTTTCATACCAGTTATATCAATCAGGTATCACCGCAGTATCTAGCAGCAGAATCACTAATTCTCCCGCAGCCCGCTCGGCCTGCCCCGGAATCAACGCTCTTGCGAACCACGGCTGGCTTCCACACGACGGCCGCAACATCACTCGCGACATGTTAGTAGAAGCCTTGCGCGGCGGATTCGGCTTCGACTTGTCACCGTCCGAACCAGCATTCGCTACCAGTGTCTTCGCCTCCGCGATCAATGACACTGCCAACATAGCCCTACACCCTGAAAAAGACAGTTTCGACATGGACGCAGTCAACACACACAACGGGCCGATTGAGTTCGATGGCAGCGTCTCACGCAAGGACGACTTCTTTGGCAGCCCTGTGCCTTTTGACAAGCCTACATGGGACACTCAGTGGCGCCTCATGGAGGAGGAGCAGAAGTCGTCCAACAGCACTGAAGATGTGTTCGACCTCGGAGTTGCTTCTAGGGCTCGTGCGAGACACGTACTGATCAAGAGCCAAGCTGGCAACGAAGACTTTCTCTTCGACGATGTGACGCTCGGTAAAAGTGCTGGCACGACAGCTTTGTACATGCTTGTACTTGGAGGGATGACCAAATCTGTGAGGAAGGATTGGCTACGGGCATTCTTTGGTATGTTCCAAGCTCCCAAATACTTGACTGTTTTTCTGCCGAGAGAGAGATGCTGATCATTCCTTGTGAAATCAAGCCGAGGAGCGCATTCCTTACGAAGAGGGCTTCCAGCCTCAAAAGGATGTCAGCAGTGCGAATTTGAACGCCCTGACAGGTGAGATTATATCACTGGCCCCAGGAGACATTCTGTGCTCTTTCAACCCGGACACTCTTTGCCCTTGAGCTGGCACATACCTGGAGCTCTATAGAACCTGGAGGAAGGTTTTGATGATAGAAACCGTGCAATGCTTCATTGTAACCATATAGAAGAACAAACCTTAGAATGCAAGCAACTTGGGTTTAGACTAAAACGAGGATTTTATTTCGCCTTAATAATTCCATATGGCAAGGTGACTGCAGACACAATACTTAGAGGCTCTGATCAAGTGCCAGCAAACAAAAAGCGATAGCCTTGTTTCCTTCGAAAATGAGGGGAAGGAGTGAACATGTAGACATTGAGAGTGCCGTAAAGTGAAGTAAATCAGAATGCCATTCACATACACAATTATGCCGTACATAGTTTCTTCGTACATCAAAGTTACATAACTAGGTACGGAATCCGTGCACTCTCTGGTGAGCCCGTTGTTGAAAGATAGACAGAAACAGCGGCCCCAGAGCTAAGATCACGAGGGCACTTGATTAGATCATCCTCGAGGTCCTTGAAAATTGTGACCGGTTCATTTTGAAAGAGAATTATGATAAATGTCATGGTCAATTTCATCAACACGTTGCCTCAGATGATCCGCGCTTGTGAGCAGATCAGTTGATGAGGCTGATTACGAGTCTGTCGAATCTCAGGTACCTAGGTATTGGCTGAATTATCTCCCTTTGTCGTCGATTATCACGCTCGTACCTAGGTATGCTACCCATACTCGAACTGCAAATCGTGACGGTTCCCGAAACAAAAGAAAAAAACTGTCCCGTCCGGCAGGTGCATTCTGGTGTCCCCAAACAGTGGCCAAAACCACCCTGGGCAGTGAATAAAGAGAAATCAGAGGTAGTTAGGTGGAGTTTAAGCCTAAAAAAGTAGCCGAGCTCCGGGTAGATCTCCGCCACTGCCATAACAGCTGCTACTAGTAGTAATCTTCCGATGCACTGTAAGCAACGCCACTCGATATGCGCGATTGCAACCCAGCGATGGCGCGATAAGCGGGACGCATAGGATCCACCCGAGTCTGCCATCAAAGCTCTTCTGTCATTGAGCCTCGGCATTCCGTGACGCTTCTGCGTCTCCGTCGATTTTCATCTTCTCAATATTGCCACAAATATAGAGTAGATCCACTCATCTACTGTTAAGTGTTCTTGATCCATCATGGCACTGTCCAGGCTAAAGACCGCGGTCTGGGGCCCTCCCTCGGTCGAGCGGTCTCTACTCATCAAGCTGGACAGCACGGTCCTCATCTACTTCTCGCTCATCTGGTTCCTCTTCGGCATCAATCGCGCCAGCTATAGCACCGCCTATATCAGCGGCATGAAGGAGGATGTTGGTTTTCAAGGCAAGGACTTCAACTACATGTCCACTATTTATCTGGTTTGCTACGCAGTCATGCAGATGCCCTCCACTGCGGCTTTGACCATTGTACGGCCGAGATATGTCTTCGTGCTGGCAAACACGGTGTGGAGCGTCTTAACCCTCATCACCTTCCGGGTCGAGCACGTGTGGCAGGTATTCGTGCTCAATGGCTTCGAAGGAGCGTTTTCCGCTATTGCCTAGTATGTGGCTCCATCAACTTCCTCGTCCGCAGGCATTTTGATATGAACTGACGTGTCTGCAGCGTCGGGGCGCATTTCATATACGGTTCTTGGTACAAACAGTCCGAGCTAGGGACCCGGGCTGCTGTGTTTTGTGGCTTCGGCAACTTGGGCAACATGGCCGGAGGGTGGATCCAGGCTGCCTTGCTCGCATCACTTAGTGGGAAAGGCTCATTACCACCGTGGAGATGGATGTTTATAGTTGTCTCGGTGATGACGATACCTTTCGCACTGTTTGGTGAGTGCTCAATACCCAGCGCGACGTTGTACACGCAACAATCTTTCAGTACCGTTGACCATCCGCATAGGTTGGTTCGCCATCCCTGATCTACCACACCACAAGTCAGCACGCTTCTTGACTGAAGAGGAGAAGGAGTGCGCGATCCGGCGCCTTGGCGAATCCCGAAAGACCACTTGGGACCTGAGTGTCTTCCGGCGCGTGCTTTTGAGCTGGCAATTCTGGCTGCTTCCCACCGTGTTCATGCGTAAGCCGCCTCAGATTCCACCTGTGAATCGATAATGAACCTAACATCACACAGTCTACTCCCTCTGTGTCCAGTCGCTCACCAACAACGTGATGCAACTCTGGATGGCTTCGAGGGGCTACAGCGTTATCCAACAGAACAACTATCCTACTGGCAAATATGCGGTGGCCATTGTTGCGACGCTGATCTATACCGTTATATCTGACCGTATTCGATCTCGCTGGGAGTGTTCCCTGGCTATCGGCGTGACTTTCGTTGTTGGAAGTGCCATACTTGTTGCACACCCTGCCAACGATGCTGGCTATTTCTTTGCCTTCTACCTTTTAGGGTCGACATTTGCTCCACAGGCGCTTTGGTACACATGGATGGCTGACTTGACGGCGCAAGATGTTCAGCTGAGAGCCATCACGACCGGCTTCATGAACTCATTCGATTTTGCCTTTGTGAGCTGTAGGTCTTGTTTCAAGAAGTTTCAGTCATACATGTTCCCCCCCTTTCTGTCTGAGACCGCTCAATCGACAACCCCTTTCCAAGCGTATTCTCCCTTCCACGTATTTCCCACGTCAGCGATGAACGTGGAAAACAAAACTGACAACTTTCGCAGGGTGGCCAATCGTTTTCTATCCAGTCACGGATGCCCCTGACTACAATAAAGGATATATCTCCAGTCTCATCACCGGCGCTCTAACAATTCCGATAATACTTTTGATAGCATGGTTAGAAAAGAAGGGTAGGGCGAAGGGGGAGATCGGAAGGGTCTTTGAAGAGGATCAAGATGGACCGCCCTCCGACGACGAAACCGCTCCTGTGAACAGGGTCAAAGACAACAACAGCGTCACTAATACGTTGCCTGCTCCACCACTGGCAACTTGAGCATAGGTACTGCCGCACGGACAATCATCCATTCATCAACGCAACCGAGCTTGACCATAGACATACTGCGCTCGAGAACATGATTAGAACCAAGAGGATAGAGTTCAAATGATTTACACATCCACCTTTCATAACCGTTGCAACGGGTTTTTTCTTTCCACCAGCCCTGTTTCTTTCCAAGTCAGCCCTGTTTCTGTGGCCTCTGCACATCTCTCATTACTTCCCTTCCTCTCTTGAAACACTTGTGTCTTTTTCTTTGACATCAGTGGGGTGTCTACACCATGCATGGCATACTATCAACAATCTCAGCGTTTTGCTGTCCGTCATTGTCGTCAAAACTGGAAGAGCCGACATATTGATACCACGCCACTGGAGCAGCCGATCTAAACTCTGCAGGAACCACCCCAAGCAGAGCTGATTATTTCCTTCATGTCGCCGCGGCAACTCCAGGACTTCTGATGCAGCCAGTTGAGACCTCTGTGATGAGAAAAGGCGACCGAAATTAAGCCTCGGAGAAGATGAGATGGGCCTTTCTGCCGTTATTTAACTCCGGAAATACTCACTCACGAGAATAGCACAAGCTTCACATGATCCGGGCCTCGGTTCAAGCACCTGGCTACAGGCACCAACACACGCGAGCATTTGGTCACTGAGGATACCTAAGCAGACTTCTGGAATTTATTTCTATAATTCCACAATACTGGACAGTCCATTATACAGTCCAGTGAGCTTCAGCCCCCCCCCCCCTGCCCTCTCTTTTACAGCTTAGCCTTGCCCCAAGTCCAAGACAGTACTGGAGTGACGGCTTTGTCAAATGGTTCCCATCTACAGAGGCGTGGGAGCCGGGGTAGGGCAGTCAGTGGGTGTCTCGGTAAATAAGCCCCATCCCGTCTGGAAACACAGTCAGCAGGCTACATGGAATGACGCGGGACAAACGGGCTACGGTCTGGAGACAGTAGACTTACCGTGCATTGCATGCAGCTCGTCACAGTCGGGCAGACTGTCTCCGTGACCGGCTGCACGACCATGCTTGGACATCCGCACTCCAACACAATGGGACCTATAATTGTGTTAGTCGGGATTCGTCCGAGAGTCTCCAAAATGATCCATCGAATTATGCAGAAGGGTAAACTGACGGTCATCCCAGCAGTTATTAGCCCAAGTAGCGCAAGCCGTGGGGCAGCCGGTCGTGGCCGTTATGGTCTGCGTGGGCTTGAAAGTACAAGCCGTTATGGTAGGGTAAGTGGTTGTGACGGTTATCCACGTGGCTGGTGGTGCGCCTCCGGGTGGCGCGCCTCCTGATGGGCATGCATCTCCTGGCGGTGCACCTCCTGGTGGGGCGCCTGGTGCGCATATTTGTCCCTGGGCCAGAGCTGTCACGATGGAGCTGTCGATACAAATATCAGCGACGTCTGCCTGCGAGAAGGGCATCAAAGGCCCAAGAACGAGTAACAATCACCTCAGGAGCAGGACGGCAAGGGAACTAAAGGACTGCATGATGAACGATGCCTGATGAACAGCCGCGGTGACACGAACTGTGATGTGATTTAGAAGGACAATCAAATTCGGCTGGTGTGCTCGCAGTAAACCTATGGCTGTGGGTGCGACCAGATCTACGCCGGCTATATATATTCTTGCCATTCACGTGGTAAAGACAGAGGCATTGCAGGTTTCATGGTTCTAACGGTCCCCAGCCCGATTAATTTACCCGGTCCTGTTGTCTGAGTTCGTGTCACCAATGCCAAGCCATGGAAGGATGGAGAAGGATGAATGTAACTCGGATGAACAGGGAGTTCTGAGTGTAGCTGGGTAGTCAGAATTGTGGAGATGAAGCACAGCATGTGTTCCTTCTCCTAAGGAGGACGCACGACGATTGCTTCCAGACCTGCCGACTGGACGGGGTGGGTGAGCCAAGAAAGCCTTCGCATGAGCAGTGCAGGTCGGGGAAGTAGCTCAGAAGGATTCAGGCTGCGTGCATAAATAAGAAAAATATGCCCTTATTCGGCGCGCTTCTGCCTACATATGTACCTAGGTATAATATGCGACAACTTCAAATTCGGTAAAATCTATGCCCACCTGGGCAGGTGGGCAAGTCATGTACCTACCTAGCTCAGGAGCGGGCTGACAGAGTACAGTATGAACGGATATCAAATTCCTTCCAATGTCCACGCTTGAATAAACTGCTTACCTTCTCCCGGTGAATGTATAATGGGCCTCGTCAATGCGGCCACCGCTCACACCGCATTTCGGGCTCTAGCGGACGCTGCCTATCCTTAAGCCACAAAACATGTATTTTGAGCATGAAGGCGTTGTATCCGCTAAGCCCCCGAGGTCGATAATTTCGGTTAACTTGCCGTGGAATGGAAGACTCGATTCAAGTTGCATGGTGGTCTCGTTTCTAATTCCCATACATATAAAATGTACGTGGCGCCTTCATACAGTGGTAAACGCTCAAGACAACTTGCATAGTTGATCAGCATTAATGGTAACCATAGATCCTTCCAAGCGCTGGGTCTTGAGTGCTTGCCACCGTATGAAGGCGCCATATATGTCCTCGGACGTATACGGAATAGAAGCGAAACCACATAGATCCTTTCTGAGCCGACACATACACCACGTGGATGATAATCAACTTAGGGTTGTCTTTCGACAACGCCATGCATTGAGAGCACGGGTTTCTGAGGCATTCCCTAACTTTGACAAGCAACTCGATTTTGATTTTACCCGCGATACTCTTCGACATACTCCGCCAGATGTGGCCAGAAATAACAGTATCACTTCCCCATGAGCACCCAAATCAATGATGGTCCAAGTGGTCCCTAGTTTGTGCACGAAATCCTCCCCCATAATGCCAAGTCATTCCTCGTACAAGAACGGGAGACATGGATGCGGTATGATCGTAATAAACTCAACTACGGTAAACTATCGTGAAAGCATCTATAGCAACCCAAGGTTTCTTGTTCTTGCACTTGCGGCCCATCTTCCATCGATTATTGAAGACGACGTTACATTTTCAAAGTTGCACAGCCACGCTCTCAGTGTCACATCATCGTCGCCCGCAGAATCGGAGGCGCTTGCTTCCCACGAACTGAGGGTGTGCTTCCATCACCCCGTTTCATATTCGCCCAGGCGGCGCAACGATCTCGGGTCGGGGATGCTGCGAACGAACTATATTCAAATCAGATAATTTACCTTGCCGTGCGGGGATAACGTCGACGACGGGATAATCCGATCAACTCTATAGGTCCAGCCGTCTAAGCGTTCAAGGTTTGGCGAGGAGAGACCTACGTGCCAAGTATGCCAACCTCCACGGTCCGCACACCACACCAATGTTTTTGTTTCTTGACCGTACTACGCGATTCGTTTGCTGACTCTGCTTCCCCAGTCACGCGTCTGCCGTTGGCCCACCCGCATTGCTACCACCCTCCTCCATCTTGAGAGCTTTTGCAATCTGACCCCGCAAGCAAGCTCTCTGTAATAAGCATAAGTATCCAGCTAGCTCCTTAGGGTCGAGCTTGGTAAAGTCTTGTTTATTACTCGATCAACCTTCCAGATCTGCCTAGGTATGGCCGGCAGAGTTTGGGAGGACGCTTAGAAGGATGGCGATCTATTCGTGTTTGTATAAGGCAAGCGTGGATGCCTCCGTCGCTAGAGTTTTGCAATAACTGAGCATGAGTTTGCCATTAGTGGCGAGATCGTGAAGCAAGCGCTAAGCCGAGCCCTTTTTTCACATACCAGCCTCGCCGCCGCCAAACTGAATTACAATACTCATAATTGAAAATCCCATCCAATACTCATTGATTCTATCTTGGAGTTGTCATGGGGCACTCAAAAACCCCTTCGGTCTCCGAGCAGGTGGTGGGGCGTGTCCCAGAACCCCCAGAGACTAGAAATTGGAAGGTGAACATCTACTGTATCGGGGTCTGCTTCGGAGCTCTTGCTCTCGGTGAGTTGACTATTCTGGATTGGACTTTCACATCATCTTCCAGCTCAAGGACTCACTGTGCCACCCACAGGTTATGATGTCTCCGTTATGGGCGGCACATTGATCCTTCCCGCCTTCGAACGCGATTTCGGCCTCCGGAATAAGAGTCAGAAGGAACTCGACGACCTTACCTCAAACATTGTGTCCTGCTTCCAAGCAGGGATGTTCTTCGGTGCGCTGGGTTCACACTTCGCCTCGGAACGCTTTGGCCGGAAAAGATGTATATTCTACGCCACCATTGTCTTCATGTGCGGAGCTGTAATGCAGACTGCTTCTCATGGCCTTGTTGGACTTATAATGGCTGGAAGAGCGATCGCAGGTATCGGCATCGGTGGCACTGCTCCTGTAATTCCCGTGTAAGTCAGCATGTGTCTCCAGCATCTGGTTCACAGCATTAGCACGTCCAGAGGTCTGACGCTTGAGGCTCTCAGTTACATTGCCGAGGTTGCACCACCCTCCATTCGTGGGAGATTGGTTGGGTTCTACGAGATAGGCTCACAGGGAGCCCAGATGTGCGGCTTCTGGGTTAATTATGCCGTCAACAGGACGATAAGCTCGGGCAGTAAGTCTATTATGTTTGTCGAGACCAAGATGTCGCCGTGTACGGCTGACAGTTTCCAGCTCCGGCCCAATGGCAGGTCCCTCTCGGTCTTCAGCTGTTCCCTGCCGTCGCCGTGCTTGCAGTCGTGCCCTTCTGTCCAGAATCCCCGCGTTGGCTTGCCAAGAAGGACCTATGGGAGAAAGCCGAGCATATTATTTGCGACCTCCGCCAGCTGCCTAACAACCATCCATACGTCATGAACGAGATGAGTGAGATCCGTGCTGAGGTCGAATTCGAGGCACACATCGCAGGCCTCAACCCTGGAACTTGGCTTCAGTTCAAAGAGCTGTTCAAGAAGGGCATTCGCAACCGCATCGGCATTGGTTTATGTCTGATGATGTATGACTCTCCACTTCCTTCTCTCCATATCAGAATCGTTTTATTGACCTAGATAACTAGGTGTCAGAATATGACCGGTGTGAACATCATCACGTACTATTCTCCGCGGATTTTTTCCACCCTCGGCATTGCCAGCACTGATCTGAAGCTTTTCGCAACTGGGTTCTACGGTGTCGCCAAAACACTCGGTATGATAATCTTCTCGTTCTATGTCGCCGACTATCTAGGTAGACGCAAGGGTCTCCTCTGGGGCTCTGCTCTGGGCTGCATTCCAATGGTAAATCCACGCATTTTCGCATGTACCCTTTCTACAATACTAATACTTCACAGCTATACCTTGGTGGTTATGTTATGAAGAATGATCCTGAGGCTGCAGCAAAAGCTGGCGTGACTCAGATGTCGGGCTGGGGATATCTCGCCATGGTCTGCGTCTACCTCTACGGAGTCATCTACTGTGCCACTTGGCAGGGTATTACATGGCTCTATGCATCTGAGATTTACCCCCTCTATATTCGATCTCTTTGTATGGCGCTTACCATCGCCGACGAGCGTCTCTGGTCTTACGTTGTCTCCCGCTCCACTCCATACATGATCTCAGACATCGGATATGGCAGTAAGTGCAACAATCCCTCATAATTCGGTCTTAAAATCGCCTACTTATCGAAAATCACAGCTTACTTCTTTTTTGGCGTCCTCATGGCCCTCATGGGAGTCTGGGCCTGGTGGTGCATTCGTGAGACAAAAGGTGTCCCGATTGAAGAGATGGACGCGCTCTTTGGAGCACCTGGTGCGAGACATGCGCATCGCTCTGGGAAGGACGCGACAGACCAGCTAGATGACGAAAAGGCTGAAGCTGCGGAAGTTGAGGATGCCATTATCGTAGCAAGGTAGAGGTTATATTAGGGGATTCTTGGAAAATGAGCAGGCTGCCAGATAACGAAGACTTTCGACAGCTCGGTCTGGAAAGGGCGATCACAAAGGCTTTGCAGCTACGCCGGAGCAATTACAAGTTGAGCAAGTCTCCCAATTGAAATGAAAGCTTCACCATTAAATCCGTAACTGTTTGCTCGCAACTCTCAAGCGGCATTTGACCGGCTCGTCACCGAAGTTGGGGGTACCAGGGGCAGCCACTATTGTGAAATGGCAGTGGTCCCTGGTCAGGTCAACGTCCAAGCCTTCAAAAGTATCGTACCTTTGAAGCAACCTGACTATGACGAATCCAGCCTCCGTCAACGCAAATTGCTGGCCGATACACAGTCTAGGTCCTCCGTTGAAGGGCACATAATTCCAGCCAGGCCTCGCCGACTCCCACCGCTCCGGCACGAACTCATCGGCGTCGTCGCCCCACAAGTCTCTCCGCCGATGCATCACATGGGTAGAGAAGTTGACTTCAGTCCCGGCAGGCACAAAAACAGGCATGGTACCGTCGTGGCCACCGCCCGTCGGGAGAGTCGTGTCCTTCACCGCCATCCTGCTGTTGAAGGCGACGATGCTGTGCAGACGAAGTGTCTCCTTCATGACATACTGCAGATACTGGCAATTCTTCAACTTTTGGAACGTGATATCCCTCGCCACTGCTTCTGAATCCGTCGTGTATTCTCCGAAATCCTTGAGGACCACGGTTCGCAATTTGACCAGCACGCGCGGGTTCCGAACCAGACAATAGAAGACCCAGCTCATCAAGCTCGCCGTGGTGTCGCGGCCAGCTGCTAAGAGACCCAAGACTTGCTCTCTGACCTCGGCCTGGTCGGCACATCTTTCTCGGAGCGTGTTCAAGTAGTCGTATTTGCCTTCACGTTTCGACATCTCGGCTAGGCTAATGGCGTCGTCCACGAAATTGTTGAGGATTTTCATGCAGTCTTTCAACTCTCCATTCCCGTACAACCAATAGAGGCTTCTCAATCGCATCCGGACGCTGAGTGTAGCTTGGACACGCTCAAAGGCCCAGTGAAAATCGTGCTGAAGTGGTTCACCGTTGTAACGCGCAAGCAGAGAGTTCGTGCTATGGCCAAGGAAAAGCTCTGTCGCGCTGTCGATGGTGAGAGACGGGAATAACTTTGCCAGACCCACAGGCTTGGTCCACCCTTTCTCATCGAAACCCGGAGACTCGATGCATGCTATCAAAGTCCGGACGTGCTTCTCTAGCATTTCCAGATTCGAAATGTTCTCTCTTGAGAAGATAGGCCTGACGGCCTCTCTCGACGAGCTCCAGGCTTTACCATCGACAGCAAAGATACTGCGGCCCAGCACTACTTTCAGATTGGTCTTCCGAGCTCGGCCCATCGCAAAGTCGTTGAATTGAGTGGCCAGTATAGCCTGTACGTTGTTTGGTTCCGCAGTGATCAGATTAGATGTGCCGAGAATTTTGACCCCGAACGTGTTTCTCCTCATTGCTTTGAATCGGTCCATCAAAAACTCGGGGGTTCTCTGATCTCTATCAGCCTTTAGACCGGCTCGCACCAAATCTAACCCGAAGGGCCATCTCTTTGGTTCTACCAACACTGGGCCACAACCCAGGACTCTGATACGTCGCGCCCGAAGAAGAGGAGTGATGAAAAAAGACAAAATGATCCGGTAGAGTATTAGCGTGCAGGAGCAGCAGAAGGTGACAAACGGTAGACTCATCGCAGCCATGCCTCATCGATTCCTGACACTTGAGTCTTGAATTACTGAGTTTCTAGGTGACAAGAAAGCCTCGTAAGTGGCAGCTTCAGATCCTAGTCCACTCAAAGTTTTAGATACCCGGATACCCTGATGGAACTGCGAGTGACTGCAGGATGTCACAGTTTGAGTTTGTCATTGGCTACAGTAATAAAAGAAACCGACGCATCTCGTGTTCAAAATCTAGCGGGCCATAATTACCAATTCCTGAATGGGCTATCATATAGAACGCAACGTGCTGTTTCTGGCGGCAACTATTGGTACGATCAATGCACCCCCGCCGTTTTCTCCCCACAGTCGAGTGTGCCCAGGTGGGTTGCGACAGGGACCAGAAACAGAGGGGCTCATTTTCACAACCCGTGGGAGCCCGAGTCAAATCAAAAAGCACGCCGGCCGGGGTCTTTGACGCCCGGCAGTGTGCGAGTCAAGCTTACCGTACCGGGAACCTATGGGCTTCGGCAGCGGTTGTTTCCCAGAATGAACAATTCTATTCGTGGCAATGGTTCCTCCTCTGGTAACGAATGATACGCGTTCTAGTAAAGACCGCCGTCAAGACGGTGCCCCTTAGCCTTGTCTGTGCGTTGCAAGGCTGAGGCCACAAGCACCCGTCGTTAACCATAATTATCGACACTGTATCTTTTTGAAGCGCTGTCTTGAGCGTTTACCACCGTATGAAGGTGCCATGTATGTCCTCGGACGTATATGGAATAGAAGCGAAACCAGGTAACGAATGGTACTTAGCTTCTAATTACTTAGCCAAAGAGGCCTCTAACAACCTTATGGGTAAGACTACCTGAGAAGGAATTTCTCCATAAGTCTTTTCTATATAGACAGCATTAAAGCTGAGTATCATGACAGAGTTGATTATAAGGCCCTCTGTGGGAGCCACTCTAGGGTGCAGTCAAGTAGGAGTGAAGTTGAGTGATTGATTAAGCTATGAAGTGCTAAACTAAGGTTTTAGATAGGTCATTGGTCTTGAGCGTTTACCACTGTATGAAGGCGCCACGTACATTTTACATGTATGGGGATTAAAAACGAAACCACCCCCTAGATAGGTCGTTGAGTGGCTGACTTGAGTGGTCACTCTGACCTTCTCTTATGCCCACCAAAGCACGGTATGGCCGCCAGAAGCGCTCCCCTGGAGACTGCTAGAGCCCCTCCCTGGGGAACAAAGTTAGACTAGGTCCGTTGTGCTCGCCTACAAAAGCATCATACAGCTGAAACTCGTCCACGCGATCGCGCAGGTCACCGTCCCACCCCCCTGGGCCACCACCGCCGAGCTTTCCTGATTCCCCAGGCGCCTGCTTGAAGTCAAAATGCCAAAGCGTCTTCGCCAGGACCAAGCTCATTTCCATGTAAGCCATCGTTTTTCCCAGGCACGCGGTTTCACCGAACGAAAAGGGAATGAAAGCCTCCACCATTCTCGCTAGTCTATCAGGATCGGTATCGTCGAGCCAGCGCTCAGGCCGGAAGGCGAACGGCTCTGGGAAGTATGCCTCGTTGTGCATAATGCAGTACGCGCTGATCGCCACTAGTGTCCCGCCAGGAACAACGTGTCCGTCGATCACACAGGGCTCTTTGAGTGAGAGTTGGCGGTCCACTTCGCGCCAGGGCATCACCGTTGTAGGTGGCGACATGCGGAGCGTCTCATCGATGACAGCACGCAGGTACTTGCAACCGAGGAGCTGCGGCCCACCCCGTATGAGGGACTCGTCTGAGAAGGCCTCGCGGACTTCGGCAGCAAGGCGTGCGTAGACAAGAGGGTAGCGAGATAGGTAGAAGAAGGCAGCGCTCAGGGCGCAAGAGGTTGTCTGACCGCCTGCGGGAAAGAAAAACAGAGCCTCAGCCCATACTTGGCTCTTTTCGATCGATTTAAATGGTGCTGAATCGGACTCGTGATGGCTTCTCGATGCAACGGCCCAGAAATCGTGCCTTTCCAGATTCTCTTTAATGGCAGCCCGCCTGTCGATGATGTTCTTGAGGAGCCTCTTTGCCGCGAGAAGCTTGGGCATATTGAAGAGCATGACAATCCGATTCAAGGTTCGAATGGCGGGCCATGCCATGTACACACTGTGGATCGTGTTCATGTGCAGGAATATGTCAATAAGAACCCTGTTCTCCGACTCAGTTTGCGACGCAAGGTCGACTCCAAAGCCGAGCTGAACGGCAATGTCGCTGGCAAGCCGTTCACACAGGGGCGTCATGTTCACCGGGCCAGCCTCGGCAGCCTGGACGAGCTTTTGGAGAAAGATATCGACCTCGGACCTCATCTTCGGCTCGAACCTTTGCAGGGACTGGCTCGAGAGGACACGGCCGTAAACATTGCGCTTCATCCGGTGAGGTTCCGGTTCCACCGTTCCCAGTACATGCGGGACAGGACTGAACGATGTGAAGGTATACACGTGTGATTTGCGAATCGAGGCAGGCTGGCTTATTAGATCTGCTTACGTCGTTATTGGGTTGCTCGGCGAGATGCAAGGCTACTGAAACATGAATTAGGCGCTGTATTAGCGAGGTACTTGCCGCGAAGAGCCGCCACCGTGTTGAATACAAGGCGATTGGGCCCCTGTCTGTACGCAGGACCATATTTCCGAAAGTCGGAATGTGCTTTGAGATGGAGCCGTTTCCGCTTCACCTGATAACCCCCGTAGGCATCGGTGAGCTTGGCGATGAAGGGGCCTGGGTATTCTCGAAGAGGGTGGAACGCGAGCCGATAGCTCACGATGGAAATGACCTTCAAATGGCAATTCGTTAGCGGGGCTGCCAGGAAGACCCGAATACCCAAGTACAGCTCTCACCAGCGGTAAGATCATGACCACAGCATATTTTGCTGCAACAAGAAGCGTATGGGTCAGCTCCATGGTTTGTTGGTGACTTCTGTCGCTACGAGGACAACGCTCGCTGTTTTCCATGCACGTTGCCAATTGTGGAGTATCTGGAAGAGTTACTTTGAGTGTCGATTCAGCCCTAGAAAGGCAAACACAGCTTGAGGGCGGAGATAAAAATCTTTCGCGGCCTCTACGGGGCCCAGAGGATTTGTGCAGTTGAAGAGCCACGTGCATTCCCAATCTTGGAAGTCAGACTGCCAAACGAGCAGAGCCATTAATGTACGCCCCACGCTCAGAGAGCTATCCCAGACGTGTTTGAGCTACAAAAGTACCTAGCACTGTGTAGGTCATGCCCATGTTGTCGGAAGATCGCCCCCCCCCCCTCTATGCCCCTATTCCTGGTGGTCTTGTATGTCAGCGACAAAAGTACGCATGGTCAAACTTCAGCGGGAAAATTATCCGGCTCTGCCGTGTCCATCTTACAAGGGATATTGTGCCCGTGCCTTCCATGGGTGCCGCACCTACGTCGCCGGCTACAGTTCCGCTGGACGGATTCCATGGTCCTGATACCTAGTCTCGCTGGTAGAATAAGTCGGTTGCGCGTTCGCTGCAATGTGCTATTGACATCACATAATTTATTTCACATGTAGTTGAATGCTTCAAAGGGCCTTCTTCTCTCGACTTTCGTGGTTGATCGGCCTTCACAGCCGACAAGGTGAAGGCCAGAAGCCATGGTGCTTTTCGGACTAAACCACACGAGGTCGAGTGGTTCGATTTGCAATATCGCATCCACATATCGACTATAGTAGCATCGAAGGCACATGGAATTTCTCTTTGACATTCATTATCACCTTTTATCATTAGCATCATATTTATTATTAGACATCATATCTTTTAATCTTATTTACCTAAATTCTAGTGGTTTTATTTTTTAATCCCTATATATATTAAATGTAGCTTTAGCTATACTATATTTTTCCTTTATATTATATAACTATCTTCTAATTTAATTATTTATTTCTTTTTTAATAGTTTAAAGCTTATATATAAAGTTTTTAATAGCTTTATATATATCCTTATAGTTTTTTTATAAAGGAACTTTAAATTTTTTTTATTATACTTTTTTATATTATTAAAAGTTAATAGTTATTAATAATAAGAGTATAGATTTAAAGGAGGATAAGTTTATTATATTTTTTTACTTTTTATAAATTATTTTTAAGACTTTTTTAAAAGTTTTAATATTTAATTATAAAAGTTTTAAAGGTAGTATATTATAAATTATTCTTTTATTTTAAGTTTTTAAAGTTAGTTATATATTTAAATAAGGGCTATAATGTTAGTTTATTTAGTACGAGTTTTATTATAAGGTGTATATATATATATATATATATATTTAAAGGGATAATTTTTAACTAAGCTTTTTTAATATAATTTATTTATATAATAATTATTTTTAAATTTAGTTTTAATATATAACTTCTTTATAATATTAATATTATTATTAAGATAATACTTTTTAACTTTATTTATATATTATAAAGTTAAGGTTATAAATATTTATTATATTATAATTATTATTATTAATATTATATTCTTTTTAAGTGTTAGGTTTTAAGTACTTACTATTATATAAAAGTACTATATATATCCTTAAATGTATATAAAATAGAAGTGAAACTATATATATTAAATGTATATATGTATATAGCGCCTTTATATAACGGTAAACGCTTAAGACCTTGCTCAATTCCTACCTAGGGTAAGTATGTTCAACTAGTGCTAATAAGAAGTATTACTTCATTTCTATGAAAACCCTAGTAATAGAATTATGAGTAAAATATACCGTAACGTGAAACATAACTTAGATTTCTGATCACTAGGTTCGTTATTGGGTTGGTGATGACAAACGATGAGTGAATACCTGGTGCTGAATGTTTTTGTTCTGCTTTTAGCCGTGGTGTTCAGCCTGCTGGGTCCCCTACCACTCTCCTCTTTGCCAAGCGATCCGACGGGTGCTTCCAGCTGGGCACATGCCTACCCGGGGTTCAGGCCTTCCGTTGCCCCGTACGCCTTGCTCCAGCAGTGGGCGAGCAGAACCGAGACCCACAGGTAGATAGATATCTATCTGTACGCAGTGCTGATATCTGACACGTGCTCCACTAACCCGGGGTAAACAGACCCGTGAGGGTTTAGTTCACGGCTTCTTTGAACGAATTTAGTCCGTGGCTGACGCGTATTTCGAGACTGGGCTGACTCGCCCAGGAGTGGACCAAGTCGATGGGACGTATTGTGCCCCATGGTTCGGGAAGTTTTTAACCATTCCTGCGCCTGCACCGATGCACGTGTCTTATTTTCTTCCCTCGTGGTTCGCTGTGAAATCGAACATCACTTATGGGGTAGACAAGGTCCGACTGCACGTGGCAAACACAACCACGGCCCAGCACGCATTCCAAGAGTACCAGGCACCTTCAATCACATTTTGGATCGCCTTGAATCGTGATGAGACCCACACATGATAGAAGTCTTGTAGCCTGTTGAGATATTATCACGGTACGTGGTGAAAGTAAATGTCGGAAAATGAAGACCAGATGTCAAATGCAGGCGAACCGAATTTGTATCCACTACTAGTGTGGCCAGTTCATGTCTTCAGGATTTCCACCAAGCTTCAAGTGCGCTTATACTAATTACTCTAGAAGAGGAACTATGCTAGCTAAAAGTAATTACAAAAGTGGTTGATACCATCTGAACACATTTTCGGGATCATATTTGTGTTTCAAGCCCCTTAACTTCTCCAAACGCCATGGCTCGTAACCGTATAGCGCTTCTGGGGGATCCTGCATTGTAGATGTGGTGTTCCCATAGTTGACGTATTGTTGAAGACGACCGTAGCCAGATACCTCAATGAATTGCCTCTTCCACTTATCAAGGTGCCCTTCGAAAGCATCACGATCTTCAAGACTGAGAGGTGTGGCTGTCATCATCCTATAAAAAGTAGGTATTTTATCAGCTTGGAAATCCCCCACCGATTCTTCAGAACAACTTACAAGAAATGGTTCGTGCCCCATCTCCAGGGAAACGCTGTTGAGTCTGCTGGAAATTGACGTGTCCGATGGTGCGGCAGACACTCGAACATGGCGCCGAAAAGTCCCTTCCCTGCCCATTTCTCATTCATTTCCTTGAGGCTGTGGAAGAATGCATTGGTCGTCGGAAGATCGAACTTTTCCACACTCACGGCTCCCATCATTGCGTATCGCTTCCTTGCCCAAAGCTCGGGCTTGCTCAACAATTTGTTCTGGCCATTGTAAGTTGTCCAGGGGAGCTCTGACCATGTAGTCTTGATCTTGCCACTGCTTTCCACAGGGCCCAAAGCTTCAAACTTCTCCACCCACTCATCCGCAGCTGACTCCTCACCTGACCAGACGAGGTTGATGAGAATAAGATTCTACGGTATGTAAGCAAGTCTGTTGCACAGACTTAGAAACATAGGGTGCACTGTACCTTGAGTCCTGACTTGTTTTGTCTGTTCCATAGGATGAAGATGGCAAGCTCTGGTGGCATGACCTCGTGTACCTCGTTCAACTTAGAGAAAAGATCATCGCATTGGTCGAGCCCAAAATCCAAGTCCCAGCTGTAATGGATCCCGCCGTGTGCTTCAGGATATACCTGAAAAGTTGCCTCGACGGCTATTCCAAAATTGTGCCCGGCACCACGTATCGCCCAGAATAGATCGGGATGCGATTCCTTGGATACGTTGATGACGGAGCCATCGGCGAGCACGAGTCTGCAAGATATCATGCTATCGTGCAACAGACCATACTTGCCTTGAAGCCTGCCAAGGCCGCCGCCAAAGGAAACGCCGATCAACCCAGTCGTGGGGCAGGAACCGACATCTGTCGATTGTTCAGTCTAAAAGGAGAACGCAAACTAACTATAGCAGGCAGATGAAACTCACTGACTTCCATTCCCCGGCTCTCCAAGAAGCGAACGAATTCATCTGTGAGAATACCACCGCCAACTGTTGCCTGCATCGTCTCATCGTTGAAAGAAATGCTATTCAGAGAACGCATATCCAATAAGATGCCATCCTTGAGATGTCGCATTGTCGTCGAAACACAATGATGGCCTGCTCTTGTCGCAAAGGGGAGCCCATTGGCTTTGGCATATCTTATTGTCTTGACTACATCATCCTCACAGGCAGGGCGAACAGCTAGTAAGTATGTCTAAATTGTCAGCGCTCTGTTCGGCTTTGTAAAATGGAAGAGTTCTCGCAGAAGAGATCAACTCACTGGTCGCTCATACTGGGTGAAGCGTAAGTTCGAGTGATGGAATTCATCAGATGCGGGCACAGAAACAACGGCCCCAGAGGACAGTTGGGGCGTCAGTTCAGACTGGAACCGGATAGACTGAGCTTCACAGTCAGCCATGACGATTTCTCCTTGTCCGTTCGAAGACTCAGATGGTAGATAGTGTGTCCGTTTTCTTTTTCTCTTTTTCCCCTCAGGAAGCTTCAGGATTTACTGGAAGACGCTTTCTAGGCCGACCTTTAAGGCCCATTTTGCTGACTCAATTTAACATGTACATGGGAAAGTGACTATCTCCTCGCTCTCGGGGACCTGGGAAATCCTGCTGGTGCTAGTGCACGACAGTTTACGCGTCAGGCCGGGGTTCTCCGGTTGATAATCAGAAGACCCACCAAATAGTTCGTCGATTCAGCATGAGTAAGTACGTACGTGAAAACAAGAGCAATATGGTTTGCGAAAATGAGGCTCTACTGATTACCGACTGGTCTTTCTTCCTCAAGACACCATCCCGTGCCCAAAGTATTGGTTCTCCGTCAATGTGCGGGTTGATGGTGCGGGTCCAAAGAGAGAAGTGCCCACACTCAACGATCCGTTTCGAGTATGTGAACCGTCCTAATGCTTGACTCAGCCCAACCCGAGAGGCCCACACGATGAAGCAGTTCTTTCGCTTTTCCAGTATAGTTCAGCAAACAAGCACAGTATCCACCTTCGCTTCGAGCGGTTTTACAGGGATGATCAATTCGGGACACTCGTACATATCGCTTCTAGAAGATATTGTAGCTCATTATAGCCGAAGAATCAATGTCTATCAAGGCAAGGGGCTTCGTTAAGGCGCTCTAACTTGGTGGAGACGGGGCCATCTGTGATTGCGGTTGATCAAGGACTCTTGTGTCGTGAAGCAGGCAAAATTGGGCAAGGATATCTGCCACACTCCCATCCAATGCAAAACATTGGGAGAAAGGGGGGCCTGGTCGCCTGCTCTGTCTCTGGAGGCAAGAATGATATATTACTGGGCGGTCGGTCGACCTTGCTCACCTCCAGTGTCCCTTAGATCTCATCACTTCTCACACTCAACACCTTCCTCTTATTAATCTACTTTCTAGTCAACGGCGCCGTCAAGACGGTGCTCCTTAGTGTTGTCTGTGCGTCACAAGGCTGAACCCACGTGCAACTATCCACCGTTGTTGACATTGTATGTTCTTTGAACTCTGGCTCTTTCAGGGTGTACCACTGTATGAAGGCGCCCGCCGTATATGGCTTCGGACGTATACGGAATGCAGACGAGACCAGACCAGTTAATTTACTTTCACCCGCAGATACTCGGCTATCCATTTGCCGTAGCTTAACAGCCCCTAAGAATACAAAATGGGCAGCACATCGCCACTGTCACAACCGGTTGCCATCATTGGTATTGGCATCCGGGCTCCAGGTGATGGGTCAGACCCAGAGGCTTTCTGGAACATGCTGGTCGAGGGCCGCTCTGCGCGGTCTGAGATACCAAAAGACCGATACAACATCGATGGTTTCTACCATCCCAGCCCAGAGCGCCTCGGCAGCATACAGCCACGGTGAGCTTGAGAGAAATCATGACACACGGCATCCTCGACTCAATCTAAACGCGGTCACAGACATGCACACTTCCTGAAAGACGACTTCAAGGCATTTGACGCACCTTTCTTCTCCATCACACCAAAAGAAGCCAAGGCCATGGACCCCACGCACAGGCTACTGCTCGAAGCCACATATGAGGGTTTTGAGAACGCAGGACTCGCCCTCGACACAGTGGCGGGCACTCAGACCTCATGTTACATAGGCACCTTCACCGGTGATTTTCCTAATCTTCAGGCTCGCGACAATGAGGGCCCCTCCATCTACCACGCCACGGGTCTCTCGTCTTCCTTGGCCTCGAACAGACTGTCATGGTTCTATGACCTGAAAGGCCCCAGCATGACCATAGACACGGCGTGTTCGTCAAGTTTGACGGCGTTCCATCTCGGCTGCCAAAGCATCCGAGCAGGTGAAGCAGAAATGAGTGTTGTTGCCGGGTAAGAGCCAGAATACCCCAAAACTCTACCGTACTTAGCAGCGGACGACCGAGCTTACACCAACATTTCCCAGAGCGAACCTGATGTTCGGCCCCGACATGTCAATATTGCTTGGCGCAGCCAAGATCCTCTCCCCGGACGGGAAGTCAAAAATGTGGGACGCCAATGCCAACGGCTTCTCCCGCGGCGAAGGTTTCGGCGTGCTCATACTCAAGTCCCTGGACGCAGCCATCCGCGACGGTGACACAATCAGGAGTGTAGTTATCGCCAGCGCCGCTAACGAAGATGGCCGCACACCGGGCATCTCACTGCCAAGCAGCGAGGCGCAGCAGACTCTGATCCGCACTGCTTACCAGCAGGCTGGTGTCGACCCGGCCGATACAGGCTACGTTGAGGCCCATGGTACCGGTACACAGGCTGGCGACCCCCTGGAAGCGAAAGCAATTTTGGCGACCATTGGCAAGAATCGGTCAAGCGAACTATTTGTGGGCAGCGTCAAGACAAATATCGGCCATCTTGAGGGTGCGGCCGGCGTGGCTGGTGTCATCAAGGCAGCTCTTATCGTGGAAAGAGGGATAATACCGCCTAACTTGTGGTTTGAGAAGTTGAACCCTCAAATCGACCTCCCCGAGAATGTCAAAATTCCCACCGAGGCTACGCCATGGTCGAACCCGGGCCCAAGAAGAGCGAGTATCAACTCTTTCGGGTTTGGAGGTGCTAATGCTCATGTCATTCTTGAAGAGCCCGCATCTTATCTACGAAGAGTAGGAAGGTTCGGCCGGACCTCTGCAACAAAGCAGCCCAAGTTGTCGTCTGCTGTGGGTGGCTTCAGCAGCAGTCTGAGTGATAGCAGTGCCAGCGACACTGTGGACAGCGACAGCGAGCAGAGCGATATCACAGATAGCACCCAAACAAGCATCACTGTGCTCACAGACGGATCTAATGAAGGCCCACACAACCCCAAGGTTTTTGTCGTCTCCTCCAACGACAAGGAAGGAGTCCAGCGCAACGTGGAACGGCTTTCGTCCTACCTCGAAACCAAGGAACCTCTGAAGCTTGACAGAAGGTTCCTCAAGAGCCTCGCACATACACTCTCCAACAAGCGCACCGCGCTTCCGTGGAAGTCCTACGTCACTGCATCAACGGTATCAGAACTCCGCGAGCGTCTCGTCTCCGCCCTCTCCACACCGACACGCTCCTCAAGCACGTCGAATCCTCGCCTGGCCTTTGTGTTCACCGGCCAGGGAGCACAATGGTACGCCATGGGCAAGGGCCTGGAGGTGTTCCCGGCCTACAAGGCGAGCATGGACGCGTCGGAGAAGATGCTCCGCGACCTCGGGTGCCCCTGGAGCCTCTCTGAGGAGCTGTCCCGCCCTGAGGATGAGTGCAACCTCCGCAGGACGGACTATAGCCAGCCTGCGTGCACGGCTGTGCAGATCGCCCTCACTGATCTTCTCGGCCACTGGGGGATCCAGCCTGTTGCGGTGGTGGGACACTCCAGCGGCGAGGTCGCCGCCGCGTACGCCGCGGGTCTGATCAGTCACGAGGCCGGTATGAAGGTTGCCTGGCTGCGCGGCCAGATCTCCAGGACTGTTGCGCAGAAAGGGAACGGGGGCGGGATGCTGGCAGTCAGTGCTAGCGGGGAGTCTCTCAGGGCCAGGCTCGAGTCGCTGACGCAGGGGCGTGCCATCGTCGGCTGCCTCAACAGCCCCAAGGCATGCACCGTGTCTGGCGACGCAGCTGCCGTAGACGAGTTGCAAGAGATCCTTAAGGAGGATCAGGTGCCTTGCACGCGGCTTCCGATGGACGTCGCCTACCACTCGTTCCATATGGAGAGCGTCAGGGAGCAGTACGAGGCTGCGCTGGCAGGCATACCTCACGTCCCTTCGAAGCAGACGATCCCCATGTTCTCTTCCATCACTGGAGCTTTGGTGATGCCCGAAGAGATGTCTCCGAACTACTGGGTGGAGAACCTGGTGCGACCCGTCAACTTCGCCGGTGCCATGGAGGCACTTCTGAACCATGTCGACGGCGAGGTTACGAAGTCACACGATCGACGAGCCTTCGCGGACATCTTTCTCGAGCTAGGTCCCCACTCAGCCCTCCGAAGCTATGTGCTCGACGTTTTCAAGAAGGCAGAAGGAAAATTCACGGACCTCTCATACGAGACAATGCTGCGTCGGAAATTCGACGGCGGCGAGACTGCCCTGCAGGCCATGGGCAATCTCTGGACCAAAGGCTATCGCCTCGACCTCAGCCTCGTGAACGGAACCCCTCCCACGCAAACCCAGATGCTTGTCGATCTGCCGCCATATGCCTGGAATCACAGCCTCACCTTCTGGGACGAGTCTCACTTGTCGAAGGCATACCGTCTCCGGCCCAAGCCGAGACTGGATCTCCTCGGCAGCCGTGTTGCTGGTGTGCCTGACCCCACGTGGCGAAATTTCATCCGCTGCTCAGAGAACCCGTGGGTCCGCGAGCACAAGGTCCAGGGCAACATCCTCTACCCCGGGGCCGGCATGCTCGTCATGGCCATAGAAGCCTCCAAGCAGCTCGCCGAGGACCAGCACGGAGAGCACGAGGCCATTTTTGGCTACGAGCTACGGGATGTGGATGTCGTCGCTGCGCTGCGGGTGCCTGACACGGAGAAGGGGATCGAGGTGATGGTCCAGCTGCACCCGCGTCGCACGGGAACCAGAGCTGCGCCTTCTGCGGCCTTGAACGAGTTCAGCGTTTCCTCATGGTCTGAGGATGGCCAAGAGTGGACAGTCCATGCCCGAGGACTGGTATCTGTCACATTACAGTCCTCACTGACACCTGCCATGCAGCAACAACTCCAACTAGAGAACGATTTGAGAAAGGAGGCCTTTGAGACCGCCAAGGTCGCATGCCAGAAGCCGGCCAGAAACTTCTTATATGACAACGTTGAGACCATCGGAATGGTGTACGGACCCACCTTCCGAAACGTCAAGGAGCTTTGGGCGGGTAAGAACTCCAGCTATGGAGTTATCACCGTCCCAGACACGAAGGCCGTCATGCCCGAAGAGTTTGAGTATCCCTGTGTTGTGCACCCGGCCACTTTGGACTCGGTCCTGCATCTTCTTTTCCCCTCTATCAGCGGCGACGAGCAGTCCCTCTCCGAGGCCGTGGTCCCTGTCTCATTCGATCGTGTCTTCGTTTCCGCCGGACTGCCCACTATTCCTGGCTCGGCTCTGTATGGCATCTCAACAGCCAAGAAGGTCGGCTACACGACCTGGACATCAGACATCACCATCAGCGACGAGTCTCATTCAGCCCCTCTCATTGTGATGGAAGGCCTCGGTCTCGCCTCAGTAGGCGGTAACACGGACAACAGTGATGAGAGCCTAGACACGCGTGCCTCGTGTTTCGAACAGGTGTGGCGGGAGGATGTCGACTTGCTGGCGCCCGAGCACGTCAAAGAGATCGTGTACCGCAGGACGACCCCCAACGCGGACGATGAGTCTGTGCTTGACCTGCTGGAGTACGTCTGTCTGGTGTACATTCACCGCTGCCTGGACTGGTTGAAGACCCCCGAGGGCCTGCAACACAAACCAACCGACGGGTTCTGGAAGCTGTATATCGAGTGGATGGAGGACTGCAAGAGAGCCTTCCCCCCACTGGAGCCCGACACCAAGGCAGTAGAGTCGAGGCTCGAGTCCGCCAGGAAGAGGATCGCCCTCAGCGACAGCGGCGACATCACGGTCCAGATGGTCGACCGCATCGGCGAGAACCTCAGCAACATCTTCACGCGCAAGGTGGAGCCCCTCCAGGTGATGACCGAGGGCGACCTGCTGTACACATTCTACCGCGGGGCCTTTGGCACATCCTTCAACACCAACGTTGCCGAATACGTCGGGCTCATCGCCGACAAGACGCCCGGGCTGGAAATCCTCGAGATCGGCGCGGGGACGGGCGGGACCACATACCACGTGCTGGAGCGCCTGCGCAACAGCGACGGGACGTCCAAGGCCAGGCGGTACTTCTTCACGGACATCTCGCCCGGCTTCCTCGCCAAGGCGCAGGAGCGCTTCCGCAGGGACGAGAGGATCATGGAGTTCGGCACGTGCAACATAGAGAACGACCCCCTCGCGCAGGGCTTCCAGCCCGAGTCGTTCGACCTCATCGTCTGCGCGAATGTCCTGCACGCCACCAAGAGCATCCAGGAGACACTGGCGCACTGCCTCTCCCTGCTCAAGCCCGGGGGCAGGCTCGTGCTGTCCGAGGTCACCATCAAGCGCATCTTCTCGGGCTTCATCATGGGCCCGCTGCCCGGCTGGTGGCTGGGAGAAGACGACGGCAGGAAGGGCGGGCCCCTGCTCGACGTGGCTGAGTGGGACGCAGCGCTGAACAAGGCTGGATTCTCGGGCGTTGACATGGACGTGCGTGGGGATCGTGAGACGTCCAACGAGCCTGTCTCGTTGATCGTGTCGTCGAAACCTGCCACGGCCAGGCCACAGCCTGCTTCCAAGTACGTGATCGTCCACACGGGCACTGCCGGGTCAAAGGGCCTCGCAGGAGCAATCCGGTCTGTATTCCACAGTGTTGGCCTGGACATAACCACCGCCGCATGGGATTCTTTTGCCGACAAAGACCTTGCGGACAGGTACACCCTGTGCCTGGCAGAGTGGGAGTCTCCAGTCCTCGCCAGCCTCACAGACGAGGACTGGGACAGGATCCACCGAGTCGTCCGCGGGTCCGCCGGCACCCTCTGGATCACCGGCGGAGCAGCCATGGAGTGTACACACCCCATGCAGTCCCTGATGGTCGGCCTGTCCCGGGCCATCCGCAACGAGGACGCAGGAAGCCGCCTGGCCACGCTGGACATCGAACCGGCCGAGTCTCTCGCGGGCAGCAGCAGCAGCAGCACTGCCCTGGCCGAGGCCGCCCGGTCCATCCTGCGCGTCGCACAGGAGCACTCCCGCGCCGACGCCGCCCACGAGGACCACGAGTTCGCCTCCCGCGGCAGCACGGTCTACGTGCCGCGGGTCGAGCGCGCGCAGGCAGTCGACTCGGCCCTCCGGACGCACGAGGCCAAGGGCGAGCCGCAGCCCGTGTCCCTGACGGGGTGCGGGCGGCCGCTGAAGCTGACCATCAAGACGCCGGGCCTCCTGGACACGTTCCGGTGGGTCGAGGACGAGACATACCACACGCCCCTGCAGGACGACTGGGTCGAGATCGAGGTCAGGGCCGTCGGGCTCAACTTCAAGGACGTCCTGGTCGCCCTGGGCAGCCTGGACGAGCGCAAGCTGGGCGTCGACGCCGCCGGCGTGGTCGCGCGGGTCGGGCGGGCCGTCACGGGCCTGAGGCCCGGCGACCGCGTCATGACCGCCACCTGCGACGCCTTCGCGACCCACGTGCGCTTCCCCGCCGCCGGCGCCATCGCGATGCCGGAGGGCATGTCCTTCGAGGACGCCGCGTCGATGCCGCTGGTCTTCCTGACGGCGTACTACGCGCTCGTGACGGCCGGCGGGCTCGCCCGGGGCGAGACCATCCTCATCCACGCCGCCGCGGGGGGCGTCGGCCAGGCGGCCATCATCCTTGCCCAGCAGATCGGCGCCGAGGTCTTCGCCACGGTCGGGTCCGACGAGAAGAGGCAGCTTGTCCGCGAGCAGTACGGCATCGCCGAGGACCACATCTTCAGCAGCCGCGACACGTCCTTCGCGAGGGGCGTCGTGCGCGCCACGGGCGGCAAGGGCGTCGACGTCGTGCTCAACTCGCTGGCGGGCGAGGCGCTGCGGGCGAGCTGGCACTGCCTCGCCAAGTTCGGGCGCTTCCTCGAGATCGGCAAGGCCGACCTGTTCGCCAACACGGGGCTGGACATGCGGCCGTTCCTCGACAACAAGAGCTACATCGGCGTCAACCTGCTCGACTTTGAGAACAACCCCACGCCGCGGGCCGTGAAGCTGTGGGGCGAGGTGGCCGCGCTCATCCGGGGCGGCAGCCTGAGGCCCGTGGCGCCGGTCCTCCAGTTCGCCATGGCGGACGTGGAGAAGGCGTTCCGCTTCATGCAGGCTGGCAGGCACACGGGCAAGGTTGTCGTGCGGGTTGATGCTGGCGATGTCGTGCCCGCGGTGCCTCGGACTCCGGAGGTGAAGGTGTCGGCCGGGGCGACATATGTCGTGGCTGGGCTTGGGGGCATCTGCAGGGAGATTGCGAGGTGGCTGGCGGAGAAGGGGGCGAGGGCGCTGGTGCTGCTTTCGAGATCTGCTGCGAGCGGCTCGGAGAACAGGGCCTTCGCCGAGGACCTGAGGAATGTCTATGGCACGGATGTTCGTGCGTTTGACTGCGATGTTGGTGATCGTGGTGCTCTGGAAGCAGTCCTTGAGAAATGCCGTGATATGCCTCCCATCAAGGGCTGTGTCACTGGTGCCATGGTCTTGGATGTGAGTATCCGGGTGTTGTGGCTTCACCCTTCCGTTGACAGACGAAGACTGACCACTTCCCTAGGACACACTATTCGACAAGATGACGGCGGATCACGTTCGCAAGACCGTCGGGCCCAAGGTTCATGGATCTTGGAACTTGCACGATCTCCTGCCCCGAGACCTGGATTTCTTCGTCATGCTAAGTTCCCTTGCTGGTGTTATGGGCCACCGCGGACAAGGCAACTACGGCTGTGGAAAGTAAGTACACTGCCGCTCCTCCGAGGCCTGACTCTGTGGTGCTAACCGCGAGCAGCATCTTCCAGGATTACTTCGCCTCCTACAGGCGGAGCCAGGGCCTCCGGGCCATGACCATCGACATCGGCTACCTCCTCTCGGTGGGCTTCGTCGCCGAGCACGACGAGTACGTGGACCACGTCAAGGCCATGGGCCTGAAGGTGATGCACAACAGCGACCTGCACGGCCTCCTCTCCATCGCCATGGCACAGCCTCACCACCCAGCCCAGATCATGTGCGGCCTCCCCCACAACGAGTCCTCCGACGCCTGGTACTGGATCGCCGACGACCGGTTCGCAGCCCTGCGGAACCAGCACCACTCCGGCGCCGGCCCCGACGCCGGCGGGGACGTCCCGCTGCGCGAGGAGCTGGGCCGCTGCGGCCGGGACGACCTGGCCGCCGCGACTGACCTGGTCACCCGGGCGCTTGCGGGCAGGCTCGCGCGGCTGATGATGATGCCCGAGGGCGACGTGGACGCGGGCAGGCCGCTGAGCGCGTACGGCGTCGACAGCCTGGTGGCGGTGGAGGTGCGCAACTGGGTCGCGCGCGAGACGGGCGTCGACGTCAGCGTGTTTGACCTCATGGCCAACGTCCCCATGCGGGCGCTGGCCGGGGACCTGGCGGGCAGGTGTAAGCTTTTGAAGCCGTGATGGGGTTTTGGAAGACGTTGATTTCTCAAGTCATGGGTCCTATGTGGCTTCTGTTTCGTTCTCTGATCATATTATGGGGCTTTTCACAACTTGGCCGACGATATAGATGTGTACCACGGTAGTGTATATAATTAATGCGAATAAATTGTGTTAGACAGACACGAATTCTATTGTCCCAGACGTAAAAACTTTTGTCCTCATCTGCGCCGAATGACCTACATATGCCGTGGGAGCAGCCCACGAAGCTGCCACAAACCAGGAAGGTGACTTGAATCTGGGGATTCTCGACGCCCATATAGACCCTCACAGGAACTTCTGCTCCTTGGGGTTATGAGATCCTTAGGTGAGAGCACTTGGGCCCGCCGCTCGTCAACAACGAGGATCCTCAGCAGCAGGACGTAAGGTCCACCTTGGTAGGCGATTTCACCAGCAAAGAAGCGGTTGCATGATCATTACATTTCCAACAGTGAAAGCGGCTGCTGGTAAGAATTCACGGACGCCACACGTAAGTCAGCCAGCATCTTCGAATAAATCCTGCGTCCCTAGGTATCTTCAACAACACCGTCCCTACCACCAAGACGCGGGAATAAAAGACGAGCGGGCGGGCACACCAGAGTTTCTCTAGGGACCCCCGCGGGGTGAGACATGCATTGAGTAATGATCTAAGCAGTTGACACAGAGACAGCTAGCGGTGGTACCCAATGGAGGCGATCCCGCCCACGCGAAGGAGAGAGCTGGGTGGGCGGAGGTCCCGCATGTGCGTGTTGTGTGTGGCCTCCACAAGACCGGCCACAGGGAGGGAGGGAGGGAGGGAGGGAGGGAGGCATTAGACTTGGACGGAAGAGAGTAGAGCTGCATACGAAGTGCAGCGCGGTGGAGATGGATAGGCCGGGCCCCGGCGATGTACCCCGTACGGTAAGTGAGTAAGTACTGCATACAACCCAAATGCTATGGCATGCGGGATGATGTGGTGGAGGGAGGGATCTGGTTGGGTCGTTCGGGACGGGGATGAATGGGATACTGTGTAGATTTGGCCTTCGTTCCTGTGCTGTTCCGCCATTTTCTTTTTACCAGGCTTGCCTGGCAAGTTGCAAGTTGCAAGCCTGCAAGCCATCCATGATGGATTGACTGATTCTCCGGAACCTTGGCCAAGATCCTGCGGTCGCCTGTCTGGCTTTGCTTTTTGTTTCGCTTTGCTTCTTGCCACTGTCCCCGAATCCCCGGGAGATGACATCTTCTCGATCCGAGATCGATCTGTGAGGTTTCTGCACTCTTGTCACCGACGTTGAACGGGTTGCTGACGAGATGAAACCTCTCCTTCTTGCAAACAAGTGGCCAGTGAGAGATGAGATCACTAATCGTCATCATCGCCCACCATCTATCTATCTGTCTGGCAGAGGCAGGTTGAACGGGACACAGGCCAGAAAGATGATGCACCGCCGTCGGCGCCGGCGTCGTCTCTGGCTAGGATCTATCTCTCTTGCAGGGTTCACTTCCCGAGCTTCATTTCTCCACGCACCGAGGGGGGAAAGGAAACACCCAGCCCTCGAGAGCCGAGTCCGCCGCGCCCAATAGCCCGAAGTCCATGGGGCCTCTCCAAGCCCCCCCCCCCTCCAAAGCCACCAGATGATGGATGGGCCATGGTGGGCGGGCGGGCGGCAGCCATTCTTGGACTGGGGAGGGCTGGCTGGGCTTGGCTGGCTGATCAGGTACACGCTGCGGTACGGTACGGCATGTATGTAGCACACAGACAGGTACATGGGTACAAGGGTACGTACCCTTTACGTAGACAGTAGTAGCGTGCTGTACCTGTCTCAGGTGAAGCAAGTGCCTGGAAGCCAGGGGCCCACCCATCTACCACCCATCAATCTGCCACTGTGCCAACCTGGATGTGCTGGGCACACCAGGCAACTTGATGAAGTCAGTTGCGTGGGAAATACTGCTGCCGCCTCCTCTTTTAGGCCTCTGCCTGTGTTGGGCGGGTGTGTGGGCGAGCTCACTGTTGCAGCAGGCGACCTTCTCTTGTCGGGTCTGTCGCCGATGACGTGCCTCTTCCGGCCAAAATCCCGTGCAGCAAAGCGACAACAGACCACCTCAACCATGCAAGTGCACAGTCGACCCAAATGTGTGCGCACCCTTGCGCACAAGTGTCGACTCCTTTGGCCTCACTGGGATTTGCTTAGAGTTCCCAGCCATGGTTGAGTAACTCAACGCTTAGCAACTAACTCATCTGACACAGAATCCGAGATTCGCGAGAGTTATGGCTCAGTCGTGCGCTGTCGCAGGCTACAATTTGAATCCAGCTAGCGGGAAAGACAGGCTAGGGCTGGTCCACCATCCTAGAAAAGCCGTTGTCTCTCTGTAGACTACTTCATCCAGTCACCTACAATGCGGACGTGGTATGTGATTCAGATGGATATTAAAGATATTAACTCTAGAGGCTGCCCTCCCTTATCCCGCTATTGCCATGGCAAGACAGTTTGTAATGTCCTCCACCCGCAGGTCTGAAAGTCTACTCATATGTTGCTCAAGCGCTCCGATGTTATCAATATCATGCCAACAGGTCAGACCAATATGCCCTCATCATGACCCCGTTGTCCGCCAATTACCCTACCATCCTCTATCTTCAACCAGCTGAGTGAACTTCAGCCTCTGATCTGAACAAGGCTGCAGCACCTCCTTCAAAATCGGAACCCACCATTTCTCATTCGTTTGGAACTTGTGGCAGAGCTTCATGGCAAAGGCATACTCGGCATACTCTGGGAAGAAGCCGCTCCTCTCCCAGTCAATAATACCCGTGATCTTTCCATCTTTGACCATGATATTTCGCGGAGAAAGATCCCCATGGGTCAGCACGAATTTCCCCGACGATTTGCGCCGCTCCTTCTCCAGCCACCGCGGCCATTTCCGATGCGCCAACCCGAAGAAGCCCACGGGTACCCGCTCAACACACCAGTTGTCAAAGGCCTCTTCATTGGGAAACGGCCCGCAGTATGTGGTAGGGAGGCGATCATACACGTTCCGCGTGGGCTTGTTGTCAACACGGCCGATATAAGGCTGTGTGCAGGCACGGATGCGAGCCATCTGCTCCTTTAGCTGCGCCACCATGCTGGACTTCTCAGCGTCACTGAGGTCATCCCAGACATCATAAAGAGGCACGCCCGGCACCAGGTCGCTGAGCATGGCGCACCCACATGGCCTGTCCGGGTCATCGGTGTATATGTCGTATAGGCCGTGCACTTTGGGGGCGAGCACACCATTTGTCGCGGCGTAATGCATCATCTCGGCCTCGGTGCGGTTGCTTCCTTTGGGGTTCTGACGGTCCGGTGCCATTATCTTGATGGCTACTGTCTCCCCTGATGGTTTCTGGTGCTTTATGACGCGTCGACCAAAATATTCGTAAATCTCGTCGCCATAGAGGGGCTCGGCATTGTGAATCGCGTCGGCGATTTCCAAGAGCTCTGAAGACTGAGCTGCCTCCTTTGTAGTGACCGTGTCGTCCATTGTGATATTTTGAGGTGATAAAAGTGCTTGATGAAGATTGTGACTTATCAGGACACTGTGAGTAAGTTGCAGCGTGTGTAGAAGGAGGCAGAGGATGGTAGCCAGCTATCTCCTTACTTCTTGTAACGGTTGTCGCGATCCCCAGATAGCTGCTTGACGCCTGCGAGCCCAGAGAGTTCGTTAGCAAGGTGGCCCGTGCTTCTCGGCGGCTAATAAGATTAGTCCCCATAATTCCAAGCCTCGGATGGGAAGACAACCTTGGAAGTGAAGCGCGAAATCCATGCCTAGGGTAATGCAGCTGTTGGTTCTTGAGCAACGTCCATAGCCTATACTTTGGATTCTGGCGCCGGGCTCAAGGAAATCCGCCGTTTCTGACATGATATGAAGCACTGTTGGTATTGATGTGCCACTCAATGAGTCTTGTGTCACGCAGTCGCGCGGTAAACCACATGCGACCGAAAAAGACGACCTGGTGATGGTGCCCGGATGCCATTGCTATTCCCGGCACGGCGGGTTGTACGCTCGACAGGCGCAATCTAGGTGTTGTGACTTGTCATCCACAATATAATGGTGTTGCTGTCTACCTGGGTATGCTTTCCATGTGGCACAGCATCAATATTTATTAACGGGCTTCGTTCCTCTCTCTCCCACTGATATCAATCAACATCAACACCTCAGTTTCATTTCTTCGCATCATTTGTGAAATATACTACCATCTTCCACTTGAATATCACATTCACACGTCGTGTTCCACGCCTGGACAATAACATCGGTATATATTATCTGTTCCAATTTCTCAACATGGCCGAGCTTATTCCCAATGGTCTGCTTCGTCCGGAGGACCGACGCATCCTCCACCGAATCGCCTTTGAGGGCGAAGACACAGCTCACTGGGCATTGTTCCTTCCTGAGGCCGCTGGCGGCGTCAGTGGTCTCCTGGTGCACGTTGGTATCCTCAAAGGAAAAAGTGGCGCCAAGCAGAACCGTCAACTGCGGAGCGAAATCATCAACCTTTCAAGCACCTCGGCGCAGTGCGCCTTTCCAATCGCCAACACATACGTCAGCGAATATCAGCTCATGCGAGCTGCCCAAACGGTCTTTGACCGCAAGGAATACCGGACCTTGACAAACAACTGCCAACACTTTTGCATCGATGTTATCACTGAGCTCAATCAAATCTGGCCAGAGTGTGTCACGGCCCAAGCCGTGAAAGATGTCGCAACTCGAGGCACTATTTTTACCAAGACAACTCGTTTCCTGAAGATGGATCGCTTGATAGAGGCTAGGAACAAGTGGAAGTCCAGGACTAAACAGGCCCCGAGCCCTGTCCCTCGAACGTTCACTCGCATATCTATCAAGTGAAGTTTGAGACTGTTGAATCTAGGTAGACTAGCATGCCACACATGAGCCATATCTTTTTGTGTGACTTGGAGGTTTATACCTGAGAGTAGAGCATGAGTGGCACAGTGTGGCCATGTGCCCCCTGTGGAATAATGGGCATGGATGATTAGAGTATTTGCAGGCCAATGAATATTTATAGCGGAACTATGAAAGAACTAAGGAACTTAAAACTTCACACCTCCAAATGTCTGCCGGCTACCTAGGTAACTGTGTTCATGGGCTTGTGGGACATTTTGTATGTCAACAAGGGTTGGGGTTGTCCCTTTTAGCAGCACTTGAGCATTTGCAGCGACTTCTGTCGACGACTGAGACCTCGAAACTGCAAGGCCGTAGGTACTACACAGTATTTTCTTTTCTTGTGCTGCAGAGCCGCTGAATTGAGTGAATTGTTCTTTCCCCCCCTATGTGCTTCCGAGGGAGCTACTGCAGAACCGACGTGCTTGTAGCGTCGGAACACTTAGGTGCCCACACGACTCTCAACGTCCGAGGACGGCAAGCCGACACTCGTCCGACCGACTTGGTGCCCCTCCTTTCCAGCCCTCCTGAAGTCGCCCTTCTCACATCGGACGGCTCAAACCCATGACAAACCTAACCTTATAGGACCAACCCTCGCCCTCACCATTTCTGGTCTGGCGGCGGCCCGTTTTGCACAGATGAAATCGACGCTGTTTTCGTTGGGGGGGGGGGTTGTCATTGTCCAAGGCGGCTCAGCCCCACTGGCCCAAGCCATTCTCAGGCACAAGGGGCCCTGCTGAGCGCAGACACAAGCCCAGCCCAGCCACAGCATGATCAACTCTATTTCCAAAGGGCTCCCCGAGAGAGGGATCAACCGCCGGCCGAAGCTCTGCCGCTGCTGGGCCGCCGAGCTCTACACTAAGGTTACTAAAGAAGGGCCCAGCCGCGCCGCCTCGCTCGCTCCCTTTGCCCTTTCTTTCGCCCTCCCCTTTCGCACGGGCCGGCAAGTCATCCCTGTCGGGTCGTACCAGGGCGGTGGGTCCGCAACCATGTCCATTCATTCCCCGGGGGCCGGGAGTTGGGAAGGGCAGGGCAACTCAACCTCAACAGGCAGGGAGGGCGACTGACAAAGGCACCAGTGACAACAAGGGCTCGCCTCGCCTCTCTGAAGTTCCTTATTTTCCTAATTCGTTCACTGTGTAAACTTCGCAGCCTGGGATCCATCGAACCAGCAAGGGAAAGCGACATGGGGCCTGGCCTGGCCTGGCCTGGCTGGGAACAAAGCAGAGCGAGAGAGAGAGCCCCAACCCGCGGTAATCTGAAACAGACGTGACGGGGTAGCCACTATGAAACGCGAAACGAGAACAACGGCACCTTCCCAAGGTTCCAAAGGCCCGTCCGTGGAAGAGATTCGCCTCGGCGGATTTGCTTACGCTGACCAGAACCCAGGCCAGAGGAGTGGCTGTCGACCGTCGCCCCATTTTCCGAGCCGGGTGCCGTTATCATCGGGCCACCAATAATAAGTGCTCTGCCCTGGTGCGCCGAGTGCCGGGCGTAGGGCTGGCTGGCTCCCCCAACCGCCCTTAAACATGCCACTCACTCACTCACTGCCTAGGGCAAGTAGACAGACACCTACACCGAAAACTGCTTGTCCTACCTGCCTCTGCCTCTGCCTCTGCCTCTGCCTCTCTCACTCTCTCACCGTGGCTGCGCAAGGCTGCGGCAGGTTCATAATCTCACACGCACGCTGCGGCGGACGGCAAATCCGAGGTCGTAATCTGGAAGATCCGCAATTGAAACGGTGCCGCCGTGCGCTTGGAATGATCTCCCCCTCGCGCCAAACAACGTTGGGGCGGGGGGGCCCAGTGTGTGTTTGATTGCGGGTCGAGAGGGCTGTCACTGTGCCTGACTGACTCCGACTCCTATTTAATGTTTCCCCCGGCGAGCAAGGAGAATATTATTTTTCACCGACAGGCGGAAAACCTTATTCTTATTGTTTGTCCCTGGTCCGAAGATGATGGGCAAATGAGGCAATCAATCAGTGTTGAGTGCCCAGGTGTCACGCCTCCTCGGCTGCAGCGCCGCCTGACAGCCTCCCTCCCTGCTTGCTCCCCGGGCACATTAATACTGTGCTGTCGAGAGACGGGCAATGCAGCCACTGTAGATCAGCCGCCCCATTTTTTGCTTCATTGGGGATATAAGAGACCCTTCATATAGGACAGGCAGGCGTGGCAGGCGTGACAAGGCCTGGGCCTCTCTGCCCACAAGGGTGCCCGGCGCTGGGGGTTTACGTTTTGTTTGGGAAAAGGGCGGAGCAGAAGAGTGGGCCGATTTTTGATACTCGGTACTGTACATCCACTACATACCTGGTGCGTTATTCCAGCGGCCGCTATTGTACGTGTAGAAGGAGAGAGAGTTTGGAGCCGCCTTCAAACACCCGCGGCCCATTGGGGAGCCTGCCCCGCGGCAGTTGCCACGGTGGGGCGTGCAGAGGTGTAATTCCACCTGCTTCCTCTGCTGGGGAATGTGCGAGCCAGAGAGCTGCTTCCATCTGCATTGACGAGGCCGGGGGACCTTCCGTGGTTTGCTGCCATGCCACACTCATACTCACATTATGGGGGAGGGGACCGAGCTGGCTGACGGTTTCGTACCTGAGGGAGGAAGGGACGGGCTGGCAGCTCTCTCCCAGCCAGACGCAGGGGAACCGGCCAATAATCGCCAGCCAGGTCGGCGGGCGATGGCTGATGTCGGCGGCGGCTCACTCACCCACCGGACGGGCCTCCATCATGCGTTCTACAACGGCGTCGGTTCCCCCCTGGCAGGCAGGTACACAGACCCTACCCTACCCTTCCCCCCCCTCGAGCTCACATGCATCGAAAGGATGGCTGTAGGAGGGCACACACGGCACGCACAGATCAGGCGCACCGGGCTGGACGGACGGACGAACCAACGCACCGGCGAACTCTCCCCGCGGAAGCAAGCCTGGCCCAACCCGCCGGCATGTCGCTCGTGGCAAGGCAGGCAGGCAGGCAGGCAGGCAGGAACCATCATCACCAACCACACGGACTTGAGCCGGAGGAAAGGAAAAAGGAAGGGAGTGGCATTCACGAGGGCCGCCGGTCGGGGGAGGAGGGGGGCATGTGATTGATGGGAGCTGACTGACTGACTGCCTGACTGCCTGACTGCCAGAACTGCCTCCAGCACAATCGAGTCCTGCCCGGGCCCAAACCAGACTGCCCAGCGCCCACATGTGCACCCGCCTTGCCCGATGTGGGCGCACCTGGCAGCCTGGCAGGCCCACGGAACGTCGTCTGCATCGCCCGTCTCGTGCCAGCTGCTGTAGTCTATTGTATGTGTGTATGTACCTCCGTGGTCCACGTAGTACAGCACATAACGCAGGTGCGCGAGGTTAGGTGGTGGTGGTGGTGTGGTAATGTAGCGTCGTGTCCCGCCCGCCGTCGATCAACCATTGCCCCGACGGCGGCGCGCCGTGTACTGTAGGTACATACGTGCATGCATGCATGGATGGGGCGGTGGTACATCTGGTCTGGCCCGCGTGCATGTACCCCATACATTGGGGATGTGTTGGCGGGATGGGAAGGGTAGTTAGTAAGTGAGTTAGTCCCAGCTGAGATGGGTTACATAATACCCCAGGATGGGTGCTGGGCGTTGTTCTGTCATCGAGATGTGCTTGCTGTGTGCTGTGTGCTGTATGTATGTGCTCATCACACACTGCCGTGGCCAAATACATTTTACATACGCATGGCTTGTCTTGTTGTCTTTGCTTGACCTCACCTGACAACTTCACTGTCTAACTGTATCACACCGGACTGTCGACTTATTGTTCCCGATCGAGGATAGGGCGAGGGAGGAGAGACAGGCAGGCAGGCAGAGACACTTTGAGAGGAGCCAGACACACATCCGGACGGGGTAAGACATGCATTGCATGCACGCACATGCGCACGCCGTTCTCGATGGGAAAGGAGGCATGTCTCCGATCTAGCCCCAAACCCTCTCTCATCTCCCGGCGGGGATGGAGTGGTGTCAATTTGGATCTGGATGGATGCTGCTCGACTATTATAAATCTCGCCCTCTCCTGGGGCCCGGTAACTTGTCTAGCGGCAGGCCTGGACACGGCTGGGACAGATGCCCGGGTCGGCCGTCTCGGCCGACTGGCATGAGGTCGCAGGATTGCGGTACAAAAGCTGGCTGGCTAGCGTGGACGTTCGGGTCCTACTAGTCTGCTTCCATCCAAGGTTTGGACGGACCCAGTCCCTCCCACCACCCGGCCCAACATGCATGCACGCAAGTAGTTGTCCCTCGCCTTTCGCACTGGGCAGTGGGTGCGTATATGTGCTGTTTGTTGGTGATAGTCGCCGGCATATCAATGGGGTGTTCAAGCCGTGGTGGCAGAGAATACTTGCTGTATCGCATGCAGGTAGACCAAACGAAGTTGCGCAACACGACGACAGGCACGGGCCCGCCTCGAGAACTTTTGTCGTGTGCTCTGCAGCAGAGCCCAGGCAGGACTCGGTTCACATGTGCATCCGATGTTCCTGAGGGGAGCCAGACTCTCCCCCGGCTGCACATACGGGGTAATCTCAACCACCAGGACCCAAGGACAACCGGATTGAGCCTCCAGCATGAAGCATCAATAAGCACGGCGCCGCCCCCTCGGGACAGCCGCAGCACCCAGACAGCTGGGAAGCAGGCATGGGTGGGTATGTGTGTGCTGAGATGTGCGCCGTCAGCACCAGAAGAGAGTGAGTGCTGAGCAGCGATCGCCCGCCGGGGGGCGTGACTGGACTTGGGGGCCACGGTTCCTGTGTAGGGCTGAAAGTGAGGATTACATACGCTGACGCCCGGGTTTCTGTTCTGGTTTGTTCCGTCTTGCTTATAGATCATGGCCCTCCCTGCTTGTCACGCTTTCACATCGGTGAGCAGACGAGCTGTCAGTCAGTCAGGCAGTTGTTCTTGGGGACCCACCCACCGCGAAGGTCAGGCTGACTGGACGGGCCTGTCACTCACTGCCCTGCCCTGGGCGGCGGACCAGTCACGCCGGGGCCGTTCATGTCATGTCATGTCAGAACCCACCGGCCCGGGGAGGAAGAAGAGCTGGCGCCCGCCTACCCACCGAGCACCATATCCTAAGGGAGTAGTGGTAGTGGTAGTACATCTTAGAGGTTACTAGGTCGAATAGGGGAATAATTAGTATATAAAAT